GCTTCTAAAAGGCCCTGGCTGGTGTAGCTCAGTGGATTGAGCACAGGCTGCGAACCAAAGTATCACAGGTTCGATTCCCAGCCAGGGCACATGCCTGGGTTGCAGGCCACGGCCCCCAGCAACCGCACATTGATGTTTCTCTCTCTCTCTCTCTCTCTCTTTCTCCCTCCCTTCCCTCTCTAAAAATAAATAAATAAATCTTTTAAAAAAAGCTTTTAAAACAACAAAAAGTAAGGAATTCACGCCAGAGAGCCATTCCTGTGCCTGCCACAGTGCCGAAAAGTCCAGGTTTCCATTGGGAGTTAAACACGAACTGAGGAGCCACGTGGAACACGACCCAGGAGGCAGCGGCCATGGTGTTCAACCCGGGGGGAGCGTGTGCCCTATGAATAAGGCCAACTCCCCTCCTTGGCAGGTCAATCCGGCCTTGTCCTTGAGTTCAATTTATATTAAAACAAAAATCCCTGATATTATGGGATGAATCCCCACAAATTCACTTGTTGAAGTCCTAACCCCAAGGACCTCACAATGCGACTCTATTTATAGATAGAGCCTTTAAGGAGGCAATAAGGATCGAACGAGGTCATGAGGGTGGGTCCTAATCTAACACAACTAGCGTCTGCATAAGAAGAGGGAATTAAGAACACAGACTAACACAGAGGAAAGGCCATGCAAAGAGAGAAGATGACCATTTACAAGCCAAGGAGAAAGGTCTCAGAAGAAATCAGCCCTGATGGAACCTTGATCTTGAACTTTTAGCCCCAGAAACGTGAGAAAATAGATTGCTGTTAAGCCACCCAGTCTGCAGTATTTGTTGCGGTAGCCCCCTCGACCAGTACACCTGACTTCCTTGAGAGACAACAGATTTTGTGGTGACCAACTCATGATTACCCTAAGAGGAAAAAGGGAGTTCTAGAACCTGGAGATGCAGAGCAGGTGACATGTCAGGAGATGGCTTAGCCCCTGGGGTCAATTGCAGGCCAGGAATTTATAACTTGTTTGGCAGACGGCAGGTAAAGCACACCTTTACCTCTGCTGCTGTACAAGCATATTGCGCTGGACAAATGAGAGGCCCCCGACCACATGTTCTTGCAGGTTTGGGGGGATTGTCCGGAAGTTCCTGATTCTACAGTTCAGGTATCCCACATACCCACTCTCAATGGCTGTCTTAGGAAGTCCCTGAGAAGAGGTGAATGGTCTAGGTTTCCTCAAACAGTTCTCTTTCAGAAGTCTTTTAAAGAATAACTACAACTATGACATTGTTCCAGGGCTCCTCATGACAAAGATGTTGACAATGGATAACCAGAGTAAGTGCACAGCTTAGCCTGGAGAATACAGTTGTCAGTGGCTTTATAGTTAGCCCGGTAGCAGCTGCTGTGACCACTTCCCCATAAATGACCCTGTTGGTAGGCCACACACATCTCGAATCCTGGGGGCACCAGTGGTTCGGCTCCCAGCAGGAGCCTGAGGATCCTCAACTTTTGCTCATTACCAGGGCAGCCTGATAGTGACTTGGAGAGGTTCCACTCGAGGCTTCTGACAGCAGGACGTGCTCTGTGACGTGCTAGGGTTGCCACAGATGTGGTTTAATTGCAATTGTTCTGGCCCCTGCTCCCCCGGAAAGCAACATAGCCTCAATGAGGGGATATAGCGCTTTTCAATCTTACTCGAATGGGAATCGAAGTATGTAATTAATGTGTATGATCTAGTGGCTGGGCATGTACATTACGTGCCCTGTGGCCCCGAGCCATGAAGCCATGGTTGCCTCCCAGCCACGGGGGAATATATAGTGCCCTGCAATTACTCTCACTGATATATAGTACCCAAGCATTGGTGACTGCTGGCCCTGTGCGTGTCTGTCCACAATCCACATGGCACCAAGCTGGGAAACTGATTATCGTGTGCCTCATTTGTATACAGGACTATGCAACGGGAAGGGAACTGGGGGAGAGGCCTATTATATACCATCATAAAATGCCACCTATTCATTCCTAGAAACTTTTAAGTCTATGGACTGGCCCACCTAAGGTGTAAAAAATAGTATGTTGTTAGTCAGCTGGCAATTCCTAACCAAGCATCACTTGAGGAATACCTATAGGTCAGAAAGTAGGGGTGGGGTGGGATATTAGAATTTCTCTCCTGTTTTCACGTAAAGGGCTCACCAAACCTTTAGTGGGAATCTGCCCCCACCCCACGTGGCACCCACCTGGGTACAGTGCAAGGCCCTTGGCCCCATGCATACGTCAGTGGGAGGAGTGCTGTGGTTCAGTGAGGGATAAGCCCACAATGTCCTATTCTGGGCCAAATACTTGCACCATTAGGTGCCTGCAGCCCCCTGACATCACAACACCTTCCCCTTATCCAGCTGGTCAAGTGCTCCTACAAGGACCCATCAGGCTGGAAAATGTCCTCATGTTAGGGGTAGGGGATTTGTTTTAAATGTTACATAGAGAAAAAGCCACCCTGTGGGTGTTCAATTTGTCCCTAACACTTAAGAGGTTTTCATGAATGCATCCCTTGCAGCACTCCAAGAGGTCAACACCATGGCAGAAATCTCTCCCAACATGGGACAGTACTCAAGAACTCGTTAGCACCCGAATCTCTTCACCTTTCCTACCGGACTTAAAAGCTGAATGACCAGGGCTGGGACGGAGAGTACAGTTATGCACCATCTTCTCTGTATGTGTAAGAGGTAAGAGGGTAAGTGAGGTCCTAGCACTTTCACGTCATGTTTCACTGCCTGGGTCATACCCATCTCCTAGGAAGAAATGGTCTGACTTTTACAAATAATTTGGGAGCGCGTTCATACCGCTTACTGGTACTCTTTTTGCATTGTGGATTCGTAGATGGAGTTGAAGTTATGTACTGTAACTAAAAGATTCCCACACTTATTTCAGGAAATTTTTTTCAGAAACGGGTGCAAAATAAAAGTTCTGCCTGACTTCTTGCCCTCCAAAAACAAAGAGGCTGTAACTCATGTGGATTTTCTGATGTCAAATGATAAACTGTAACTAAGGCATTCCCACTCACAATGAGTAAACGTCCTTATAAGCGTAAACTCCCTGGTGGACTATGTTTTCTATAACTGAATGTTTTCTTACACTTTACTAAGAATAGGTTGCTTGGGGTAAGAGGGATGTAAGGGGACTAAAAGGTAATGTAAAAAAAAAAAGGTGCAATAAAGATTAAAAAAAAAAAAAGGTTCTTTTCCCGATTTGGAGTTGCTGAAGAAAAATAAGGTCTGAGTTGTGACAGAAGGTTTTTCCACATTCAATTCTTTTTACAGCAATGCTACCAGGAATCAATAAAGAACGTGGAAGGAGGTTCCACTGGACCCACATTATGAAGGCTGAGCTGAAATGAAAGCAGGATACAAAATGCTGGTGCTGGGTTGAACATTTTCAACCAGATCAGCAAAATCCTGAGGTGCTCCTTCACTCCTGAAGGAGCATATTAGTACATATCAGTAATGTAAATACTCACCTTGTACCGTCAGGTCTACACAGACAATTTTAATGGCATTCAAGAGGATGCTAGGACAAGTCAAGGAAAACCCACTTCCCCTATTTTGGGGCAAACACCAAAGAGGGAAAGCCCTCAAATTGACCAACGGGGAAAAAACAAATGACATATGGGACAAATGAAAAGCCTCTGCAATTTGTGGCAAGTAAAAAGACATATGAAATATATATTCAAGAAAAACTGCGAGAGATTAAAAAATACAAAAGAAAAAATAAATAAATTTTTAAAACCCAGGAGTTCCAAAGAGAAACAAAATAAACCCAGTAGTCGTGCCAAAAAATAAACAAGCAAAACCCTGAAAGGAAATTGAAATGTAAAGCATTATGTATTAAAACAGGGCTCTAACTACATATACATGAGATTAGAAAAATTTTTCAGAACACTGGGTGACACTTTATACCACTGGACAGACCAGGAAAATGATTTCCAGATATATATTACCAAAATTAACAAAGAGGTAGAAACATAAAGAGTGCATCCATTGAAGAAATCAAAGTGTGGCTAAAGATTTGTCCCTCCCAACGGCCTACCCCCCAAGAATGTATATGACCCAGTTACTTTTACCCTTCAGAGTAATTCTCACATTATGAAACTCTTCCAAAACATTTTGCAAAGCCAGCAAAACCTTTAAAAGTAATCACCACAAATGGATTTTATATTGAGTGCAAAGAAATTTCAACTATTTCAAAAACTGTCAAATTACAAAATAACATAACCCATAAAATGACACCAATAGCTTTTAAAGTTAACAGAATTTAATAGCCATCCTAATAAAAACTAAGTGCAATGATAACTACGGTGTTTACTATATGGCAAGCACTGTTTTAAGTACCTTACACTTATGAACTTATGAGGTAGCTTCATTTTTAAAAAACGTTTTAAAAAAGATTTCATTTACTTATTTTTAGAGAGGGAAAAGGATGGAGAAAAACAGGGAGAGAAACATTGATGTGCAAGATACACTGATTGATTGCCTCTTGCACACCCCACCTGGGGACCTGGCCTAGAATCCAGGCATGTGCCCTGACTTGGAATTGAACCAACCACCTTTTGGTTCGTAAGCCAGCACTCAATCCACTGAGCAACACTAGCCACGGTGGTGGCCTTATTTTATACATGGAAGAACTAAGACACAAGGAAGCCAAGTGAGAGACTTGCCCAGGATCACACATCTAAGAAACTGATGGATTCAGTATTGAGCGTAGGCACAAAATCCATGTACTTCACTACGATTCTACATTGCTTCTTCTCAAAACAGGAATAGAAAGAAACTACCTACACTCTATAGAATATAAGTCAGAAACGAACAATGAAACATCAGTAGTGAGACTTCCAGGGGTACATATAGAAGATGTCAGTGAGGGCTTTGTACATGATATCCTATGATGAGATGCCACTTCCCTCTTAAAGGCTTCTAGTCTGGTGGGAGAGATGGGTAGGTAGACTGTATCTAATTTAAAGATGGTGCAATTCGAGGAAAGTTTTTTAAAAATTATTTATTAATCACTAGTATGTGAAAGTTATTACCTGTATGCTAAAACAAATGGATACCATATCCAACCTCGAAGAGCCTACAATAAGTTGGTGTGAATGTACACACATATGGATTAAGTTGAGAATAATTTACAAGGCAATTTAACAGTTGCTCATGGTGGCACCAGCTAATGGGAAGCACTGAGGTCAAATGAGTAAGAGGAATAAAGAAGGGGCTGAAGAAAAGTCTTTCACAGATGAGGTGGATCTGGAAGGATCTAGAGATGAGATTGATCTGAGAAGTTCTGAGGGACATAGATTAGCAAATGGGAAAAAGAAAGGCTTTTCTGAATAGGAATACTGGGATGAGGGTATAGATTAGAGTTTAAGTTTAAAAAGTAGGTAAGGAGGGACACAGCTGAGAGAGTAAAGAATGAATCAGTCTTAGGAATGACTTTATAAAAGAGGAGGTGGGCTAGAATAAGGTAGACACAATCTCTGTCCTTCAAAAAAAGTGTGATGATAGGATACATAATTAAGCTGAAATACATTTCTACACAGTTGAAAGAGAAAGACACTAAGAGAGAGAACGTGAGAAATTAGGGTGGGAAGGAGGGAGGAAGGGAGGAAGGGAAGGAAGGAAGGAAGGAAGGGAGGGAGGGAGGGAGGGAGGGAGGAAGGGAGGGAGGGAGGGAGGGAGGGAGGAAGGAAGGAAGGAAGGAAGGAAGGAAGGAAGGAAGGAAGGAAGGAGACCCTTCAAGTGCATGAAGTGTGTAGTCCATCTGTCCACAATGGTGGGCAGGGAACACACTGTTCCCCACTCTCCCACCCTCATGACCCAGCAGACAGCACTCAGAGGATGACCCACTTTCATTAATGGCTCCTGCAGGGGGTCAGAGTAAACACCCTTCTTACAAAGAAAGCTTAATGCCAAGTGCCTTGCTCTCAGTCTTGGAAACTTAGGCCTCAGGAAGCTGACCGAGCCACACCTGACTGCTTCTCTCCAGTGTGAGTTCGCTGGTGGTGGTTGAAAGTGGAACGCTGACTGAAGGCTTTCCCACACTCAGCACATTCATAGGGTTTCTCGCCAGTGTGAACTCTCTGGTGCACAATGAGTTGTGAGCTGTCACTAAAGGCTTTCCCACAATTGTTACATTTGTAGGGTTTCTCCCCAGTATGGGTTCTCTGATGTACCATTAGACTGGAGCTGTAACTGAAGACCTTCCCACACTCACTACATTCATAAGGTTTCTCGCCAGTGTGAATTCTCTGGTGTATGATGAGGTGTGAGTTTTGATTGAAGGATTTTCCACACTCATTGCATTTATAGGGCTTTTCACCTGTGTGAAGCCTCTGATGTCGAATAAGACATTTACTCAGGCTGAATGCCTTCCCACACTCACTGCATTCAAAAGGCTTTTCTCCAGTATGAATTCGCTCATGGTCGGTGAGCTGAGAGTTCTGACTGAAGGCTTTCCCACACTCCCTGCACTTGTAAGGCTTTTCCCCAGTGTGGAGACTTTGATGTCGGGTAAGACATTTGTTGCGACTGAAGGTCTTGCCACATTCAAAACACTCATAAGGCTTCTCCCCAGTGTGAATTCTCTGATGGTCAGTAAGATTTCTATTAGAACAGAAAGCTTTCCCACACTCATTACACTTGTAGGGTTTCTCACCAGTGTGCAGAACCTGATGTCGGACAAGACTTTTACTCCGAATGAAGGTCTCCCCACAGTCACTGCATTCATAAGGTTTCTCCCCAGTATGGGTCCTCTGGTGGTCAATGAGTTGGGAACTCTGAGTGAAGGCTTTTCCACATTCGTTGCAGGTATACGGTTTCTCCCCATCATGGTGTCTCTGGTGTTGAACGAGATGGGAGCTGTGCCGGTAGGTCTTCCCACACTTGCTGCATTCATAGGGCTTTTCCCCTGTGTGGGTTCTCAGGTGAACTATGAGCTGAGAGGTCTGCCTGAAGGTCTTGCCACACTCGATACACTCATAGGGTTTCTCTCCAGTGTGGATTCTCTGATGGCCAGTGAGGTGTGAGCTCCGACTGAAAGCTTTGCCACATTCATCACACTGATAGAATTTCTGTGACTTCACAACCTGCTGTCCTGCAGGCCTGGAAGACAGATTCTGATGATCCCCAGGTTCTTTACATCCATTACATCCATCTTTTGTGGATTTGTTTTTATCCTCACAAGTCACTTCCAGGAAACCGCTTTCCAGGCTGCTCCCTCCCTCCTCTGAGGGTTGTGCTTCGAGCTGCCCTACAACATCTTCATAGGCAATTCCAGCTCCTGGTGCCCCAGGTTCCACCCCACATAGGCCTCCTGGTGTCCCAGCAGGTGACCCCGATCCTTCAGACATTTCCCGCCCTGGAGGCAACTCAGATTTCTCCATCCTAGTCTCACCTGATGCCAAAAAAAAGAAGAAAAAAAGCTTTTACTCACTTCTTGTCCTACTGAGGAAACAGAATCATCAGGAGTCCATGTACCTGAAAAAGCCTTCACATTACAGGTAAGGAACGATGTGACACATGGAGAACAAGAGAGAAAATGAGAAACAGCTCGAATTTTTGTTCATGGACAGAAAGACAAAGAGGGGAAGCAGGTCGGTGGAGATGCGTGGATAAAAAGCCATTAGGACAGAGATATTTGAGTCAGCACAGTCACGTGAGTAGGGCAACTGAAAAGCAAGAGATCAGAATGTAAAGCTTGTCTGAACTTCTTCCAGAAGTCCCTTAGGTGCTATGCGTTCTTAGTAAATAAACTATAAGACCTGTCTAACTGTGACGCTGTACAGTTCCATGATTCGCAAGATGTTAAAAGTGCGAGGGCAAAATCCTCAAATCAAATATGAGAAAAAGTGTTGGCAAACATGAGAGTTTAAAGAAGATTTACATCATGAGGGTATAGTCAGAAAAAAGTGTAAAAAAGGAGTGAGTCTGGTTGATAGCTTGTGACAAGATTTGGAGAAGCCATGCGTTCAGGGATGCTGGAGGAGAGTACTGAAGGGGAATGCAAAGCTCTAAAAGTGGGGATACCCTAGACCTCGGAGCCCTGTATTGTTAGGAACTGGTGCCACAATGCTATAAAAATTGAGATAGGCATCATTAATAATGGAATATAAAACAAAGTGTGACTTTTGTATCTTGATAATCTGGCATCACCAGGGAACTGAACATTGAATATATTGCCTTTGAATTCTAGAACTTTTGAATACAAAAGTTGGGAGAAGGCAGAGCAATCATGCTTATAGTTAAACACAAAATATTTGGTGCATTTCAATTATGTCAAAGCCAAGGCTACAAACCATCATGCTACTACTTTAAATGTACAAGTGGTAGATTTCTGAACCCCTGACTCCTGAGCCCACCCCCTCCAGAGCAGACCTGTCAATCATAGACCTGTCCTGACAACAGCACCTTCAAAAGGAGCTGCTGTGCTCCAGTCCTTCCTGAAAGAAAAGTGGAGGCAACCAGGTCTTATGCCTAGCAACCCAGCTCATCCCATGATGGACCACCGGTTACTAGATGAGGCCCAGGCCTTACAGCCAAGTGTAGCTACCTTTTCTGTAGATTAGTCATCCTTCTGCTGTGGCCAGGACCAAAGTTCTGCCCAGAGTATGATATTTAACAGCTGAGCCACTCTTGGAATCCCTCCCTAAGTAAATTCCAAGCTGGAAGTAGAGCAAAAGGAATACATTGCAATAAAGAAGCAGCTTAGGTGAAATGGTGCATGGGGAGAAGCAAAGCTATTAGGAGCCAATTCAAAATAGCGCAAAATTCATTTCCGTTTGTTGCTGAGGCTCCCAGGCTCCCCAGGCTCCACAAGACCCTGCTTCCCAAAGTCTGGTCTACCTGGTCAGTTTGTACAAGTTTCCCATCCCTTTAGCCTTATTGTAAGTAACATGGCTCATTACGTAAAATCACTTGAGTGGGTCTCTATTCCTTAGAAATACAAACTCTACATAAACCACCCCAGCTCAATTCAGAATGAAGTACAGAGAATGGCGACAAGTATTAAAGCTGGATGATGGGAGCAGAGAGAGTCAGCATACTGTTCTGCTTTGTCTATGTGGGCAACTTTTCATAATGAAAAGTCAAAAAAGGAGAGAAATACAGCAAAGACAACGTGAAGGATGCAGCTGCTAGGTTCCCAGGCAGACTCATTACCCAGTGAGGCCACGCTGCAGGAAGTTTCTGGCATGCTGCTCTGGTTCAGGGCTCTCTGACTCGGTGCCCGGCCTTTCCACTTCCTCCCCGTGTAGTCCGCAGACGGGAACTCGTACGCTGCAGACCCCTGCAATGACAAGCTTCCATCGCTCAGAGACACTCCCTCCCCCGAAGGGCAGAGGGTCATCAGGGATGCTGAGAGCACAGGGCAAGGGCCCTGCTGGGCAAAGGGGTGGAGAGGCCAGAAGCTGGGATGACACATCTGAAAGGACAAGTCCGGGGCAAGAGACAGTCCATGAACTCAGCAGGCGGCCCCAGCTCCAGGGGGAGCAAGGAGACAGGGCAGCCACAGGGGCAGTCTCAGCAGGGGCCAGAGCCCCGCAGATGAGCTCTAGCTCTTCCTGGGCCACAGACTCAGGAACTCAGGAAAGACACAAAGAACCCAGCTCACCTGGGGCCTGGCCATCCGAAGCACAGCTGCTGCTGCTGCTTGGTGTCCTGAGCTGCCCACTTGGAGAGGGACAGGTGCAGGGGAAGCACATGGAGCTGAGGGAGGAAAGAAATCTCTGAGTGGATGAGCCCTGCCCTTGGCTCCAGTAAGGCTGTACCCCAGAGTGGGTTCATGAGGACCCAGGCAGATCCACGCACACAAGACGCTCATCCCTCGTCCACCCAGGCGTTCCCCTGCGTGTGCTGTGAATTTTCCACGGAGGGTGCAGTAGAACGTCCTGGGTCAAACTTAAAACAGGTCTCCCAGCCTTCGCTCTCCTCAACCTCCCATAAGGAAGTTACACTTCTGACCACTTCCTCTCCACATGCTTCCCTAGCACCAGCCTTGCCCAATTTCCCCCTGACATCTCTGCACCCTGTCCACCCCATTCCCCGGTTTCTCTCACTTTCCCTGCGCTCTCATTTGGACACTCCAGGCCTCAGGGCTTCCTGTTCTCTGACAGAGATGGCCCTGACTCTCACTGCTCTAATGATGCTCTTAAGTTCGCGGTTCTCCCCTAGATCTCTTTCACAAGCTCCTACTTGCTTGGACACTTCACTTGGTGTCCTACAACACCTTAAGTTCAGTGTCTCAAATGCATGTTCTTAACTTCCTTTCCTGACCTCCCAAGTTCACTTAATAATTCCACATACTGGCCAAAACCCTCTAATTCCCCCTCCTGTCCCTTGCCCCATGGATTTTCCCTCATAAAGCCCATCACATCGATCACTTTCCACTCCACTTAGGCTCACTCAGGCAGTAACTGCCTCACATCTGTTCTCCTACGTCAGCCTCCTTCTAGGCTCCCTGCCAGTGGTCTCCCCATCCACTCATAATGCTCACGCGTGAGTGTAATCACCCTGAAATTGTTCTAACACACATCATCCATGTCCCCCGCAATCTTCCTGGCCTCCACTCTGAGGCCCTGTGCAAGCAGTCCCTGCACTCTCAAACACAGCCCCCCTCAACCCCACCTCAGCAGGGTCCAAGCATTAACCACCTAGAGTCTTTGCTTATATTCCCCATTCTGGGGCCCACCACCTGCCTCGACTCTCATTTTCTCCTTGATATTTCACTGTCCAATCCCACTGCTACCTCCTCCAGGAAGCATCCCTACACATGCCAGCTCCCCATTAACAATGTCCACATTGCTGGTTTGTGATGGCATCAGATGCCTGGGGACAGATGTTACTCATGCTTCTTATGAGGTTGTCTCTTCTTACACTCTGCCAACTAGGTAACTAGCTCTTTGAAAGTGGTGATGGTGTACTATGTGTCTCTGCTCCCAACAGTGCCTTTCCCACAGCATGTGCTTGACAAAAACTTGCTAAATACATGAATGACTGAAGAATAAGCAAAAGGGAACAGGGAAAGTCACTGGGAAAGGAAGACAGAGGGCAGGGCCATGAACGATTCCCACAGGGTGGGAGACGGGGAGATGAAGGCAGGCAGACTCCAGAGAGAGGAGACAAGGGTGACCGGGGCCAGAGCTGGAGAGGTGAGTACCGGAGTGCCCACTGCGGGGCTGGCGCGTCCCTGGGTCAGGAAGAGGCTCCAGGTGGCCTCCAGCGGCTGAACCATCACCGACGGGGGAGGCAGGAGGAGATTCCTCTGTTGCACTCAAGCCTGCCAGCTCCTCCAAACGCACTTCCTGTCCCTGTGCTGGAGCTGAGACCTAGAGATGAGGAAATACAAGTGGGTTCAAGAGAGCAGCCTTGGAGGTGCAGGGCCCAAAACCTCTAAGAAGCAACCCTGGAGAGAAAGCTCGGGAGAAGACGAGCCTGAGTACCCTTCTGGCTACACCAGTACGGCCTAATTAGGGGGAGAAACTGTCCAAGCAGGGGCTGCAGCTTGTAACCCTACTTGCATCCCTCTGTTCACCTTCCTGTTAGAAGCCTGCAGACCCGACTATATAACCACTTCCCCTCTGTGTCAGTTCTTCAGACACAAATTTGCTTTAAGAACTATCTAGAAAAAGGAGCCGGGAGAGCAAGTCAGTACACTCCCTACTTCGGGGCCGACCGAAGAGGCCAACCGGAAGTACCCAGGAAGCAGAAAATGAGAGGCGCGTGCACCTGTGCGTGCACAAATGCTGCTGAGGCTGAGGGCCAGAGCAACACCCCAGAACGGGGGGCCGGCAGACCTCGGAGGAGGTTCCTCGATCCTCTCAGCAAAGTGTTTCCTCTTCAGAGAAACCACCCCGACCTCACTGACAAAGCAAGCACAGTCGCCCTCTCAGCCGTAGCGTGTTAATCTCTGTATTATCTCACTTACACCTTTACTGTCTGTGTCTCCCCAATGAAAAGTAATAGCTTTCGGTCCTGACCGCCAGCTCCTAGGACAGTGCTGGGCCCCCACTGGTGATCCATCAGCAATACTGCCCACTGACTTCCTCTCAGTATTTTGCTAAGGGTTTTTAGGGTTATCCGCAAACTCAGTTTTCAACATGCACTACCTCTCTTCAATAATTTATATAAGGAAGTCAAGGAAGATCAGGTAAGACTAACCTTTAGAGACTTGAGAACCTCTCAAAGCACAGACCTTTTATTTCTAACTGCTGCTTGCTGTCATCAAAGCAGCTCCTTGCAATCTCATGGCTCCCACCGCGACCAGCAGTTAGACCAGAGAGCCTACTACACCACCTACGTCAATCCCCTTTACAAACTCCCCCAAGCTGGCATGTCCTCAGTACGGCAGGAGGAGAAAATGACAGCTCCCTCAGTCAGCCTTGCAGGATATGCACCGCTGTGAGGCAAGGGACACTCGCTCCTGTGGTCCGTCTGTCCAGAGTGGGGGCGAGAGCAGGAGGCTCCCTGGGTCTGGGCTTCCCAGGCTCTCCACTGGATGGGTCTTCTAAGCGGGAGTTACAGCTCTTAAATACAGCAGCCATGGGGACTGGCAGAAGGTGGAACTGAACTGCACTGTGACAGCGCAGCCTTGTAATTCACCGGCAATTAAATCCTGGCACGGCTCCTGTTCTTTAGCTGAGATCGCAGGTCTCCTTTACAAAACCCCCATTCTGACTCCCAGTCGAAGATGGCGTTCGGCAGGAGGACACCAGGGGGCAGCTGGGGGCTTAGAACCCAGGGAGAGGGAAAATCCTGGTCCCCACCTTTGGTGGGAATCAGTAGTATCAGCAATGACCACACTGGCCAAGTCTCAGGGACAAAGGGACTGCTTCCTAGCTCTGTCGTTTAGATGAGTCACTTAACCTTCCTGTGCTTTATCACCTGTCAAATGGTTACTATTTGTGTATTTTGTAAGCCTGCTAGGAGCTGAAATAAAAGGACATAAAAGCACTTTGCAAGCTGCGTGATGCTGCAGCCCAGCAGGGACCCCTCTGCAGCCCCAGTGTGCACGCGCTTCTGCTGGCGGGCTGACTCTGATCCGCCCTGGTAGCTCTTGATCTCCCCTTGGCAAACTGCCATGCAAAAGCTGGTTCATTCCTTCAGCCATAAATACACTGTGAGCCGGCGCTAGGAGAGACAGCTCTGCTCTCAGGTCTTCATGTGAGAAACATGTAGCTGACAACAGCGGCAGAGAAATACAGGGAGTCCAGATACCCTACTCCTAGGCTGGAGCCAGGAGTGCTCGGCTGCCCTGACTGCCGACTGTCAGTAACTCTCCGGGGTTTGTGACCCAGTCATTTTTTTTCTGAGCTCCCTGGATAAAAAAAAGACTGAGTTTTAGTGGAGGGAGCATTCTCTTCTGCATAGAGCAAAAGGTAGGAAATAGGAAAGTTTTTTTTTCACCTCCTCACTGAACGGCACTCGAAACCGTTCTCCCGCCCCTTGTCTTCGCCCATGGTTGGGCCTACTTGTTCTCCAGACCCCAGTGATGGCTGATTTATTCCTGTGTGTTTACTTGTTTACACAAGGGAATAATGGTTGACATTGGGTTTGATTATGCCAGATGGACATTAGCTGGTACTCCTAGAAAAAGGTCTAGCCCTAGGACTCCAATCAACTGGTGTTGATTCTATAGGCATAGATATATAATCTTTTTTTTTAAAGATTTTATTTATTCATTTCTAGAGAGAGGGGAAGGGAGAAAAACATCGATGTGTGAGAGTAACATTGATTGGTTGCCTCTTGCACACCCTGTTGGGGACCTGGCCCACAACCCAGGCAGGGCACATGCCTGGGAATCGAACTGGCAACCTTTTGGTTCGCAGGCCAACGTTCAACCCACTTGAGCCACACCTGCCAGAGCTGTAATCGTTTTTTTTAACGTACTGGATAAAATTATGTGATGGGTACTCAGGAAATTTCATATACTGGGTTTCCCTAACAAACAGCAAAGGAGTACACAGAGGCGACCCTAATTCACCCTGGTTAAGGACATGGGCCTCACTGGGAGGAAGGGACTTACCCATGGTCTTTTGATACGTCAGTTTAGCACTGACCTGGGTGCTGCTGGGAAGGTATTTTGTATGCATTTAAAGTCCCTAACCGGCTCACTTTAGTATTGTAGATAATCTGGAAAGGCCTGATTCAGCCAGGGGTAAGACCTAACATTCGGGGCTGACGGTTCCATGAAGAAGGAATTCTGCCCGCGGACAGCAGCTCCGGCCTGTGCCCGAGGGTTTCAGCCCATCCTTCCGGCCGGCCTGCCCTACAGAGGTCAGACTTGCCTCGCCAGCTCCCAAAACCACGCAAGCTGCTTTCCAGCAATAACATAAATATTTATACATATGTGAAATTTCCTACTGTTTTTTTTTTCCTTTGGCTGAACTCTGACATGCATGGTCACTGCACCACCTAGCTCTATGGCCCTAGGGGACAGGTTTCTCTGTTATCATTCTTTTGACTCTCCAGCTTTTCCTCTGATTTGAATTACCTTGGCTTTAAATCTGAGAGAACCCAGGGAAACAGGAAAAATTGAAATTAAATAGGCAAAAAGACCCCAGCTGGGTTTGGAAAGCAAAAAAAGGAACAAATGCTTATGAGACCCAGAAATGTCACCTCTCCCAAGGACCCCACCAGGCAAGGAGAGAACTGACCCCGAGAAGTCTGAGGGAGGGAGTCAGGAGAACTGCTCAAACGGGAACTCACGTCATCAGCGCCCCCAAGCTTCACCTCTGCCCGCACGCTCCCGCATTCTAACCCACGTGCAGATCCTCTCCCTGCCCAGAGTGCCGTGTGCATCTCCAAGGTGCAGCTGGGCTCACGAAACCCTATTTCACAAAGAGATTCACGGCATGGCTGCAATTCACATTTTTGTTTATGGCTTAGACACAAAACCATTTCCCCTCTATCTCTGACTGGCTCAGGAATCCTAAGGGCAAACCGACCTAGGGACTAAGGAATGGAGAATGCCTATTCCCAGGCCAACCTAAGCACTAGAAAATGGTTCTAGATGCCATGCTAGACTCAGCTGCTCACCTCCCCCAGGCCACTGAGACGTCTCTGGAAATCCTCCACCACAGCCACGGCCTCCTCACCACTCTCAGGGTGACGCAGCTGCACCCAGGTCCGAATCTCCCCCGGCAGGATGCTCAGGAACTGCTCCAGCACCAGCAGCTCCAGGATCTGCTCCTTGGTGTGTACCTCTGGCATCAGCCACCAGCGGCAGAGCTCCCGCAGCCGGCTCAGCGCCTCCTGGGGCCCAGACATCTCGTGGTAACATAACTGCCTGAAGTGTAGCCGGAAAATTTCACAAACGGGAGGGTGGTTCCTTTGGAGACTGCAGCCCTGCCTCCAGGTCTGGCCCCCTGGCTCCTGCTTTACAGTCAGGCGCCCCTCCTGCTTCTGGAGAACAGCACCCCTGGAGATAAGACCTAAAGCTGCCCTGCCTTGGGTGGCCATTACAACCCCAGAGATGCTTGTTCCAGCAGCAGCAGTCTGTCCAGTTAAAATGATGGTCTGTAATTCAGGTCTCCGGAGCTGTTTTCCAGAGTCGAGGTGTGGGGTGATGGGAGTGTCACCTACAGAAACATCAAGAGAGAAATCAGAGCCCCCAGATAGTTCAGTACCAGGCTGATGACAAATCCTCCACACTGAAAAAGCAAAGCTTCAGAAAAGAGAGAGAACAGCCAGGGCAGTCTCTCTAAGTATCTCTCCAGCTGATTTCCCTTCTTAAACTTTCAGTGGCTCCCATAAGCTGCAGGGTAAAACCGAAATATCTATGCACAGCATTCACAGCCCTTCACAACATGGGCTTAGGCCCCTGTTCTAGCCACACCCCCTACTCCTCTCCCCAGGAACCCAGGCTAGAAAGATAGCAATGAACTCCAGATATGGGAAATGCAAGATGATCCAAAGGGTGCATAGAAAATACTAAGTAGTTATTTAACTCCTATTTAACGCATCTCCCTCCCTCTTTCTCTTCTTTCTCTTCACCTGAGGATATGTTTTATTGATTTGAGAGAGAAACATGGGTCGATTGTTTACTGTATGAACCCCAACTGGGGATCGAACCCACAACCTCTTGGTGTAGGGGACGACACTCCAACCAACTGAACTACCCGGCCAGGGCAGCACATGTTTTATAATGTGCATTACATTTGTAAAACAGCATGTATCTTTAACTTACAAAAAAACCTATGTTGGAAGTACATGCTCAACACTCTTCTACCCTTCTCTGTTGAGATAGAGATGTACAATAAAGAAAGTCTGGGACTAAAGCTCTACAGAGCTCTGTAATACTCTTGCTCTGTTTGGATTTTTCTTCTTCCTTTCAACTGTTGACAAACTCCTACTCATCAGTCGAGACCCCAATGCCATTTGCTCTGGAAGGCTTCCCTGACTGCCCCATGTGGAGCGAGAGCTGGCGGCCTCCTTCCCTCCCCTCTCACTGCAACACTGTGTTTTCACCAGTGTACCTGCAACTCGACACTCACACCCTCCAAGCCGCTGGCTGGCCACCAAAGGAAAGGAATGGGATGCAGTTAGAAAATGCCAGACCTTTTTCTCCTCAACCTTCCCCAGAAAACCTTCCTGATGTTTCCAGGCCTTTAAGCATGGCTCTGCCTCACTGAGAGCACAGTGCCCTTTTCATTCAAACGTGTGTTTGTGGTTTACCCGGCTGTCTCCCCCATTTCTGGGAGGACTGAGAGGGCGGGGCGGGGCCCCAGTCCTCTCCCGCTGCGTGTGTACACAACACACAGGAACACCTGTTCGGTGAATGAATGAATGAATGTGGTTCATTTAGCTGATACTGAAGGAGGGGGAGACTTTTATTCAGTTTATACATCGCAAAACTTTGGAAACCAGCTCTTTGCTGATAACTAGGGCATCTGCGCTCTGCTTCCAATTTACCGTGCTCCTCGGTACCCTGGGGACGCTACCTCTCACTAGGCCTCAATTTCTTTAAAAAGAGAAAGACGGACTTAAAAGTAACCTGTGTCCTCTTAGATCTCATTATACTTGTATAAAGTCCTGGCCCCTTTCCTACTTCCTTCACTGTTCCAAATGCTCAGCAACTTATCTCATCTGGATTTCAGGTGTCCAAGTCCCACTCCACGTTTGAGATTCCGACAGCGACCGACCCACTTCCGACGCTCCGTATGGTGTCCCCGGGCAAAGCTGGGAAAACACCTATCTGCGCTTCGCGTTCGACTAGGCTCACCTGACCGCGTCTGCCCTGTTCATTGCGGTGCCCGCAGGGGCCCGGGTCCGTGCCGGGCACAGCTGGTCAGGGGAGTGCGTCAAAGAGGTGGCTGAACATCGGGCTGCTTTTGAGCGCCGCAGGGACGGCGCCGCCAGCCTCGGGCGCCAAGCGTGGGCCCGGCCAGCGTCACAGGACCCCGGCCCAGACAGCACCTCCCTCCCCGCCCCCGAAATGTTCCCTAGGGTGCCGCTGTGGCGACACCTCCGAGCCGCACTCTTTCGCGGCCGGGAGCAGCAGAAAAACAATGGCCGACCCGGAAGTGAGAGAGGCCCCACTTCCGGACGCCCCAGGAACCCGGAAGTCGCTGCGTTGAAGGTGGGCGCGCTGGGGTGGTTCGTTCTCGGGCCAATCAGGCCACCGGGACGGAAGCAGGGAGGGGATGCGATTGAAACCTCATCCTGCAATTGGGCTCTCAGACTATTAAAGGTCTGGGCAACCGGAGTCTCCGAGCTCCACTCCTTCCCCTCTGGGTTCTCTTGGGAAAGATACCCAAACATCTGAAAATGCAGAGCATAGCGTGTGCCTCTTGGGGCTATGAGCAGTGAAATGGCTAATAAGATTAAGTTTCTTTATTCTCAGAGCTTCTGATGCTTAAGTGGTTGGCTTCATTTCTGTAATGAAATGAGTGTTTAGACTTTATAGGTACTACCATGGCCACCACTGTGGGTCTGATCTACCATGACTAGGTTGGGTCCCAGTAGGGGAAACATGGTCCATGATGCCTCCCACATAGCACCTTGGGACACCTGCATTTGGGCCAAAGACAATCCCAGAAGGCCTGAGGGAACGAACACTACCCTGGCCTCTCTTGGACACTATCACACTAGCCTTGGTACAGAGCTAACAACAGGTAACCCAAATGCTACATGCCTAAAGCAGAACTCACATCTACCCTTGATTCTGAAGCTCAACACATGTTCCCACCACTGTAAAAAGCACTGTCATTCACCTGGAGGCCCAAACTAGAATTCTGGATGTCATGCCATGGCCTGGGTGTTCATGGGCAAGTTAAGCCTTTGTGCTGCAGCTTCCTCATCCGTAAAGTAAAGATAATAATAGTACCTAAATAATAGAGTTATGATATGAGGACTGAATGAGATAATTTATATATATATATATTATATATATTTTATATATATATTATATATATATATGAAATCACTTAAAATGGTGTGTGGCACATGGTAGGAATTATACATGTTTTTTAGTATTATGTTTCCTCCCATTTCCTCATTCCCTGTATCCAGATCATCGCCAAGGTCAGCCAGCCAAGCCTCTGCCCCATTTGTATGTAACAACAACAACAACAACAGAAAATACTTACACCACTCACTGTGCTGCTCTGCACCCTGTATTAAGTCCAGCCTAAGGTGAGAGCACATGTCAGAAGGGTGTTCCTAGGAGCCTTTTGGATTTACAGAGACCACAAAGAGAGGAGCACAGCCAGGGCTCAAGATTCTCTGCCCCCAAACTGTTTAGACCTTTTGGCATCATCTATGTGGACTGTCCCCTTTTCAGCAGTCATGACTCCCTTACCCTAAAAAGAAGGTGGGGCCCTAGACCACACCCCAGCCTCTTCACTGGAATGTGGGCAGGAATCCCCAGCTACTGTGCTTGAATAGTGGATGGGGTCCAAGCCCTTCTAGATAGGAGGCCCTCCTGCTAGATAGGAGACTCTCCTATCATCTTGAAAACTTCTACTTGGCCTTTAAGACATAGCTGAGAAAATCCCTTTTCCAGGAACTCTTCCATGTACCCCATTTCCCCACCTGGATTAGATGTCCCTTCCTTTGTGCTCCTGTGGTGGCCTGGCATGTGCTTGTCAAGGCCCTTATTTGTCACACTGCATTAACACCGCTGACTTGTCCACCTTCGCAGGCCCTCCCAATTTCCTAGAGAGGCCGCCGTGCCGCACCAGTGCGGGAGGTGGGGCGGTGGCGGGGGCCCGTGGGCTGACCCAGGACCCAGTCCCCGCCATGCTGTGGGAGGATCTGGGAGCGCTTTGCCTGCCGCCTGGAGCACCTGGAGAGAATTTCCGTGTTTTCTGTATTCTCCCAATTATGCAAACAAAGTGTACGCATTACAGACGGTTAGATGACGCGGATGAGTGTAAAAAAAGTAGAAGTAGCCACAATTCGCTGATGTTTTCTTCGGGAGGCTTCCTGCTATTTTAAAGTTTATGCATAATTATGGAAACTCATGTACATGTATATGTGTATTTATATGACATGGGATAATACTGTTGCTATTTCTTTTTTTTTTTCTTTTGATGGGGGCTGTGGGATGAAAGTACTTGTTTTTCAGGAATTCTGTGAGCGTATAGAGGGAGAAATCAGTGGATAGCACATCTTTAACCTTTTGAAAATTAAAGTCTTTGAACAGCCCTGGTTGGTGTGGCTCAGTGGATTGAGCGCCAGCCTGCGTGCGATCCAAAGGGTTTCTGGTTCGATTCCCAGTCAGGGTGCATGCCTGGATTGCGGGCCAGGTCCTCAGTGTGGGGCTCGTGAGAGGCAACCACACACTGATGTTCCTCTCTCTATCTTTCTCCCATTCTTCCCCTCTGTCTAAAACAACAACACCAACAAAAACAAAAAATAAATAAAGTCTTCGAAAATATCCTATTTTAATTACACACACTTTTTACCCACTTTTAATGGTTGTTCTGTGTATTGTTTAATTTTGCCAATATTTCACCTCAAGTGTTCACTGACTCAACACCCTTTCCTAAAAGGGATCTGCTGATCGTGGACCAGGGCTGTCCACCTTTACCGGAAGCGAGGGCAAAGGCAGGAGAGCAAAGACAGGTGCCGGTCTCCGGAGGAAGATTCTGGGTGAAAGCGGCTGCAGCTTCCCACCTTTGATCGCGAGAAGGGTGATGAACGGGAGAGACACGTCCAGGCTCAACTTTGTTCTGGACCGATTTTCAAGGCCCCGCCTTCAGTACCTTGGACGGTCAGGTGGGCGATGGCGAGGGGGAAACTGAGGAAGACGGCCAACAGCAGCGAACAGAGGATTGAGAGGATCTAGACCGGCCACCTGGCCTGGCCTCGCGCACCTGCCGGGAAGATGCCATTGGGTAGATCAGGCAGGACTGGAGGAGACCTGTCCGCCTCCAGCGCCTTCTAGGCTCCGCGCGCCCGGCCAGAAAACTGCCCTCAGGTCTCGGACTGCTTGGTTGCATCCCTCTTCCTCGTGGACTTCACCTTCACCCCAACTGTTCCCTCGAGTAAAGGCACATAAAGCCTGCGAGCAAAGGGACAGGGGAGCTGAAGTGGCGCGGCGGAGAGGACCGCCTTGCGCACTCCACAAAGGACATAGCGGGAAAGACAGGCGTGGGGAGGTCTAGCATCTCCATATTGTTGCTTTTGAAACATGTAATCCATGCATTTTACTTTTTAATTACTTAATTTCTTATGGAGGTGAATTGACATATAACATTAAGTTTCAGGTCCTTTGTAACATAATGACTCGATATTTGTATATTATTGTTTTTAAAAAGCTTTTGGGTTTTGCACATAACATATGCATAAAAGTGTGGATCATTTTATCCATTTTAAGGTGAAAATTCACTGGCATTAAATACATGTATAGTGTCACCACTTGAAATTATAATATCTTCAACTTGCAGAATGCATTTATTTGCTCATATACTGGTTACTTCTGGTGCTAGCATTATGGCACGACTAAGACATGTTTTTGCAAGTATAATTAAAAAGAAAACATTTTGTTTGCAGTTTATTTCCCATAGTACACAGTGCACGAGGCTGTAAATGCTCAACTATCAATGTATGGGGAGAAAAAGAGCAAAATCGTTTTGTTGTTGTTGTTTTATTCTTATACAGGCCCCCTTTACTTATTTATTTTTCATTTAAATTTTACTTTTCAACGAACAGTTTCCATTCCATATTATTTTGTATTCGTTTCAGGTGTACAGCATGGTGGTACACCTTTATGCTTTTATATGCTTATGCTTATTATATGCTTTATAGAGTGTTTATATTATATGCTTTATAGAGTGTTCTTCCCCTTGAGAGTTCCAGGACCCACCTGGCAGCATCTATCGTTATTACCGCAAAGTCTTGTTTATTAGGATGATTGCTTTTCCGAAGGAAAGAGTAGAATGTAAAAAATACAGCTTGTTAAACAAATGTGAGGGGTATATCTAACCTGAAACCTTCCCTGTCTTCTGACTGGCTTAGGCTTGCAGAGTCCGGCTCTGCTCCCTAAGTTAACACTGGTGGGCAGAGGGGAATGCCTTCCTGTTTCAAACTGTCTTGCAGTTCATACTGAAAACTCATTAATAGTAGGGCAGTTGTCCCGCAAAGGAAGTGTCAAGGACTGTATTTAGCCATGTTTTGATTAAGGGAACTTCTCTCTGCTATACACACATGTGTATCTGTGTGAGCATTCAGGGACTGACCAGTGAGGCTGCTCTAGCATGTTAATGCTAAAGAAATCAGACATATTTTGGTTAAAAAAATAATCCTTCCTGTACGCTGGAAAGATGTGAATGTTTTGAAGATGAACCTCAGTGTGTTCTTTTTTTTTTTAAGATTTTATTTATTTATTTATTTTTAGAGAGGGGAAGGGAGGAAGAGAGAAGCGTCAATGTGTGGTTGCCTCTCAAGCGCCCCCTACTGGAGACCTGGCCCAAACTTAGGCATGTGCCCTGACTGGGAATCAAACCAGCAACCCTTTGCTTTGCAGGCCAGCACTCCATCCACTGAGCCACACCAGCCAGGGTGAACCTCAGTATGTTCTTAAAGGGGCACTGACAAAAGCATCAACAGTACGAATCAGGCTGGTGCATCTCTGCACACCACGCCCCTCTCCTTTCTCGGAGGGTGAATAAAAATTTTATTCTCTGTCAAAAAAAGTGCTTTTCGTTCTGCCCTTTTCCATGCTACCCACAGAGGTGTCCATGTGGGGTTGCTCTCGGTTCCCAGGTAAGTGAAAGGGACACTTTCACAATGTCCAGAGCCCTTGATGTCCTGCAAATGAAGAAGGAGTTTGTCCTCAAAGTCCTTGCAGCAGGATCCCAATTAGGAGGCACCGACCGAGACTTCCATGTGGGACAGGACACTTACAAAAGGAAAACTGACGGCATCCACACCAGGAATCTGGAGGGAACCTGGGAGAAGCTCCTCCTGGCAGCTCTAGAGCTGTGCCCAAGTTCAGGGCTGCCGCTGGAGCCACTCCTACTGCCGGCCACTTCACTCCCGGCGCCTTTGCTAACCAGGTCCAGGCAGTCTTCCGGGAGCCCCGGCGGTTACCGACCCCAGGGCGGACTACCGGCCTCTCACCGAGGCGTCCTGTGTTAACTGACCACTGCCCTGTGTCCCACAGACTCTCCTCTGTGCCATATGGATGTTGCCATCCCTTGCAACAACCGGGGGGCTCACTCAGGGGGTCTGATGTGGGTGCTGGCCCGGGAGTTGGGCACACTCCCGGCACCATCTCCCGAGAACACCCATGGGAGGTCCCGCCTGAGCTCTCCCTCTGCAGAGACCCTGAAGGGACTGAGAAGGAAGAGCAGGCCGCTGCTGAAGCGGCCGTGGCCAAGGGGGCATTTCGGGGTGGATGCATTGCTCCGGCGCCCAGGTTCACCACCGCTCAGCCTGAGGTCGCAGACTGGTGCCCTCTGGGCCCGCTCAGCGGTTTCCCACGGAAGGCTGGTCGGCAGCCCCCACTGCGCAGGCCACGGGATGGGGAGGAACCACCACTGATGCTCTTAAGCTCTTCTTCCACAAACTCTCAACAGAATGGGAATAAAGTTGATGGAACATAAACAGTTTCTCAAAAAGAAAGTACTAACTGTTCCACTGTTTAGGTTTTCTATGGCTCTAGGTGCCCGGGAAGTAGTAACCTGTAAGCAGCCTGTAACGGCCGAGAGTTGCGAGGGAGTACAATGCATACAGTAAACATAACTTCCCTTATTTTGCAGCTTCTAGTATTTTTTACGTCAGAAACAACCTGAAAGCACTTCCTCAGGTGAATTAGGATGGGTTCTACAGGATAGAATTTTTTTTAAAGATTTTATTTATTTATTTTTAGAGAGGGAAGGGAGGGAGACAGAGAGAGAGAGAGAGAGAAACATCAATGTGCAGTTGCTGGGGGCCGTGGCCTGCAACCCAGGCGTGTGCCCTGACTGGGAATCGAACCTGTGACACTTTGGTTCGCAGCCCGCACTCAATCCACTGAGCTACACCAGCCAGGGCAGGATAGAATTTTTGAGCTTTCACTTTCCCTTTCCTGATCTTAAACCCCTTCTTTTTCCTGCCTTTTTTATACTTCTTACCACCTGTCACCTTCTCACATATGTTTTACTTAGTTCATTGTCTGTCTTCCCACTAGCTCCTCAAGGCAGTGCTTTACGTCTGCTGTATTCACTGCTACGATCCTAGTGCCTGATACATAGCAGTTGCTCATTAAATGTTTGTTAAATTTTTGAAAGAATGAATCCCACTTGAAGATAACAATTGTCGGTATTTAATGTCCTCGATTCCCCAGTTAATCCTAAATACAGGGCGGGGCAAAAGTAGGCTTGCAGTTGACAGTATGCAAAACACCAAGTTCATTCTTGTTTCATTTATTAATTATTCCATCATTTTCCACATGAACCACTGTAAACACACTTTTGCCCCATCTTTTATTTAAGATAGAGATAAATCAGAAAAAAAAACCACACTAAGAACTCAGACTTCTACCATTCTGAATCATTGCAGACTTAACAGGGGGTTGCAGAACTGCACCGAGTCCCCTTCTCCTCTCACCCAGTTTGCGTTAGGTCACACCTTGTATAGCCCCAGTGCAGCACCAACAGGAGACATCAACAGGGGTTCAGTGTGAGTGGTGAGTCTGCAGCTTTAAGCAGAGTTGTCAGTGGCTGACTGTTGACCCTTGCATGCTAGGACTCCATCTGGAGTCCCTCATGTCCTTAGTTGTCATGTCTCCTTACTCTCCTTCCACGTGTTCCCCTTCCCCCGCTGTCCTCGTTTTCCATGATGCTGACACTTGGATGTGTTTCGGATTTGTAGTTTTAGGGTGACCACCCATTTGGTTTTCTGTTCGTTCTCTCCTGTTTGGGTTGAGAATGACGTTGAGTCCAATCACTGGTGATATCGACCTCATCCTGTGGTGTCTGCCAGATGTCACACTGTCAAGGCAGTGACTTTGTCTTTGGAATTGGCGAAGTATTTTGGGGAAGATAGCTGGAGACTCTGCATAGGAATGTCCTGCTTCTCCCTGGCTTTCACCAGTCAGCCAGCATTCTTGGTGGAGCTGGCCCGCAGCAGTTAATACTGCAGTGTTCCAGTGGTGACTTGCATTTCTGTGACTCCATCTGCTTTGATTCCCTGCAATTCTTTGTGAGGGAGCATTGTGCCCCACTCCCCTTTGCTTATCTGTTCGATTAGTTCTACCTGCCTGCGATGTTGGATGTGCGATTTTTTCTTTGGCTTACAATGCAGTGCCATTGTTGTTTATTTTGTTGCCTAACTTATTCTAGCTCTGGCCATCAGCAGCTCTTTCAGGTTGTTTGTGTCCCTGTGAGGTGTCCCCATCCCTTTTTGTGTCTTTCCCTGACTTTCTGGCCTCAGAAACTACTCCTCTGCCCGCCCTGGAATCAACCACTTCTCCACGGGCCCTGGTTCTGTGTATTAGAGACTGGTATTTAGGCATCAAGTTTTGGGCACTAGGTTTAAGCTCCTTTCTCAAATGAGATATTTGTGCAACTGCTATTTTATGATTTTAAACATGTACTGGAAAGGAAGTCTCTCTTTAGTGGTGATTACTGAGAAACTTGTTTGCTTATTATCCATATATAGGGTCAACCTATGTACCCTCACACTGGAAGGAAAACCATGAGAATAAGATACTTTTTAAGGAGGATTTTTTAAGGAAAACCGACAAAATTACATTGGGGGTAAGTTGAGAAGCAAAATGACATAAAGAAGAAAATACCTCTGAAAAACGGCCAGGTGACTGCTTGGGATTTTCCCCATTTTTCCCAGAGCATTTACTGTCACTGTGGGAATGAGAGTGGGTTAAGGTGCGACTCTTGCAGAGAAGAGACCTTATCCAGCTCACCTAGTTTACCATTTGCGGGCTCATGATTGTGATAGGATCTCAGCACATTAATGAATGAAGCTTTTCCTCTGTCTTCCAAAGCTAGTTGGGACAGGAGTGGACCTTGTCACATCAGGATACCTGAACTTACCTGAGCAGGTTCAGCTCATTGATCCCATCTGTTTCCCATGCTTTGGGTCTTTCATTCAATTTCAAAGGCCCATGAGGTCTTTAGCAATTTATCCATGTTCATGGTTTTGGATGCTGCACTCTTCTTTTTATTTTAAGGTTTATTTTATTCTCATTGAAGAGAGAAGGCAGCCAGGGGCGGGGGAGAGAAAGGAACATCGATAGGTTGCCTTCTGCACATACCCCGACTGGGGAGTCAAATCCACAACCTAGGTATATGCCCTGACTAGGAATCAAACCACCTACCAGTTTTCAGTTTGACCCAGGACATTCTACTGCACCCTCTGTGGAAAATTCACAGCACATGCAGGGGAACGCCTGGGTGGACGAGGGATGAGCGTCTGTGTGCGTGGAGCTGCCTGGGTCCTCGTGAACCCACTCTGCGGTACAGCCTTACTGGAGCCAAGGGCAGGGCTCATCCACTCAGATTTCTTTCCTCCCTCAGCTCCATGTGCTTCCCCTGCCCCTGCCCCTCCCCAAGTGGGCAGCTCAGGACACCAAGCAGCAGCAGCAGCTGTGCTTCGGATGGCCAGGCCCCAGGTGAGCTGGGTTCTTTGTGTCTTTCCTGAGTTCCTGAGTCTGTGGCCCAGGAAGAGCTAGAGCTCATCTGCGGGGCTCTGGCCCCTGCTGAGACTGCCCCTGTGGCTGCCCTGTCTCCTTGCTCCCCCTGGAGCTGGGGCCGCCTGCTGAGTTCATGGACTGTCTCTTGCCCCGGACTTGTCCTTTCAGATGTGTCATCCCAGCTTCTGGCCTCTCCACCCCTTTGCCCAGCAGGGCCCTTGCCCTGTGCTCTCAGCATCCCTGATGACCCTCTGCCCTTCGGGGGAGGGAGTGTCTCTGAGCGATGGAAGCTTGTCATTGCAGGGGTCTGCAGCGTACGAGTTCCCGTCTGCGGACTACACGGGGAGGAAGTGGAAAGGCCGGGCACCGAGTCAGAGAGCCCTGAACCAGAGCAGCATGCCAGAAACTTCCTGCAGCGTGGCCTCACTGGGTAATGAGTCTGTGCCTGGGAACCTAGCAGCTGCATCCTTCACGTTGTCTTTGCTGTATTTCTCTCCTTTTTTGACTTTTCATTATGAAAAGTTGCCCACATAGACAAAGCAGAACAGTATGATGACCCTCTCTGCTCCCATCATCCAGCTTTAATACTTGTCGCCATTCTCTGTACTTCATTCTGAATTGAGCTGGGGTGGTTTATGTAGAGTTTATATTTCTAAGGGATAGAGACCCACTCAAGTGATTTTAAGTAATGAGCCATGTTACTTACAATAAGGCTAAAGGGATGGGAAACTTGTACAAACTGACCAGGTAGACCAGACTTTGGGAAGCAGGGTCTTGTGGAGCCTGGGGAGCCTGGGAGCCTCAGCAACAAACGGAAATGAATTTTTATGCTGGTGTTGTGCTGGGAATGTCACTTAGCTGCTCCCTGCACATCTGTTTTCTTTTTTTAGTGATTGTGGTCACCCTGGGGTTAGCTGGGTTGTTTGGCCCAAGGCACGGCTGCCTCAGCTTCCCTGTGAGCGCAGACTGTGGTTTGACAGTTTCCTGGAAGTGGATGTCATGGGTCAGGGTCTCTGAAGGACAGGTCTAAGAAAGTAGTCAACTCTGGAGAAGTGGGCTGAGGAGTCATTTTGATCTCCGGCAAGGGGCCAGAGATCTTTAACTTTCCATGCCCTAAAATGGTGTAACGGCTGTGGTTCTGTTTAAGACAAAATGAACCAAAATTTTTGTGTTGAGATGACTGTGCTACTCTCCCTTCGACTTGCTTTTATATTGAAAAATTCTAGAATTAAAAAGCAAATATTCGACTGTTCAGTTTCTTTATGGTTCCAGACTATCGAGACATCAAAGACATATTTTGATTTATATTTCAAGTCACTGAACTCACAGTGGGGAGAACCCTTATGAATGCAGTGAATGTGGAGCGGCCCTTACCAGTCCAGTTCTACAGGGTCTGCAGGGGCCCTGGTCCCAGAGCTCTGCTGTCCCCATCAACACTTCTGAACCCATGGCTTCTCAAAATCTTGTCACTGTCCTGCTGTATCCGAATCCCTCCTTTTTTACATTTTTTTCTTATCATACACTCAGTAATGTAAATCTCCCTTCAATTCTCATGTTTGCCCACGCTGTTTCTCATATTTAACTTGAGGTGTTTGCTCTCACTGTGTCTCCCCAATGTCTTTGTTGAGAATCGTGGAACTATGTGATATCATGGTCGGTAAAGATCTTCAGAGATTATCGTTTGCAAAGGGCACAGAGCATCGCAGTGACCTCGGGAAGATCAAACAAGCTTTCTATCTGGTTTTTCTCGTACCTTTCCATTGCCAACCTCACTTGGCCGTGCTGACTCACCATCTGTCTGTCATCATGACTCTTCATCCACCCTCTTCCACCAACCTTCCCCACCTTTGTCTTTCTGTCCATGAACAAAAATTCGAGCTGTTTCTCATTTTCTCTCTTGTTCTCCATGTGTCACATCGTTCCTTACCCTGTAACGTGAAGGCTTTTTCAGGTACATGGACTCCTGATGATTCTGTTTCCTCAGTAGGACAAGAAGTGAGTAAAGCTTTTCTTCTTCTTCTTCTTTTTTTTTTTGGCATCAGGTGAGACTAGGATGGAGAAATGTGAGTTGCCTCCAGGGCAGGAAATGTCTGAAGGATCGGGGTCACCTGCTGGGACACCAGGAGGCCTATGTGGGGTGGAACCTGGGGCACCAGGAGCTGGAATTGCCTGTGAAGATGCTGTAGGGCAGCTCGAAGCACATCCCTCAGAGGAGGGAGGGAGCAGCCTGGAAAGCGGTTTCCTGGAAATGACTTGTGAGGATAAAAACAAATCCACAAAAGATGGATGTAATGGATGTAAAGAACCTGGGGATCATCAGAATCTATCTTCTAGGCCTGCAGGACAGCAGGTTATGAAGTCACAGAAATTCTATCAGTGTGATGAATGTGGCAAATCTTTCAATTGGAGCTCACACCTCACTGGCCATCAGAGAATCCACACTGGAGAGAAACCCTATGAGTGTATCGAGTGTGGCAAGACCTTCAGGCAGACCTCTCAGCTCATAGTTCACCTGAGAACCCACACAGGGGAAAAGCCCTATGAATGCAGCAAGTGTGGGAAGACCTACTGGCACAGCTCCCATCTCGTTCAACACCAGAGACACCATGATGGGGAGAAACCGTATACCTGCAATGAATGTGGAAAAGCCTTTGCTCAGAGTTCCCAACTCATTGACCACCAGAGGACCCATACTGGGGAGAAACCTTATGAATGCAGTGACTGTGGGGAGACCTTCATTCGGAGTAAAAGTCTTGTCCGACATCAGGTTCTACACACTGGTGAGAAACCCTATAAGTGTAACGAATGTGGGAAAGCTTTCTGTTCTAATAGAAATCTTACTGACCATCAGAGAATTCACACTGGGGAGAAGCCTTATGAGTGTTTTGAATGTGGCAAGACCTTCAGTCGGAACAAATGTCTTACCCGACATCAAAGTCTCCACACTGAGGAAAAGCCTTACAAGTGCAGGGAGTGTGGGAAAGCCTTCAGTCAGAACTCTCAGCTCGCCGACCATGAGCAAATTCATACTGGAGAAAAGCCTTTTGAATGCAGTGAGTGTGGGAAGGCATTCAGCCTGAGTAAATGTCTTATTCGACATCAGAGGCTTCACACAGGTGAAAAGCCCTATAAATGCAATGAGTGTGGAAAATCCTTCAATCAAAACTCACACCTCATCATACACCAGAGAATTCACACTGGCGAGAAACCTTATGAATGTAGTGAGTGTGGGAAGGTCTTCAGTTACAGCTCCAGTCTAATGGTACATCAGAGAACCCATACTGGGGAGAAACCCTACAAATGTAACAATTGTGGGAAAGCCTTTAGTGACAGCTCACAACTCATTGTGCACCAGAGAGTTCACACTGGCGAGAAACCCTATGAATGTGCTGAGTGTGGGAAAGCCTTCAGTCAGCGTTCCACTTTTAACCACCACCAGCGAACTCACACTGGAGAGAAGCAGTCAGGTGTGGCTCGGTCAGCTTCCTGAGGCCTAAGTATCCAAGACTGAGAGCAAGGCACTTGGCATTAAGCTTTCTTTGTAAGAAGGGTGTTTACTCTGCCCCCCTGCAGGAGCCATTAATGAAAGTGGGCCATCCTCTGAGTGCTGTCTGCTGGGTCATGAGGGTGGGAGAGTGGGGAACAGTGTGTTCCCTGCCCACCATTGTGGACGGATGGACTACACAATTCATGCACTTGTAGGGCTTTCCTTTTTTTGTTTGTTTGTTTAAAAATATAATTCCTTTCTTTGTTATGCATCCCATAATTGGCTTGTGTGCTTCTGAGGGATAGAAATTATATCTTTGTTATTCTCCTCCACCACCTTCATTTCCCAGGTTATAGAAAGACGTTCTCAAGACCTGTTCACTCTCTTTTTTTCTTTTGAATTTTTATGAGTTATTTGGGCCAAACTGACGACATGACAGAAACAAGATCTCAAATGCTCCTTTTTTTCTCTTGTCTTGGCTCTTTTGAAACTTTTATTTTAGTCTATACCCTCATCACTTGTTCACTACCTAGAAAACCTTTTCTTCTTCCTGTTGCTAATCTCTGCCCCTCAGAACCTTTATGATCCAGCTCATCTGTGAAAGACTTCCCTCTTGAAATGCTTCTTCCTTCCCCCTAAACTATTAACATGACTTCAATACTTTGAACTAGCCTGAGCTACAATTTAGAGTTGTTAAGTTGTCTTGTCAATGATTCACAACTTAATGCATATGTGTATACTTCCACACCAACTGAATGTAGGCTCTTTGAGGGTGGGTATGACATCTTATTTTTTTCATCATATAGATAATAATCTGCATGTACTAGTTAAATAAATAATTTAAAAAATTCAACTCTCCAGTGCCTTGGGCAAATTACATGCCCATTCTTAAATTGGGCATGAGCTTTCCTGCCACCTCTTGACCAAAAATTTTAAAGATGGCTGTCACAGGATATCATATGTAAAAGCCTCACTCTCATATTCTACATGTACACCTGGGAGACTTTTAAAATTTTTTTCATAACTTCTACTTGAACCAAAATTTTGAGGAAATGCCTGGAACCCCCAGGAGTCTTACTAGTGTTATTTTAGCATGAAAGAATAATATCATCCTGCTAATAGGTACTTTTCCTTGCTAACTGACTTTACGGCTGAACTAGCTGGTTCCACCTTGGTGCCTGAGTAAATGAGTGAAGAACTGCCTCAAATTTTAGTGCAAAGAAGATCTGACATTCCTGGCTGTGGCAAAAATGATTGAAAATCCCAGTGTAGCCCTAGCTGGTGTGGTTCAGTGGATCGAGTGCCGGCCTGTAGAGGAAGTGTCGCCATTCAGTTCCCTGCAAGGGCACATGCCTGGGTTTCAGGCCAGGTCCCCATTTGGGGGTGCATGAGAGAGGCAACTGGCCAAGAGATGTTTTTCTCCCACCTTGATGCTTCTCTCCCTCTCTTGCTCCCTCCTTTTCTTTCTCTCTAAAACATGAATAAATAAAATATTTAAAAGAATAAAATCCCAGTTAGAAACATTCTTGGAAGTTTGTATTCACATGATTTAGTTTGTTTAAAGATAATAGACTTATGCCCTGGCTGGCGTAGCTCAGTGGATTGAGCGCGGGCTGGGAACCAAAGTGTCCCAGGTTCAATTCCCAGCCAGGGTACTTGCCCGGGTTGCAGACCATAATCCCCAGCAACCGCACATTGATGTTTCTCTCTCTCTCTCTCTCTCTCTCTCTCTCTCTCTCTCTCTCTCTCTCTCTCTCTCTCTCCCTTCCCTCTCTAAAAATAAATAAATAAATAAAATCTAGAAAAAAATAAATACCTAGAGATTACACATTAAAAAAAAGATAATAGACTTAAATTTATCTGATTTCCTTATCAACTAGTTCTGTGTCCTGCAACTGCCATCTAAATTTAGGGTGAGATGTATACCCTTGTTTATTGTCATGTTCTGGACCATCTTTCATTCCCAGGGGTGTGAGAGGCAAGAATCTTTCCAGAGGATTTCCTCTCCTTCTGCAGTCATATATAAGACAGGATCCTGAACAACCTTTTTCCTCCTTGCAGTAATGCTCCGGTGCTGGAGACCTTTGTCTCTGCTGTTCACCCACTTCCTCTTAGCAGAACAATAGGATTGACGATGTGAGAAAGGGGGAAGAGGAAGTTAGAGGTACAGTGTTAGGTATGTACCCTGGAGGGAGGAGTTTTTGTGAACTGTGATTTATGTCTCAGAGACAATGAGGAGGAAAGGGAAGGGAGGTGAGGCTCAAGAAAATCAGAATTTAATGTGATTCTGGGGAAGGCATCTCAGATACAAAGAATGTTTATCGCGGGGGTCAAAAGAAAAAGATGTGAAACTAGCTTCATTTGGCATGTTAAATTACCTGGGCTGCATAATGAAATAAAAAAAAATAATAAACCTTAGGTTATATGTGTGTGAACAAGTGTTACTCATATAGGTAGTCTAGAAATTGAAGTTCATAGAAATTTGTCGGTATTGTCATTGTCTAGTTGTTAAATTATTGTATGCCACCAAAGTAACTAAATTTTCTTATAAATGTTTTTAACCATGGCCCTTTTTAAAATCTTTCAGTCACTTACAGACAGTTGCTGTGGTAAACTGATTTTCAGAGAGCTTAGTGAAAACGACTCTGATAAGTAGTCTGGAATACAGGATTTAGATAACTTTACGATCACTTTACCTAAACCAGTAAGGATTTCCAAAACTCTAATGGAAAAACTGGATTCACATAGAGCAAAAATAAATGACTTGGGATTAAATGAACTGATGAGAATGGTTATAAATTTTTGTTCTTTAATGTTTTGTTTCCAGGCTTAAGAAAATCTTTTTCTGTTTTATCTTAAGCTATATATGACTTACAGCACCTTGGTAAATTATACCTTTGTAAACAGAATTAAAACACTTATGTTTTTCTCCTTATCTCATCCTTTTGGAATTGTGAAACTTATGAAGTATTTTATTTTATTTTTTTAAGATTTTATTTATTTATTTTTAGAGAGGGAAGGGAAGGAGAGAGAGAGAGAGAGAGAGAGAGAGAGAGAGAGAGAGAAACATCAATGTGCGGTTTCTGGGGCCCGTGGCCTGCAGCCTAGGCATGTGCCCTGACTGGGAATTGAACCTGCGATGCCCAGTTCAAAGCCCGCGCTCAATCCACTGAGCTACGCCAGCCAGGGCTTTGAAGTATTTTATTTTTATGAAATATAGTCATTTGCACAAATTCAGTAAAAATCTATTTTCCTTATAACAGAACACAATTGTGAACATTGGTTATGTCACCAAAGCTTTGGAATATCATTTAAAAATGATGTGCATAAAATCAGGTATGACCATATAGTTTTAAGATACTAAGGTTGATTTTAAGGAACCAATAAAGTCCCCTGGAAGAATCTCCTGGTATCTTTCTTACTGGGTTCCAATACTTACTGGGTTACTCTGATACTACTCCTGGCAGCCCCAGGAATGTGAAGATGATAGCAGACTTGGGAGTTGGAAAATTTTAGTTTAAGTAATAGCTAATAAGCTTAGTAATCAATGCAAGTAAAAGCTATCATTCCGGAACTGAAGGTATGAGCCATCCTGACTCCAGGAGACCGTAAGCAGTTCCACCTTTGTGCCCCAGGAGGACTGCAAGCAATTCAAGATGATATCTGAGCTATTGTGCTCCAGGGTGAGATGACCACGGGCCATGACACAGCTAACGACCGCCACCCAGGTTGAGAATGCTGCAGTTTTTTTAATCCAATTAACTTCTCCCTCAACTCCAAACCCCCTACCTACACTTTGTTTCCCTTATAAAAGGGGCCATTTTAAAATGGAATTTAAGATGGTTCATTAGGATATAAACTTTCTCAGATCGCCGGCCATTTGAATAAAGCACCCATAATGATTCATCCCTGCTTATCGGGTTCAGTATGTGACAGGCAGCACGAATGCCAGTCTTTACTGGTTTCAAAGATACTTTGGAACTTTAAGAAAGAAGAATTTATTCAAGTCTATAGGTATCTCAGGCAACATCTGGCAAGTCCTTGGCTTGGCTTCCTGGCCTCAATAGGCTTTTAAGCCCAATCTGAGATTCCTTATGAAACGTTTGGGCAAAGCAGACTTAAAAAGCCTCCATGTCAATCACTACTCTTGTACTTATTTAAATAATCAAGCCAAGAATAAGAAGACTAAACTTATTTTGCTAACAAATTAATCTTATGTGATTATCTTTGCTAAACATTCGGATAATTTTAAAGAGAAAAATTATATTTCGGTAAAAGGCTATAACATACCCTCAGGAGTACCAAATTCTAGTCCAATTCATGGTCTCTGAGGTTTTGTTATCTACCTGTAAACCTGACTGGATCCTGAATTTTTTCTAGGTTTTTAAAATATATGGCTGCAACCCTTCAAACTAATCTTTTCCACTTTTTTCTCACGCTGCTGACTTGGAATCATTAAGAAGAAAGATTGCCCTTGACCCTCATTGAACGGGACCATCCTGGATCCTCTTCACTCCCTAGACAACAGCCAAACTTCAAGACCTTGACCCTTGGGTCCACATCTTCCGATTAAAAGGGGCCCCTGCAGACCCTTGGACTGGCACACCAGCTGGAGACGTAAAATTAACATGGATGAGAGAGGTTCTTCTGCAGAAGCAGAGGACACCTTGAGGTGGACAACTCTTCCAAGGTCACTGATCAAGATCTTCATCTCCAACATGAAAACTTTTATTCATTTTGTCTCTTTTTTGCTACTTGCTCTTTCTCTCTGTTAATGCACGAGGAAAGAGTGCTCCTTAACTCTGACAACTATCACTGCATCTGCCACCAAGGCCATTGCCACACAACAGAAGTCCCTAGGCTTTCCTCCTGGGGTGGTTTTAGAGAATAAAATTGCTTTAAGTTCTTTATTGACTGAACAAGCAGCAGTCTGTGCCATGGCAAGTATACCCTGTGGTACATGGATCTATGTCTCAGGTTCCATAGCAAATACAAGAAATTAACAAACCATTTAGCTGAAACAGGATGACACCTCTTCAGGTACATTATTTGGTATGCACTGGTCTAACCCATGGGGACCTTGGCTAAGGAGTATGCTTCCGTCTCTTGGTATTATGTGCCTCAAAGCCATCCCTCAGTCTCCCTGGTGTACTGTGTTCTCTCTAGGTCCTTAAATAATGTGTTTGCAGGTATCTGCAGTTTATCAAATGGTCTCACTGTGCTTGGAGAAAGAGAAACAAAGTGAACCATGAAGTAAACAGTGAAAACAGCTCTTCCCAAAATCTGGTATTAAAACCTCCAAGTTTCCTCAGTTTTGCAATGAGACAAGAATAGCTGAGAGCGATGCTAATGCCAAAATTTTGGTCACTCTTCCACGTATGAGAAGATGACAAAAAGGGGAGAATTGTTAGTCATCAAAGAGGCCATTAGACTGAGATGGCGCATTAGACACTTTTGTGGCTGCCCGAGCAAAATGAAAGCTAAGCTGAAGTCAATGCCTGTAATCGCCTTGAGGTTAAGAACAATGACCAATCACAACGGCCAGCTGGGCTCCCCCAGATAATGCAGACTTCTTTAGGCATGACGAGTCAAATAATTTGCTTTGCTTCCCCATCTCTATAAAAAGCCTTGTGCCCAGCTTCTGCTGATGGAGTGCCCCTGACCAATTGCAGTTTGGCACCACCTGGTTTGAATTGATGTTTGCTCAGATTACAATATTTTGCCATGTGTCATGCGCTCCCGTGTTCCCTGTGTATCCATATATTTGGCCCAAACTTCCAGGAAAAAAAATCTTTTGTTTTCATTTTTAATTTGATTATTTATTTATGTATGTATTTATGTATGTATTTATTTATGTTTAGAAACCGATTATTGTATTCCAGGGTATTATTTGGCATACAGATATCATTATTGCTTTCTAGAGTTACACTTTTAACACATAAATAGGAGAATTGCAAACATTTATATAGATATGGAATTAGTACTGCCCATGTATAATGCGCATCCTTATTTTTCCCTCAAACACTTGGGCCAAAAAAGTGCGCCTTATGCACGGCAAAATACGGTAAATTAAATGCGCCTCAATGGATGTTTTAAGACTACACAGTGTCGGTGATATTAAAGGGACATGGAAGCCATCATGCACGGCTAGTGAAAATACACTTAGTGTTCTGGTGAGAAATCTGCTGTTCCTTGGAGAATGGCGTGAACACTCCACTTGGACGCGTAAAGATAAAACTCGGAATCGGTCCCTTCAGTCCAGGATCCCTCAAGCCAGCAAGGGACAAGAGATCTATAACAACACGACTCTGGTGCCAGACGGCTGTAAGAAGTGTCCCACGTTCTCACGTTCGGTGGGACCCCCATAAACAGACAGCAAGTACATGACCTTCTTGCTGCCACTCTCTTGCTTTCTGTAACTGCTGTCCTCAGAACTGAGGCTCATACTGAGAGGAGGGAAACCGAGACTCCGGGAAATGCCTCGGCTGGCTTTCACGCACAAGCAGCAGCAACGGAAGCTATAAGGCTTGTGGCATTTGTGAATGAAATCCTTTCTGCTTTTGAAAAATGACCCCTTGTGGCCAGACTTTGCCTTTTGTTATCCTGGGGTTGCGGCGACGTGGCCACAGTCACTTCCTGAATCAGAGGAATCACAATGGGCAGACAGTGGTCGTGAACTTAGTCACGCCCGTGGGAGATTCAACATGGCTGCTTGGTTCTTCCAAGCTTCGTGGCAAAACCCATCTGGCTTTTCCATTCATTGACTCACAATGGTGCAGCGAAGGTGGCTCAAATGATTCATAAATGTAGGTGTGGAGAATTCTGAAAAATTGTGGAAACCAATTGCCACCTTTCGTGTTCATCATCCCAGGAAAACAATTTTTGTTCCCAGAGGCCTCCACCCTTCTCCCGGTGGACCATTTGAGCGCCTGCAACGGGTTTCATTCATCTGCCACCTAGTGTGGCTCACCAGTATGTTCTTGTTGTTGTACGTTTTCTGGGTTTGGTGAAGCCTTCCCTTGCTGCCAGGCCGACACCCTCACAGTGGCAACGACACTGTTGGAAAATGTGTTGCCCACTTAGGGTACACCCTCCCAAATATCTAGTGACCAAAGCACTCACTTCACTGGGAAAATCATATGAGCTTTAACTAAAAGCTTACTAACTTCTTGGAATTATCACTGCTCCTGACCACCCTCAATCATCAGGCAAATTTGAGAGAACAAAGAGAATTCTTAAACTCAGTCTCCAGCCCTGGCTGGTGTAGCTCAGTGGGCTGAGAGCAGGTGTGAGAACTAAAGGATCACAGGTTTGATTCCCAGCCAGGGCACATGCCTGGCTTGTGGGCCAGGTCCCCAGTAGAGGGCGTGTGAGAGGCAACCACACACTGATGTTTCTTTCCCTCTCTCCTTCCCTTCCCCTCTCTCTAAAAATAAATAAATAAAATCCTTAAAAAAAACAGTCTCTAAACTCCCAGAAATGCTGGATTTCCTTGGCTTAAAGTAGTGCCTCTGGCCTTTCTGGCCGTTAAAGGACAAAATTCAAATTTTAAAACTTGAAATTCGGTGATTCATAAAATGGGCAACATCCAGTCTAGCAGATAGAAAGGAGCTTCCAAATACTATACAAGGCAAGGGGTTTTACAGGCAGAAGGCAGCAAAATCAAGGCAGTGAAACTAGGCAAAAAGGCAGGTCATTTATTGCAAGTTTACTTTCCTTATTATGAGATGGATGGTGAGTGTTGATCAGGCTGATTGCTAAACCAATGCTCACCATTCCAGATTGATTTATGATTTTGTTTTGCAGAGAGCTGGAACTGTAAGCTGAGTGTCAACTTGGTGGCATGGGACTTAGCATAAGCAGCCCTGGCGCCTGTTGTCTTTAAGAAGCCATTCAAGACCCTGGCCAGGTAGCTCAGGAGGTTGGAGTTTCTGACAGATATGGAAAGGTTGAGGGTTCCTTTTATTTTCCGCCAGAGCACGTACCAGAAGCAACCAACGCGTGCATAAATAAGTGGAATTACAAATGATGTTTCTCCTTTCCTCTCCGTCTAAAATTAATTAAAAAATAATAAAGTCATTAAAGAATTTCCTAATCTGTATTAGTTAGGTAATCTGCCTGAATTACGTCTGCCATCCCCTAGACGATTTTCAAAATTTACTCAGTTGAAGTTTGTTCTTTAACAGAAGGAAACTGCTGGAGATGTGCGAAGGTCAAGCTTCCTGCGCCTGCAGCTGGGAAGAGAAAATACCCTCTCTCCCGCCCCACTCCCCCAGCCCCGTTTGTGGTGGTGACCAGGGACGAAGAGGCTAGCCCTGGACACTAGCATCTGGTTCCCCTCGTTGAAGGGGGCCCCAGCGAGTCACCGGTTAACAGCTTCTCGCTGCCAGGACGGGTTGGCGGTCAGCTACGTCTTACTGATCCCTCCTTTGACCCCTGGCTTTGGACCCTATTCTTCCCTGGGGCGGGGAGGTGGGCGGTGCGAGGCGGGGGCAGTCCTGCACGCACATTGGGAGGGAAGTGGGAACACGGGCCAAGGCTGATAGACCTGTGGGGCCCGAATGGGCTTCGGAGGGGCGCGGGCAGGCGTCTTGTGCAGGAGGTGGGGTGTGCTGCGGGTGATCCCCCCAAAGGCTCAGGGGCGGGCCAGCATTGCCCTGGCACGGGGGAGAAGCCGAGATGTTGGCCCTCCCAATTTCCTAGAGAGGCCGCCGAGGCCCGGGGCGGTGACGCGCGTGCGCGACCCGCGCGACAGCGAGACCCTCGCCGGGCGTGCGGGCGGCCGGAGGCCCTGGAGGGGGCGGCGCGGGAGTCGGTGAGTGCCCGGGTGGGGCGGGGTTGGGCGCGGCGCGTGCTGGACCGCCGCCGAGCCGCGCGGGTGCGGGAGGGCGGTGGCGGCGGGGTCCGCGGGGGCCTGCGCGGGGTCGGGCGGCGGCTGGGGCCCGGGGCGGGGTGGGCTGGCCCGGGACCGTGTCCCCGCCGTCCTGCGGGCGGATGTGGGAGCGCTTCGCCCGCCGCCCCGGGCGCCTGGAGGAGAGAATTTGGATCAATGGTTTCCGTGTTCTTCCAATTATGCAAACAAAGCGTACTCATTACGGACGATTAGGTGACTGGGGTGAGTGTAAGAAAAGTAAAAGTAGCCGCAATCTGCCGATGTTTTCTTCGGGAGGCTTCCTGCTATCTTAAAATTTACTCGTAATTATGCAAACTTATATACACATATATATTATGAAATGGGGTCATAGCATTGCTAATGAAACGTATTGTGATAAAACAATGCTGTGATGAAATATACATACATTTACCGTATGCTACATAAAAATTTACTGTTTTAATCTTTTTAAAGTGTGTGATTCAGTGGTATTAAGTGCATTCATACTGTTGCTTATTGGAATATTATAATATCTTCCGTTTGTGAAATGCCGGTTAATTTTGGTGGTAGCATTATGATACCACTAAAACGTATTTCCAAGTATAGTTAAAAGGAAACATTGTTTGCTGTTTATTTCCCATTGTACCTATTGCACGAGGCTGTAAATGCTCAACAAGTGCCGTTTGTGGAGAAAAATAGAAAACCCTTGGTTATGAGGTTGGTTGTTTCCAGAATGAAAGAGTAGCATGTGAAAGGCAGTTTGTTAAACATGAGGTACATCTTTGATCTGACACCTCTGGACTGTCTTATGGTTTGCATAGGCTCACAAAACCAAGAATCGTTTCCTTCCGAAGTTACAAGTGGTAGCTAGGAAAGAGTGCTGGGTTTCAAACTGTAATTCTTAAGTGAAGGCTCATTAATATTAGTTGGTTATTTTACAAGGAAACCTTGGGGAGTGTTTCTACCTGTTTTTTGATGAAAGATTTCAGGGAATTTCCATATGCTAATACACGTGAGTCTGTATTCATTCAGGGATTGACCTGTGAAGGTGCTCTTACATGTTACGTTGATGCTGAAGGTATTAGACAAATTTTGGTTTAATAAGTAATCCTTCCTGTAAGTTGAAAAGACGGGACTGTTTTGAAGATGAACTTCAATATGTACTTAAAAGAGGAACTAGCGAAAGCATCAAAAATACTAAGTTTTCTGTGGTTCCCGGTATCCCAGAAGTAGTAGTGTGTGAGCAGTCTGAGATGACCTAGGGTTGCGAGAGAGTACAAATGCGTGAAGTGTAGGAAACAGAGCTTACCTTACTTTGCAGTCTCCAGTGTTTGCATATTGGAAACAGTCTAAAAGCACTCCCTCATTTTATCATACAGTGTAACTTAACACCTGCCACTGTCTAACACACCATATGTTTGATTTTTTCATTGTCTGTCTTCCCACGAGGTCCTCAAGGCAGTGCTTTATGTCTGCTCTATTCACTGCTAGGACTTGAGTGCCTGGCACATAGTAGTTGCTTATTAAATATTGTTAGTGGAAGAAGGAGAATTCTTATCTCAGTTGAAGATAAGAATTCATTGTATCTAATGTCCTCCATTGCCAAGTTAATCCTAAATATCTAAGATAGGAATCAGAAAAAAAACAGTAAGAACTCAGACTTCTTCCATTTTGAATCATTGCAGACTTAACAGGGGGTTGCAGAACTGCACAGAGTCCCCTTCTCCTCTCACCCAGTTTGCGTTAGGTCACACCTTGTGTAACCCCAGTGCAGCACCAACAGGAGACATCGACAGGGGTTCGGTGTGATTGGTGAGACCGTGGCTTTAAGCAGAGTTGTCAGTGGCTGACCGTTGACCCTTGCGTGCCAGGACTCCATCTGAAGTCCCTCGTGTCCTTAGTTGTCATGTCTCCTTACTCTCCTTCCACGTGTTCCCCTTCCCCCGCTGTCCTCGTTTTCCATGACGCTGACACGTGGATGTGTTTCGGATTTGTAGTTTTAGGGTGACCACCCATTTGGTTTTCTGTTTGTTTTCTCCTGTTTGGGTTGAGAATGACGTTGAGTCTAATCACTGGCGATTTCAACCTCATCCTGTGGTGTCTGCCAGGTGTCACACTGTCAAGGCAGTGTCTTTGCCTTTGGAATTGGTGAAGTATTTGGGGGAAGATAGCTGGAGACTCTGCACAGGAATGTCCTGCTTCTCCCTGGCTTTCACCAGTCAGCCAGCATTCTTGGTGGAGCTGGCCTGCAGCAGTTAATACTGCAGTGTTCCAATGGTGACTTGCATTTTTGTGACTCCATCTGCTTTGATTCCCTGCAATTCTTTGTGAGGGAGCATTGTGCCCCCCTCCCCTTTGTTTATCTGTTCGATTAGTTCTACCTGCCTGCGATGTTGGATGTGCGATTTTTTCTTTGGCTTACAATGCAGTGCCATTGTTGTTTATTTCATTGCCTAACTTATTGTAGCTCTGGCCATCGGCAGCTCTTTCAGGTTGTTTGTGTCCCTGTGAGGTGTCCCCATCCCTTTTTGTGTCTTTCCCTGACTTTCTGGCCCCAGAAACTACTCCTCTGGTGTCTTCTCTGCCCGTCCTGGAATCAACCACTTCTCCATGGGCCCTGGTTCTGTGTATTAGAGACTGGTATTTAGGCGTCAAGTTTTGGGCACTAGGTTTAAGCTCCTTTCTCAAATGAGATATTTGTGCAACTGCTATTTTATGATTTTAAACATGTACTGGAAGGGAAGTCTCTCTTTAGTGGTGATTACTGAGAAACTTCTTTGCTTATTATCCATGTATAGGGTCAACCTATGTGCCCTCACACTGGAAGGAAAACCATGAGAATAAGAGACTTTGTAATGAGGATTTTTAAAGGAAAACCAACAAAATTACATTGAGTGTGAGTTGAGGGAAAAAATGACAAAAAGAAGAAAATGTTCATGAGAAATGGCCAGATATTGCTTGGGAATTTCTCTGTTTTTTTCAAAGCATTTATTTTCATGCCGGGAATGAGAGTGGGTTAAGGCAGGGGTCTGCAGCCTCGGGGCTGGGCCAGTACCGGTCCAGGCGTGTTAAGAACAAAACGTGCTTGACTGTAATGCTCTCGAATCATCCCGAAACCATCCCTCCCACCCCCCCAGGTCCGTGGGAAAATCGTCTGTCAGGAAACCGGTCCCTGGTGCCAGAAAGGTTGGCGAGCGCCGAGCGCCGGCTAAGGTGTGACTCTTGCAGAGGTGAGACCCGAGCCAGCTCACGTTTCCTGTCTGCGGGCTCACATTTGTGAGAGAATCTCAACACGTTAATGAATAAAGCCTTTCTCCTGTCCTCCAGAGCCAGCTGGGACTCCAGGGGACCCTGTCGCATCAGGACACCTGAGCTTATCTGGACAAGTTCAGTGGCTCCCATCTCTCTCCCTGCTCTGGGAGCGTCTTTCAGACGCTCTGGGTCTTTCATTCAGAGTTTGAAAGGCCCACTCCTGGGCCTTTTGTCTTTAGTTTTATCCAAGTTCACGGTTGTAGAGGGTGGTCTCCCTGTTTCTTTGAAGACCCGGCCTCCTTTGCCACATCATTAGGCGGTCCGCCTCCCTTTCCTGTTTGCCAGTCTGTGGTCAACAGATACTTCACTGACCTTCTCCAGACTTGAACCTTTCTGCAGCTGCTCAGAACAGGCCAGTGTGGAGTTTTTGGTGCTAATTTCACTGTGGGTCCTGAGACCGGGCATTACCATGTACATTTCTTACTGGTTGCATTTCTTCAAAATACTTGTCCAGCCTCAAGTTCGTTGTCTCTAGCCTCACTGCCGGATTTCTCCTCACCTTCAGCATCGCTTCATTCTTCAGTTTTCTTGCCCTCTCTGGCCTGCCCTGCAGGTTTGGCCGGGAAAGTCAGTCCGCTCCTTCCTCTGATTCCAGCTTCCTTCTGAGCAGTGTTTCTGCTTCCTGTCTGTGCTGCGGGAGCTCAGCGGGCCAGGGCCGGGGCTGGGGGCCGGGGCCGGGCCGGGGCAGGCCCCTCTCACCCCAGAAGCACCCTTTCCTCTTCTGCCTGCTTTCGCTAGGGTGTGTCTCTCCATTTGTAGCCATTCACCTATCATCCCTCTCATTTTCCTTTGCTTTGTTTTCTCCGACGACGTCCTACCCCACCCCTTTTTCCCCGGGGCAAGGCTGCTTTTCTCCCACACAGAAGAGCCCTTAATGTAGTTCTCCCCTGAGCCCCGCCCTAGAGCGCGGGAGCCTCTCCTGGTGGCTGGCTGGGGGCCGGCTTTCTGAGCAGCCCCCCTTCCTGTCGCAGTTGCTGAGTCTCTTCCTGGGGGGTCCTGGCAGCACTTGCTGAGTCCAGGGTTGATGGCCGCCTGGCCGTTTATACTGGGCGTGCAAGAGGACGGCTGCTGTTTTGCGCCGCGGGTGAAGGTCGTGGTTTCTTTGCTTTTGCCTCCCCGGGGGTGAGGGATGGGAGGCACCACGGTTTCGGGCGGAATGACCCTCATCTGAGACTTGTGCACTTTGGGGCAGGGGCCTGCTGGTCCGTCTCACCCTTTATAGATTTTTGCTTTCTTTTAATGTCATTTTATTTCTTTCTCTTTAAAAATTCTTTATTTATATTTAGAGAGAGCGGAAGGAAGGGAGAAAGAAAGGGAGAGAAACATCAACATGTGAGACACAGGGCTGCCTCTCACGTGTCCCTAACCAGAGACCCGGCTCGCAACCCAGGCACGTGCCCTGACCGGGAATCCGACCGGCGGCCCTTCGGTTTGCAGGCCAGCGCTCAGTCCACGGAGCCACACCAGCCAGGGCCCATAACTGTAATTTCTAAAACTTGCCTTTTACTTTAATTTTTACTTTAGGAAACTGGGAAATGACAAAAATATAAAGAAAATACAAATATAAAATAGGAAGAAAAATGACACACAGGAGTAGCACTTCTAACATTTGGGTGTGTTTGCATTCCTCACTTTATGTGTGCACTTGAATTTAAAAAAACAGAGAGACCTAGAACATAAATTCCAAGTTAAGAAATCATTTTACTACTGCCCTGGCCCGTGTGGCTCAGTTGGTTGGAGCGTTGTCTTGTACATGGAAAGGTCGCCGGTTCAATCCCTAGTCAGGGTGCATGCCTGGTTGCTGGTTTGGTCTGAGTTGGGGTGCATGTGGGAGGCAACTGATGTTTCTCTCTGGCTCTTTAACTCTTCCCCTCTCTTTAAAATCAATAAGCATGTCTTTGGGTGGGGGATAAAAAGTAAATAAATAAAAATAAATGACTATGGGTAAAGTAAAGTAAAATCTCCTTTAACTACTATTCCCACCCTCTGTCCCATCAATCAGTTTTTGTGAATCCTTCCAGGACACATTGAATTCCTTTGAGAACTTCTGTGTCCATCAAACATATACACACATAAGATTTTAGGTTTTTTTCTACAGTTGTATCTAGGAAGTTCTTTTGAACCCCGCATGTGGTGGTTACTGTTGGCAGAGGCAGTCCCGGCAGCTTGGAGGGAGTGGCCTTGCGCGGGGAGTTCCCTGCAGAGAGGTCAGGAGCCCCCACAGCCCGTGCTGGGCCTTGGCCTTGTGAGGGGCTGTCTTTCCCTGTTGGGTGCTTCACGTAAGCCCTTTGTTGTGCTTGCATGCCTTGCCGGTGGCCCCGGGCCCAGCCCTGTTTTCTGAAGTTCAGCCCCGCCTGTAGGGGGTCGAGGTCCTTCTAGGGCAGCACGAAGTGTGCGGCTCAAATCCACACCACCCGTACCACACGGGCTGCGAAGTGGATCCGCTGTCTCGGGCACCAGTGGGTTCCGAGGGGCTGAATCGCGCAGTCTCTCTCTCCTCTCTTCCTGTGAGTAAACGCTGTGCCCCTTGAGCCTGGTGTGCTTGTCTTCTGTCTCAGCAACTTAGTGTCATGCTCTGGTCTCTCCTGTGGGTGACACTTACTGCTTTTGAACCTTGGTCGTGCAACCTGACCATCCAGGGAGCAGTGAAACTGTGATGTTTGAGGTCCCACACCCACATGTCATGGATAAAAAAAATTTGGGAGGGATATTTCAGGAGCGAGGAGTCCCAGCCCCACACCAGGACCCCCAATTCAGGGTTCCAGTGCTAGGAAGATAAGTCCCCACAACTTCAGGGATTGAGTTCGTAGCAGAAACTCCTGGAGCCACAAGCAGTTCCTCTTAAAGAACCCACACACGGTCTCACCTACTGAGACTTGTTCCTTCGGAGGTCCAGCACCGGGGTAGCGGGGTAGCAGCATGAAAGGCACCGGTGGCACACAGGGAGGAGCTGAAGTGTCTGGCATCATGGTGAGCAGAGGCCATTGTCCCTTTTCTAAACCCTTCCTCCACAGAACTGGAAAGTTGGTGCAGTATCTGAGATTCCATCAACCTGGCTACACTGTTTGACCTGCCTTTGAGATCCCCAGAGACTCTGCCCCACCCAACTTATAGGCCCCCTGAAGCTGCTTTTCCATATGAATGACCGGTCTTGGCCGCATACTTCACAACTTCCTTTTTTTTTTTTTAAGGTCTTATTTAGTTTTAGAGAGGGGAAGGGAGGAAGAAAGAGAGGGAGAGAAACATCAATGTGTGGTTGCCTCTTATACAACCCCTACTGGGGACCTGGCCCACAACAAAGGCATGTGCCTTAGACTGGTATTTGAACCAGCGACCCTTTGGTTCACAGGCTGGCACTCAGCCACTGAGCCTCACCAGCCAGAGCACAGCTTCCTAAATTCTATCAAACAAATGACATTTGGCTTCAGTGAGCCCTACGCCCTAAACTAGCAGCAGCCAGCCTAGATTCACAGCTTGGCTTTGCCTGGGAATCTCCAAGCCCAGCAGAGGTAACAGCCATCTCAGATTGCTTTATAGCTCAGGCAGGGTGCCCTGGGCAAAACCCAGGTGGGGGCTGAACTTGGCCTGCACGACTTAGGGAAACCTGAGGGCCAACACTCCCAGTGGACAGCTATAGACCACATCAGAGCACCACCCTCCTGTCTCTGCACAGCTGATCCTCTGTGGAGGGTGGAGATTGGTGGTGAGTGGTCACAGCCAGTCCTTACAGCTGACTGGCCTGGGAAAATCCCTCCCATTGACTTGCCAACAGCAACCAAAGCTGGACTACAGGAAGAGGGTGTACTCAGCCCACACAAAGGGTGTACCCACGCCCTGGAGTACCCACGTTGGGTAATAGGGGAGGCTGTGCCAGTGGACCCTACAGGACACCTACTACATTAGGCCATACGACCAAGACACGGAGTCAGAGCAGCTCTACCTAATACATAGAAACAAACACAGGGAGGCTGCCAAAATAAGAAGACAAAGAAACATGGCTCAATTGAAAGAACAGATCAAAACTCCAGAAAACTGAATGAAATGGAGATAAACAATCTATCAGATGCAGAGTTCAAAACACTGGTTATGAGGATGCTCAACAAACTTAGTGAGGAGCGCAGAAGCATAAAAAATTTCCAGTCAGAAACAAAGGCTACACTAATTGAAATAAAGAGCAATTTACAGGGAAACAACAGTAGAGTGGATGAAGCTGAGAATCAAATCCATGATTTGGAACATAAGGAAGCAAAAAACAACCAATCAGAGCAACAAGAAGAAAAATCCCTCCCCCTCAAAAAATGAGGACAGTATAAGCAGCATCTGGGACAACTTCGAGAGGTCCAACATTTGCATCATTGGGGTGCCTGAAGGAGAAGAGAAAGAGCAAGAAATTGGAAATCTGTTTGAAGAAACAATGAAAGAAAACTGCCCCAATTTGGTGAAGCAAATAGATATGCAAGTCCAGGAAGCACAGAGAGTCCCAAACAAAATGGATGTAGAGAGGCCCACTCCACAACACATCATAATTAAAATGCCACAAGTTAAAGATAAAGGGAGAATTCTAAAAGCAGCAAGAGACAAGCAGTTACCGACAGTGGAGTTCCCATAAGACTGTCAACTGATTTCTCAAAAGAAACTTTGCAGGCTAGAAAGGATTAGCAAGAACTATTCAAAGTCATGAAAAGCAGGGACCTACAGCCAAGATTGCTCTACTCAGCAAAGATATCATTTAGAATCGAAGGGCAGACTAAAGAGCTTCCCAGATAAGAAAAAACTAAGGGAGTTCATCAAAGGGGACTTATTTAAGAAAAAGAAGATCAAAACTATGAAAATAAAATGGCAAAAAATAAATATCTGTCAATAATTAAGTCTTAAAAACGAATTAGGCAAACAAGAACAGAGAGAGAATCATGGATAGGGAGAGTGTTTTGATGGTTGCCGGATGGGAGGGGCCCCGGGGGGGAATGGGTGAAGAGGTGAGGGGATTGAGAAGTACAGTAGCCTGGCTTGCAGGCCAGGTCCCCCCACGTGGGGGTGTGCGAGAGGCAACCACATACTGATGTTTCTCTCCCTCTCTTTCTCCCTCCCTTCTCTTTTCTCTACATATAAATAAATAAAATATTTTTTAAAAAGTACAAACAGGTAGTTACGAATAGCCATGGGGACGTAAAGTATAGTACAGGAAATGGAGAAGCCAAGGAACTTACACTGTGTGACCCATGGAACAATGGCGGGGGGATTGCCTGAGGGAGTGGAGGTGCTGGGTGAAGGGGAGCAAAGGAGAAATCAGGACAATTGTAGTAGCATAATCGATAAAATATATTTAAAAATAAAAAATTTTAGAGTATGAAAAGATATTTGTGAAAATATGATTTTAAATAACTTTATTTCTTTTTTTAATTTTTAAAATATATTTTATTGATTATGCTATTACAGTTGTCCCATTTCCCCCCTCCACCCTGCACACCCTCTCCCACCCACATTCCCCCCCTTTAGTTCATGTCCATGTGTCGTAAGTTCTTTAGCTTCTACATTTCCCATACTACTCTTGCCCTCCTCCTGTCTATTTTCTACCTACCATCTATGCTACTTATTCTCTGTATCTTTTACTATTCTCTCCTCCTCCCACTCCCCCGTTGCTAACCCTCCATGTGATCTTCCTTTCCGTGGTTCTGTTCCTGTTCTAGTTGTTTGCTTATAGTTTCTTTTGGTTTTGTTTTAGGTGTGGTTGTTAATTGTGAGTTTGCTGTCATTTTACTATATTTGTTTTTTTTATCTTCTTTTCTTAGATAAGTCCCTTTAACATTTCATAAAATAAGGGCTTGGTGATGATGAACTCCTTTAACTTGACCTTATCTGAGAAACACTTTATCTGCCCTTCCATTCTAAATGAAAGAAAGCTTTGCTGGATAGAGCAATCTGGGATGGAGGTCCTTGCCTTTCATGACTTGGAATATTTCTTTCCAGCCCCTTCTTGCCTGCAAGGACTCTTTTGAGAAATTAGCTGACAGTCTGATGGGAACTGTTTTGTAGGTTACTGTCTCATCTCTTGCTGCTTCTGGGATTCTCTCCTTCATTTTTACCTGGGCTAATGTAATTATGATGTGCCTTGGTGTGTTCCTCCTTGGGTCCAACTTCTTTGGGACTCTCTGAGCTTCCTGGACTTCCTGGAAGTCTATTTCCTTTGTCAGAATGGGGAAGTTCTCCTTTATTATTTGTTCAAATATGTTTTCAATTTCTGGCTCTTCCTCTTCTCCTTTTGGTACGCCTATAATTCAGATGTTGGAACGTTTAAAGATGTCCTGGAGGTTTCTAAGCTTCTCCTTGTTTTTTTTAGAATTCTTATTTCTTTCCTGTTTGGTTGTTTCTTTCTTCCCTCTGTCCACTCCATTGTTTTGAGTCCCAGTTTCCTTCCCATCACTATTGGTTCCCTGTGCATTTTTCTTTATATCTCTTATTGTAGCCTGCATTTGTTCATCTAATTTGCCACCAAAATCAACCAATTTTGTGAGCATCCTGATCACCAGTGTTTTGACTTGTGCATCTGATAGGTTGGCTATCTCTCAGTTGCTTAAAATGATGGGTTCTGGGGCCTTGATTTGTTTTTCTGTTTGAGCCATCTCTCTCTCTCTCTCTCTCTCTCTCTCTCTTTTTCTTTTTTTTTTTTTTGGATCTGGTCACACCTGTTACGGTGAGGGGCGGAGCCTTAGGTGTTCACCAGGGTGGGGCACCCCAGTCGCTGGGTTGTGACGTTGTATGTGGGAGTGGGGTCGAGAGGGAACAATGGCAGTTGCTCCGTTCTCCGTGGGACCTCAGTCCCCTCTGCTGTTTCCCCCAAGCAAACTGGGCCCCTCTGGTGCCATTTCTCGTGTGGGTGGGCTTGTGCTTGCTGTGGGACCCTCCAAGAACCTCCCCTGTGAGGCTGGGTGTCTCTCTGTGCGCCTCAACTGCCACAGGTGACCTCAATCAGTGTCCGGAGGCTCTATTTCCCAGCGCTGTGATCCTGGGTTGCGCACCCTGCCTTGCTTTTACTATCTCGGCCTCACTGGTTCTGCTGGTTGCCGGTTGCCACCCCTGGGCCGGGGTCTGCCAGGTGCCGCCTGCACACTCAGGGTCCACCCGCTGCTGTCTTGCTCGCCCCCGGATGCTTTACTCACTGGTCCCGCTGCTCTCTGCTCTCCGTGCCCGGACCCGCGCCTGGCTGCTCGTCCCCGCCCCTCCTACCGGTCCGGATGCACGGGTCTAACTCAATTTCTTGGCTGTCCGACTTCCATTCAGATCAATTTTCTGTCATTTCTGGATGTTATTCTGTTTCTAAATTGTTGTTGTCCCTATCTTGGTTGTGCGTGGAGGTATGGTGCGTCCACCTACGCCTCCATCCTGGCCGGAAGTCTCATTTTTTATTTATGTCATTTGAGTCTTTTTTTTCCCTTTGTCACAGTAGCTAAAGATTTATCAGTTTGGTTGATTCTTTTCAATGAACCAACTTTTTATTTCATTGGTGGTTTTTCTTTTTTAATCTCTTTTTCATTGATTTCCAATCTACTCTTGATTATTTCTTTCCTTCTGCATGATTTCAGTTTAGTCTGCTCTTTTCCCAGTGTTTTAAGGTGGAAGGTTAGGCTGTTGACTTGAGATCTCTGTTTACGTGTGTGTATAGGAATAAAGCCCTGGACGTGTTTTACTGTATTCTGGGGTATTTTCTCAGTTTACCCCAACACGTGACAATCTAGCCCTACTGGACACTGGCCGGCACTGCTGTGCAGGTGCTCACATGCCTTTGTGTTGTACATCCAGAGATGACCTGAACTGACAGCGTCAGGCTCCACTGTCATCCTCACACCCCCTCCCCGAACACTAATACTCGTCATTTCAGTCTCTTGCAGGTGACCTCTGATGTCCTAGCAAATGGCATTGTCCACCACGGTGCTGAAAAGGTACTCCCGAGGCTCCTGCAGTGACTCGGATACCACAAGGCTTGCTGTGCACCCTGCTGGGTGGAGCTTGAGGAGCAGTGATGCCTCCAGGCAGGTGGTACCCGGCTCAGGCCCAGGCTTCCAGGGAGCGAGTGCGCCTTCAGGTGATAAAGAAGGAAGAGGAGGATGAAGGCTACACTTCAGTGCAGGCTGCTAGGCCCCAGACACTCAACCGCCCGGGCCAGGAGCTGTTCCGCCAGCTCTTCCGCCAGCTTCGCTACCACGAGTCTTCTGGGCCCCTGGAGACTCTGAGCCGGCTGCGGGAGCTCTGCCGCTGGTGGCTGAGGCCCGACGTTCTCTCCAAGGAGCAGATCCTGGAGCTGCTGGTGCTGGAGCAGTTCCTGAGCATCCTGCCCTGCGAGCTCCGGACCTGGGTGCAGCTGCATCACCCCGAGAGTGGCGGGGAGGCGGCGGCCCTGCTGGAAGACCTGCAGAGAGACTCCAGCGGGACACCACGGATGGTGAGTGCGGCTAAGCGTGCAGTGCCCGGTGAACTCCGTCTGCCGAGGGCCAGCTGGTCTGGGGTGGGCTTGGCCTCTGAGCCTTCCTTCAGCCTGGAGAGTGCAGGGGAGTCTTCCCTTCCCCTTCCCGTGGCACCCAAGCAGCCGAGCACTGGGCCCTAAGCCGGGGGCCTTTTAGCAGGCAGCCCGTCCCACCTTCCCAGAGGACGATCGGCTGCAGGAGGAGGGCCCTCCAGTACCCATACATGACAGCGGCACATGTTTGGACGCGGTGACCGAGAGTGTGCAGAGTCCACGGCACATACTCTCTACTGGGAGTTGATGCTGGCCTTAAAGTGGGGTGATGTCTCTTGCTCCTAAGGGGGAGGATTAGAGCCTGGACGCGTGGCGTCTGCGTACGTATTAAGACCTGGAAGAGCAACCTGGTACCGTTTTGCCTTCTCCTCAGTAAGCCTTGTGAGGGTTTGTTCCTCGAGGGACGAGACGCCCTCCCATAACCTCGGTGTTCTCGCCGACGTCGTTGTCCCTTTCAGAGCCGCCTCGGTTTATTGGAAAGAAAATGCAAAACTGATCTAACAGTGAGAAATTGCTCGGTATGCGTTTGAGCGTCTACCACGCCCTTGGCCGTGGCCTAAGTGCTGCGAGCGGAGCTGCCAGCCCAGTGCCGGCAGGGGAGCAGCGGGCCGGTCACGGACACCCCGCTGCTCCCTCGCCCACGGGCGAGCTGCTCAGTGCTCCCCGTGTCTCTGGAGGTTTCCCTTCAGACGGCGTTTATCGTTTGTGTAGACTTCTTTAAAGTTGTTATTTCTATAAAAATATCTGCAACACTACAAATACGATTCATGCACAAATAAAAGTTACTTTTAAGATTTCTGAGACTTATTTGACGTACTTCTCCCACATTTAATATAGAAGTATGTCAGTCACATGACACATCTGAGCATGGTCTACCAGCCATAAATGGTGATAAATCAATACGAGGTGTGACTGTTTAGAAAAGGAAACCTCTAAAAGAGCAGTTATTGTAATATTTACAACAATAATGAGATCGAAAGGACCTAAACATGATTTATTAAAAGAGATAAGGTACACGGGTATAAAATTGTGGCATGGTTGTAGTCAGCTCATTTAGATCCAGACGTAAGGGTTTGAAATCCATGGAAACGTTACCAAACGAGCAGAAAGGCCCACCTGGGTGAAAGGTAGCTAAAAAAGAGAAAACCAGAACCGGGCCGGGAGAGGGCCTCTCAGAACCGACGTGCTCAGGATGCACGTGAAGTTGCAGAATCACCCCGTGGTGCCCCCAAAGGACCAGCACGGGAGAAACTAGCGTCTGGGAAGGGGGAGCCTCAGGCTCACCGGGCTGTGCTTCCGTGGTTGCCATGTCTCTCTCTCCTCCCTTCGGCAGGGTTGGGGGGGACCAGAGATCACCGTGAGCAATAGCAGTTGGTGTCGTTAGCCCATAGCTTGGTGGCAGGTGCCTCCCGGCCTCAGCCTGCGTCAGCACCTGTGTGAGTGGGGACGTCGTGGCCCCAGGACCAGGAAGCGGATGTCGCTGGCTCGGTTGCCTGTGCTCGTTTGTACACGGGGTAGCCTTGCCTCCGACACCAGCACCATGTGAAGGCCCAGAGCGGAGGGTGCCTCCTTCTCCCTGGGGGGCACTGCCATATTTTTGGTGGCCAAAACATTTTCTAATGTGCTCCGTGGCTGACCCTCACGGTGGCTTTGCCTTTCTGTCAGCGTTACTGCTCCCATCGGGCGGACGGCCTAGGAGCCGTGCTGCCGCCTCTTTGGGGTCGCTTCGCATGGAAGGGCGTAGGGCTTGGTAGACATTGTCCATCTGCGTCTCTGCTTAACTCTCAGGTGTAAACGTCTATCACTTCTGAGTTCCGGGCCAGGGGTGGGGGCTGAGGGCTAGTGGGGCCGGTGTCACTGTGGCACCTGAGGCCTGACCACTTGCCAGGTACTTTCTGAAGTCGAGCTGGACTCTCTGGCTGCACCGGTCACCCCGATGGCCCACACTAGAGCCCTGGGAGGCTGAGAGGTGAGGGGTCCTTCCTGGGCTTTGCCCTCCTCCTCTCCCCGTAGGTAATAAAAGGCCTGGTTCTGAGGTGCTTCCTTATTCCCACGGGATCCTCTCACATTTTCTTCTTGCCAGGATCCAGCCCCTGCCCAGAGCCCAGACGTGCGCTGGATGGGCACGGGAGCCCTGCGAGCCGCGCAGACCTGGCCCTCCGCGCCGCCGCTCAGGAGCAGCTCCGCTCTGGGGGACCGCCTGGAGCCTCCCTCTGACACAGCAGTGCGTGACTTCCTGGCTGGGCAACCCGGTACTCACCGCCTGGCTCCGAGACCCCAGCCTTGTGCCACCTTCCCAGATTCCTGTGGTGCCGTCTGTCCTCTCCCGAGACCCCTGCCCCTCCTAGCCCCTAGCTCTGTGTCTTTCCCTCCTCTTCCGTGACCCGTGTCCGCCTGGCCCCTCCTCCCGCTGTGCCCCCACCCCTCACGCTCCGGCCGCCAGCAAACAGTGGGGAAGTGGGAACTGGGTGTTTATCGCAGGCCACGCCTGCTCATGGGCACGGGAGGGCTCTTGGGGCGGGGGTCAGAGGGCCTCGCAGTGGGATGCCAAGCGCTGGGCTGCCCTCTCTCACGGTTCTTTCTTCTTCAGATCCTCCAGCTGCCCAGGTGCCTGCCCTTTCCCAGAGAGAGGGGTGCCCAGAAGATGGGGGGACAGCCCAGCCTCAGGTGAGCCGCTGGACCTGCCGTCCTTCCTCACGTCCCAAAGTTGCCGCCTGCTGGGGCAGCTGCAGCGCCCCGTGTCCTGCGTCTCCGTCCAGTGACCTCACACCCAGAGACCCATGTCCCAGAGACCAGGCTGTCCCCCGAGGGACCAGTGCTCTTCTGCGTGACGGTCTTCTCTTTCACCCTTGCTGGGCCCTCCCCAGATTCACAGAGCGCCAGCCCCACCCCCACCTCCCGATGGGCGCTGTGCGCTGGGAGCCGTGGGCTGGCTGTGAGTGTGGGACTGTTTTTTCAGGAGGCTCTGACTTTCAAGGACGTGGAGGTGACCTTCTCCCAGGATGAGTGGGGATGGCTGGTCCCTGCTCAGAGGAACCTGTACAGGGACGTGATGCTGGAGAACTACGGGAACCTGGCTTCTCTGGGTAAGCCTCGCTGGCCCCGTGCTCCCGCCCACCTTTGCTCCTGCCTCCTCAGCTTTCATTACGGCGCCCACGCACGAAGGGCCTGCCCCGGGCTGAGATCCCAGCTCTGTGACCCAGTGACCAAGCCACGTAACCTGTCATCCAGTGTCTTCTCTTGAAAAACGGGGGTAAGGGTGCCGGGCGTGCTGGGTCATTATAAAGATGAAAAGTCCCGTGTGTCAAGTTCCCAGTCCATTTAGGCATCTAAAATGCGTCAGCGGGTTTACCCGAGGGAGTCGGCGTGTGGTCCCCACCTCCAGAGAAGCCTGGTGGTCCTTTCAGCTATGACTCCTCTCAGCCCCTTGTCGCCGCTCGGGGCTGTTGGGAGTGGCTGTCTGGGCCTCCTGCCTCAGCCTCCCCTCCCGCCTCCCTGGCCTTCCCTCCTGCCGACCAGACCCCACGCCCAGAGGGCCCTGGGGAGGGGTTCTGTGTGACTCCCCTGCCCTCCTCCTCTGCAGTGGGGCCGCTCGCCAAGCCTGTGCTGATCTCCTGGCTGGAGACCAGGGAGCCGTGGGGCCTGAATGTCCAGGGAGCTCAGCCTAAGGGCGATCCGGGTGCTGCCGCTGCAGGTGAGTCCCAGAGCACCTGCCAGATCCTGCCCCCCCGCCATCTGGTCTTCTCTTTACGTGGCGGTCTTTCGCGCCGGGAATATCTTGGGGCGCTCACTGCACGGTCGGCTGGAAGGGAGACCCTCGGTGGTGTGGCTGAGGAGTGCCGGGCCCTGGGCGTCTCCCGTCCAGACTGGCCTGTTTATTAGACATTCGTGTCTGGCCCTGCCCCTTCCCTGGCCGGCCTTTCAGTGACGTCCTTGTCCATGGGAGGGCCTCACTGTGCCTCCTGTTTCCATCTGCTGGGGCCCCTCGGTGCTGTGCTGCACTCCTGTGGAACCCCCACTGCCTGCTCCTCCCTGCCCCGGGGAGCCCTCCTTCCAGTCCCGCTCCCCTGCTCCAGTCCCGCCAGGACAGCCCACCCTCCTCAGGGCCCCGGCCCCAGCCCCGGCCCCTTTTTGAGCTGTGGTTCCTCTCCCCGCTCTCCACCGAAGTATCACCCTGGCCTCTCCACCCTTTTCCTTTTGTAGCTGCATGTGGTTTCTAGCTGCTCTGCCCTTCTTCCCTCCCCTCCCCCCGTCCCTGCCATCTGGGACACCCTTCCATGCTTTGCCTTGCCGCCGACTGTTCTGTAAAGGTGTCGGCAGTCAGGCAAAGGACACACCACCTAAGTTCATGGCCCATTTTTGTCCCTCGGTGCTTTCGGCAGCTTCAAGGGTGGGATAAAAAAGAGTACATTCTCTTGTGCTTTATTTTGTGTCAGGAGGTGAGCTCCAGATTAAAACAAACAAGCTCATCTTAAATCACGAGCCTTTGGAAGAAGCAGAAACCTTAGCTGTGTCATCAGGATGCCGCGTGATGAGGGTGTCCGAGGAGACCGGGCTCGGAGAGCCTTCGGAACCGCAGAGCAGCGCGCAGGAGCGGTGTGGCGATCCCATGCCAGCGAGCGTTAAGAAAAACGAGCCCAGCTTCAGTCTCAAGACAGAAGAGGAACTGGGGGAACCGGGAGGGGGCAGCGGCCTCGGTCTCAAGCACGTGGCGTACCTGCGAGTTCCCAGGAGAAAGCGGGCGCTGAAGCGCGGCTGCGGCCGGCTCTTCCGCGGCGGGGCGTACCTCCTGGACTACAGGGAGTTCGGCAGGGGCCTCTGGCGCCTGCTTGGCGGCTTCGGCCTGCGGCAGAGGCTCCACGCCGCGCTGAAGGGGGCCGCGAAGGACGCGCACGGGAAGGACTTCCTGAGCTCTTGTCTGCAGCGGAGCCTGCACGTGGCGGGGGCGCTGCACAGGTGCAGCGACTGCGGCAGGACCTTCGGTCACCGCTCCCACCTTGCGCACCACCAGAGGCTCCACACTCAGGAGCGGCCCTTTAAGTGTCGGGTGTGCGGGAAAGCCTTCAGGTGGAGCTCGAACCGCGCGCGGCACGAGAGAATTCACACCGGGCTGAAACCTTACAAGTGCGGTCTGTGTGACAAGGCCTTCCAGCGCATGTTCGCCTACCACCTGCACCAGGAGACCCATGCTAAGCAGAAATTTCTGGAACCCGCTCAGTGTAAGGAAGAGCGCCCCTACGACTCAAGGCTGGATCATCTGCAGGACCAGAGTGGGGAGAGTCTCTTCGACTGCAGCCAGTGTCGGAAGTCCTTCCACTGCAAGTCGTACATCCTGCAGCATCAGAGGATCCACACCCAGGAGAAACCCTACAAATGTACCAAATGCAGGAAAACCTTTAGGTGGAGGTCCAACTTTTCTCGCCATAAGAGGATGCACCAGGAAGACAAGTTCTACAATCAAGACAGAGGCGGAAAAGACCCCCGGGAGCCCCCCGGCTGCAGCCAGCCCCAGAGCGCCCCCCCCATGGTGGAGAAGGTGTTCCTGTGTCAGCAGTGCGGGAAGACCTTCCCCGGGAAGAAGTCTCTCCTCAACCACCAGAGAGTCCACATGGGCCGGGAGCCCTACCGCTGCGGCGAGTGCGCCAAGGAGTTCGCCCACAGGTCGGCCTTCCTGGTCCACAAGAAGCAGCACGCCCTGAAGAGGAAAGCCGAGGCCGGCGTCCCCCTCGGCCGGGACAGGGGGCTCCCGGGCCCGCTGAGCGGCCAGGCCGCGGAGGAGCGCTTCAAGTGCAGCCAGTGTGGCAAAGCCTTCCGCAGCCACTCGTTCCTCCTCATCCACCAGCGGGTGCACACGCGCGAGAAGCCGTACAAGTGCAGGGAGTGCGGCAAGGCGTTCCGGTGGAGCTCCAACCTGTCCCGCCACCAGCGGAGCCACTCGCTGAGCAAGCTGTTCGTGTACCACGAGAGTGGCGGCGCCGTGGACCTGCAGTCGCAGGTCCTCACTGGCCAGAAACCCTTCTGGTGCCAGGAGTGTGGGAAAACCTTCACCCGCAAGAGGAGCCTCCTGGACCACAAGGGCATCCACAGCGGGGAGAAGCGCTACAAGTGCAACCTGTGCGAGAAGTCCTACGACAGGAACTACCGCCTGGTCAACCATCAGAGGATCCACACCAAGGAGAAGCCCTTCCGGTGCCAGTGGTGCGGGAAGGACTTCATCGGAAGGCACACCCTGTGCATCCACCAGAGGAAGCACACCCGGGCGGCGCCCCCCGACGGCCGCCCGGCGGAGGCGCCTCCCTCCCGGGACGCAGGGGCGACTTCGCAGGAGTGGAAGCCGAGTGGGCAGGTGCCCCTGGACGCTCGGGAGGTTGCGTGCGAGAGGCGCGCCAGGCCCGCCGGACGCGAGGATGAGCCCGCGGGGAAGAAGTGTCACAAATGTAGCATGTGTGGCAAGACTTTCAGCAAGACCTCACAGCTCATCAGCCACAAGAGATTTCACACGCGCGAGAGGCCCTTCAAGTGCATGGAGTGTGGGAAGACCTTCAGGTGGTCTTCCAACTTGGCTCGGCACATGAAAAGGCACATAGGTGATTAGCCGGGGGCCTGGCGGTGGGAGGAGAGGGGTCCCCAGCCTCCCTGCCGGGGAAGCCGCGGTCACAGGTGGTGCGGGCACAACCTTCACAGAGCGCCTGGCCCTTCCCTTTCCGGCGTGAGTCACAGAGCCTCCTGAGGGTTCGGAAACTCAGGGTGGCCACTGTCCTACCCACTGGGCGGGGAGATTCTCCTTGGTGACCTTCCAGAGACTCAGGCCCTCAAGGGTGGCCTGTGTTCAAGGGCCTTCCCGGAGCTCCCCCAGCGGGTCTTCTTCCGTAGCTCTCCCGGGAGAGACCGTCGCCCTTTCGTTTGACACGGTGTCTGTAGCGTGGTGGGGTGTGGCTGCTGGGAAAGGGGCCAGTGGGGTCCTGGGTTCCCCCTGGGTCTGACCGTTGTCACGGTGCCTGTTCTGTTTGACCTCGTAAGTGTGAAGTAGCTTGAACTCTTCCCAGTGGCCCGGGTCCCTCCTGGGGAGCTCTGCCCGTGGCCGCCGCCGCACCGCCAGCTTTGGGTGTCTGCCGTGGGCGGCACGCGGAGGGGAGCAGGGTCCGGGCTTCCTCCCCGCGGAAGGGAGCGCGCTGTGCCTCGTCACCCCCTCCCTGCCGCAGGCGTGTGCGGGCAGCCATGTGCTGGGCTCCCCGCGTGCCAGGGGCTGTCGTGTGTGCCGGAGACCCAGCAGGACCAGGACAGAGAAAACAGTGTGTGGTCTTGGATCATGACAGATCAGATAAACATGAGATACACAGTGTTCGGTTGGTGTGCGTGTTGTGGACACCTGAACCAGAGGAGAGGGAGAGGGTGTGCTGGACCGTGAGGTGGGTTGCGATTTCACATAGGCTGGTCACGAAGGCCTTCAGAAGGTGTAATCGGAGCAAAGACCTGAAGGAGGTCAGGGAGGGAGCCCTGTAGGTGTTAGACCCGGGCACAGGAGGTGGGCTCTTGGCTGGTGTCCTCAGGGAGTGACGGGAGGCCCCTGCGCCAGGGTGGGGTGAGCCGAGCCGGCTGAGCCCAGCCCTGTGAGCATCGGGTGCTCTTGGGCAGTTTGAGTTGAGTGTTGCGCTCTGAATGCGAGTCACCTTTTACAAGAGTTAACCACAGACCCAAGGACTCGGTGAAATGACGGAGCTGAAAATTTTGTGTGCAGTTAGCCCTGCTAACCAGTGTCCGAGAGGAGACTCCTGTCCCACCAAGCGTCTGAGTGTCCTGCCGGCACCACAGCTCTCCGCAGGTGTGAGCAGCTGTGGAGACGGCGGCCTCGCGCCCCAGGCCCTGGTCCGTCCCTGCCGGCCCGGCTTTCCTTGAGCCTCTTCTCTGTAAGCCCTCTCTCGTGGCACCCCCTCTCCTGGTACCTGTGTGGTCTGGGTTTGCAAATGTGTCACCCCCCACTGCAGTCAGTGAGGCCGGGGTCCGGCGCTTGTTTATCTGGTTGCCGCGCAGAGGAGGTTTTGCACACAGTTGCCTCTGTGAAGGACTGCAGAGCTGACTTTAGTTTAGGTAAGTGTTGACTGGAAGTTTTTGAAAGGCCCCCCACCCCCTGGTGAAATGTTGATGGGAGGGCGCCGGTGGGCAGTGTTGGGCTGCCCCCACCTCAGTTCCCACCTTGCACCCCACGCTGGTTGGATCACACCCCTTTTCTCAACCTGCCCCGCCTTCTCTCACTCCCAGGAGGAACTGGAATTGGGCCCGAAGACAGCCAGGTGGGCGGGGACTCCACCCGGAGCCGAGTGGGGCACAGGCCTGTCAGTCAACTGTTCTGTGCTCTCAGCCCCACCCCTGCTGACCGGGACCAGCAGCTCCGGCCAGTCGCAGTGGCGGGCAGAGAAGAAAGCACGGGAAATGTAAATTCATGTGACCTCCTCACACTCATCCACCTGGCAGATTTTTGAAAGCCCTAGTGTGAGTGTGCACCAGTGGGAACTCCCTGCGTTGGGAGTGGAGATTGTGACAGCTTTGTGAGAAGCAATTTGAAAAGTCCTGTGACGACTCCGCGTGAAGAAGGAGATGTGTGTAAGACTCTGCGTTGCACTGGTGTTCCCTGCAGTGTTGAGATTGCGGGACTGGGGAAAGCTTCAGTTTCCATCAACAGAAGAACAGAGAAGCGGGCTGTTTTTGCTACTTCAGGAGTGAATATGAAAGAGCTCGAATTATATCTTTCACAGATCCATCAAAAACGGTGCTGAGAAAGTGGCGGAAGTTACATACAAACACCATTTCTGGGAATTGAAACGCCATGCGTCTCTGGGCCCGTTACTTCCTCGCGTTTCCCTTTTTCTCTAAAATGAACTTGAAGTGCCGGCCTCCCGGGGTGGCCAGGGGCGGAGGATGGCTAACGAGGTGTGATGTCTGTACAGTGATTAGACTAGTGGCTGGCATGCGAGCGTTGTTGGCATATAGTAAACCGTGTCGTTACTGTTGGGCGCCGTAATGTGTTTCCTGTGGACTCAAGTTACACGACGTCAGAGTGTGGGATCCCGTCCTGGAGTGACGAGTGAGAGCCCTGCTCTGCCGACGATGTCGGGGCGGGCACCCGGAGGCCGCGGTCGTGCCATGGTTCTTCTTTAAAATAGATGCAGACGGTTTGGCATGTTGACTTAACAGCATTGTGCAGTGGGTTCTTTTCTTTTTTTTCTTTTAACTGTTTGCTTTAAATACTTAAAAATAAAAACTTTTAAAGCATGGGCTCTGACACCTGATTTTATAGGAATCCTGGCTCTACCCTTTATGTAGGGTGACTTAGAATGAGTCACAGTCTCTCCAGGCTTCAGGCTCCTCCCCTGCGGAAATCAGGAGCAACACACACAGCGCTGGGGAACCGAGTGGCTAAGCCGGGCTGGTGCACATAGATGGAACACCGTGCGACTTAGACATGATGTTCCCCACGTGTCAACATGTGATCTCCACAATGTGCAGCTCACAGGAGGTTGTAAGCTATCTTTCCTTCATTCCTCCTTGCCTGAGAGAAGCCAGGAAAGCCAGAAGCCACTGACTCTTTGTTTAATGACTAGATGGGCTCTGTGGATGGAGATGCTCAGTCATTCATTCCGCCTTATTAGGGAGGTGAGGAAGGGTTCGCATACCCACTACCACAGCTCTTAAGTATCAGCCAGGTTCTTTTCAGGAGCCAGAAACCATAGCAATGATTTTAACAAAAAGTGTGTAAAGAATTGTTTAGATATGTTTAAGTAGAAAGCAAGAAGGAAATGCGAAGGTGTCAGGGTGGTGGTGACTGCGAGAAGCAGCTGCCACCCCAGCCCTGGGTGAGCTCATTTTTGATGTTGGACCATTGGTAACTTGGGTTAACTTTCGAGCCCTGTTCCTTACACCGGGGCAAGCTGATAGAAAGCCAGGGTGCCCCTTCTCAGCTCCAGAGAGGGGGTTTATGCAAACCCCAGAACCCCTGCCCTTAACCGCAGTAAAAACCAGACCTGCCTACCCGTCCTTTCAGTCAAGGTAAACCAACTGGTACGGGTGCCTGTCCCTTCCCCAGAGATCCTGGTTATGGGAGTAATTCGCTTTTCTGTAACCTCTTGATGTGATGGCCTTAGCCTTGACATTGAACCAGTTCGGGTGGTGATGGAGTGTTCACCCCACCTCTACTGTGCAAGCTATAAAGCAGGAATAGAGGGGTTGGAATTGTTCAAAAGTGAGACGTGGGAAGAGAACCCCTGCAGATGCAGACCTGTGAGGAGGGGGGCGCCACGGGGCCACTGCCAGTGCCGACTCCGGAAGGGCCCTGAGTTGCTCAGTCTGCAAGCCGGATTCAACTGCAGCCGCCAGGAGCAGCTGCCCGTGCTGGGGTGAAGGAGCCTCGGGGACAGGAAGCAATGCCCACACACAGCAGGGCAGGAAGGGGCTCCTCTTCCTGCTTGTACTGGCTTTCTCCAGAGAAGCAGACTCAATAGAGTGTATGTGTCTAGATAGAAAGACTGATTTGAAGGAACTGGCTCATGATTATAGCGGAACCTGCAGGGTGGGCCTGCAGACTGGAGGCCCCGGAGAGCCTCTGCTCCAGCCCGCAGACTGCCTGGGGGAGGCGGCTTTGTCTGGGGAGGGCCGGTCTTTTTGTTCTCCTCAGGCCTTCAGCTGATCGGATGAGGCCCATCCAGATTATGGAGAGTGATGTGCTTTACTCACAGTCCACCCGTTTAAACATTAATCTAAAAACACCCAGGAAAAAAAAAAACCCCCAAAACATCAGGCAGCTCCCGTGGGGGTTTACGGCCTAGGCAAGTAAGTAGACATGAAATTCATGGTTACACGCCCCCAGCATCGTGGGCGTCCTCTTCTGTTCCTGGGTGGCTGCACTGTCGGCACTGCCCAGAGCTGTGCTGCCCAGAGATTCCCAACCCATCCCAGGTCACAGGCACCCATAGAGGGGCACACACTTCGGGGTCCGGAGAGAAGCAGCAGGTGGCGAGGGAGGCGCTCTCTTCCACGTGGGTGGGGGTTTGTGCCGGCACGTCAGGCACCCACACGAGCGAAGGTAGAGGCCTGCTGCTTGACTGCAGCCGACTTGCCCGCATCTGGAGGCGAAAACCCAGGAGAGCTCTCCATCCGCCCGCTCACCCAGCACAGCTTCCAGGAAACCCCGTGGCTGGTGGGCTCCAGTGCACTAGCTGACCCCCGCCCAGCGGGGCACGGCTTTGCTCAGACACCAGCCTTTCCAGAACACGAGAGGCGTAATCTATCACTAATTTTCAGTAATTGGAGACGCCCACTGGGCATCTCCAAGGGGTCCACTCCCCGTGCCCTGTGAACTTACGGGTTCTGTTTTTTTATAGGCATGAAGTGACCACCCTGCCGGGCGAGCTCTGGCAGCCCTTGCCCTCTGGGTTAGGGCGGGGCTCGAGGTCTGACACCGGGTGGGGAAGGCGGGTCTGGCGGAGCAGCTGAGGCAAGGGCGTGGCTCCAAGGCCCTGCTCAGAGGATTGAGGAGGGAAGGCTCTGAAGGGAGGAAGCACGAGGGACAGTGCTGAGGGCCCACGGAGCCCTCTCCTTCTGGTCTCTGGCAACCCACCCCCCCAGCCCCCTGGCCTTGACGACATCGAAGTCCCCCGCCAGTCACAGCGCCTACTGGTGGCTGTCCCAGTGGTCCTGCCAAAAAGCAATGAATGGACAGAGTGCCTTCCCCACCAGTACAAGGAAGGAGATCTTGGTTCGTGCCAGTTGGCGAGGCATGTCTGGGTGGGGGCAGTTATTTTAGTTGTGTGAACTTGAACTTAGGGGAAAATTTTTAAATTTTCAGAAGTGGTGTCTATTTTAATGAAGAAGTTACTCCTGGGATAGCGTTTCAAAATACGGCCAAATAAAATTAGGAGCCATCCAAGTCACTAACAAAACAGTTTTAAGAGCACACCCAAAGTACTGAGAGTTACATACAGAACAACTTAATCACTGAAAGGAACCTCTACTAATTTGGGCATAAAAAAGCCGTTTTCCACGAGAGACTGTTGGCGTTCCCCACCGGCGACGCTGAGCCGGGCAGAAAGGCAGGTGCGGGCGTTGGCGTCAGAGCCAGGGGACACAGAGGGAGCGGGCGCCTGCTCCGAAAGAGGCGGCCCCTTAGGTGGGCCATCCCGGAGACGCGGCCGTGAGTCACGGGCTGGTACCCGTGTGACTTTGGAGCTTGCCGAAGGCCCGTCGTCATCCATCGGACTTTGAGGAGGGGGAAAGACGAAGCCCTTAGAGCACATTTTTTCAAGGGCCTGGTGACACAGCAAGCTGAGTTTCCAGGGTCAGGTGCGATGAGGTGACGTTCCATTCCCGGGGACCTGTAGTCCCGCGGACAGAGATGAAGGTGCCGGGGGAGGGGACCTAGAGAAGTAGCGAGGGCTGAGCAGAGCCACGGAGGGCGGGACAGAGGGCTTTGCTCTGTCCTCCGCAGTGGCCTTGTGCTGGGTGGGCACAGGCCCCACAGCAGCCCCTGGGAGCTTCAAGGCCGCGGCTGCCAGTGGCGGACAGTTGCAGGGGGCAGGCTGCTGGGTGAACAGCGTGGCGGAGACTCCTCATCACTCCGAGTCCCTAGTGGTACCGGCCGCCCCGCCTCGGGGAGGATGGCCTTTCCATCTCCTGTCTGCACCACGGGCCCCGTGACAGCCGGCAGCCTGCTGGGTCCGTAGAGGGACCGAAGCGGCTAGGTGGGGAGCGGGTCTGTGAGACACTCGTCCCCCGAGGGCCCCCGGCGTCCACCGCGTAGGCAGTGAACGAGCTCTGCTAGAGGAGGGCGTGCCCCTAGTGCGAGGTTTCCGTCCTAGAAAGAGCAGACGCCGCCTGGGGAGCCCTGCACGAGACCCGCAGAGTGAGCTGCCGGAGCGGAAGGGCTGCCCGGGGTGGGGGCGGGGGCGGGGCTGTGCGCGGGTGGCGCCTGACACAACAAAGGCCAGGTCGCTAGGGGCCGCCCCTCCACGCCCCGCCCCCTCCCGAGGGCCCTCTTCCTCTGTGAAGCTCCCTCCAGTGACTCCACCTTAGACCTTCCCGACAGGTGAGCTTCAAACTCCTCATACCTTTCCACCCCCCAACTCCTGGACGCCTGTTGAACCCGCCGTGCCCTCGCTGGCGCTGCCCCGATTCTGGGCATCCCTGGAGGGTGTGCTGACTTCCCCATGGCCTTGTGGCCCATCAGCAGAGGGTGGCCAATTTATTTCCTTGTCCAGGCTTGCCCTTGGCCCCTGCCGTCGTCACCAGCAATGGCAGGAGAGGCCTCCCCACACTCAGAGAGAACCTCTCTCATTCCTTCTGCTGTGTCTCTCGGACTCAAGCCACAGAACGCTCTCTCTTTCCAGGGCGGGCTCACGCTCTTAGGCTGGGGCACCGGCTAATGCAGGCTAGGGCCGCTAGTGGAAGATCTGTGGTTTTCATCACATCTGCAGAGTGCCTTTGCCGTGTGATGAAACACAGCCCCCGCTTCTGAGGGCGAGGACACGGCCATCTCTGGGGGGGCCATCCTGCTGGCCGCACACCATCATGTTTTTGTAAAATTTACAAGAGTGATTTTTTTTTAAAGAAGATCCACCATTCTCTATTCTCTTAACCTAAAGGTCCCCCCCACCCAGCTGTAGGTCATTAATCATTGTTGCTTCCTTTACTAAGTAAGTTTAAGGAATGGCAACCAACCTTTGCTTAATGGATGTAGAATTGAATTGCACAGAAAATTCCATAGAAAAATGTTGCACATAACCCTTTGTGTTCCATGGAATTGTTAGTACACCCCCCCGCCCCCGCCCCTGCTCCCAGAATTAGGTCCAGGTGTAAAGTATGCTTCTTAGTATACTTAATTAAGATTTAAAAATTTTAGCCCTGGCTGGCGTAGCTCAGTGGATTGAGCTCGGGCTGGGAACCAAAGTGTCACAGGTTCGATTCCATGTCAGGGTACATGACTGGGTTGCAGGCCATGACCCCCAGGAACCGCACATTGATGTTTCTCTCTCTCCCTCCCTTCCCTCTCTAAAAAAATAAATAAAATCTTTAAAGAAATTTAAAAAAAGATTTTAAAATTTGAAAAGACATTAAGACCTTAGAATTCATCTGGAGTCTCCAGTTAGGCATGTGCTTGGTCCTGGGAAGAATTTTTTAAAAATAATTTATTGTTTTTTTAGGGAGAAAGGAAGGAGGCAGAAAGAGGGAGGCATATTGATTTGTTGTTCCGCCTATTTATGCATTCCTTGGTTGTTTTTTAAAAAATATACTTTATTTATTTTGAGAGAGAGAGGGGAAGGGAGGGAGAAAGAGAGAGAAACATCAATGTGTGGTTGCCTCTCATGTGGTCCCCAACTGGGGACCTGGCCTGCAACCCAGGCATGTGGCCCGACGGGGAATCCAACCAGCGACCCTTTGTTTCGCACATGGGCACGCAACCCACTGAAGCCACACCAGCCAGGGCTCCTTGGTTTTTGTATGTGCCCTAACGGGGATCAAACCCACAACCTTGGCATATCCAGACGATGCTCAAACCAACTGAGCCCCCCCCCCCCACCAGGGCTTCTGGAAAGACTTCTGGTGTATCTGGGAGGGTGTCTTCCTGACAGAGCCCGAGTGCCCGTGGCTTACGGAAGCCCAGGGGCTGGGGTGGCTCCCTTCCCCGGCGGTGCAGGTGGAGCCGCTGAAGGTGACCTGTGCAGTCTGTCTTCTCTCTTGTAGCGATGTCTACGAGTCACTTTGATCAGGGGAGGAAACCTCTGAGTACGTTTTTCTGGGTAAACGAGATAACCGGAGAAGTCACCTACCCGCCACTGACGGCAGCTGAACCTGCAGCTCCTCTTGAGCAGCCCCAAGAAAATCTCAGCGTGGGAGTGCTCAGGGGGCTCCACCAGGGCCTTGCCAGCCCCCCCGAGCCGCGGGCTGACTCTCCGTCCCCTCCGACGGCTTCACTGAGGTACAGTGGCTCAAGAAACTCCCTCCCACCTACACTGACCCACCACCGGCTGGCTGAAGCTGCAGCCAGGAGCCCCTCGCTGGTCTCCGCGACCCCTGTTACCATCTCACCGCCAGGAGGCGCTCTGTCAACATTAGTCCCCTGTGGACCAGCCCCTCCACCACTAGCCTCTGCCTTTCCTTCCAGCATTTCCCTCCTCTGGGCCTACACCTGCAAGCTGAGAAATGCCCTTATTGGGAATAACTGATTTTCCTTTTGAGCTGGAGAGTATTTGCCTGGCCACGCCCCTTAAGAGCCTTTCTGCGCCAGAGTGGCCTGTCACCTGCACACCTGTGTGCCCTGGGAGGATACGACTGCCTACCCTACATGCCTGCCCGCAGGCTCTCTGCTACTTTCTTATAGGAATGTGCCGGATGCTTCCAAACTCAATATAAATCTCACTTAGATTTGGACACGCAACGTTTTTACGACTTCCTTTGCCTCCGAGCCTATTTTGCATTTTACTCTGAACTCCTCAGGGGTCGATAATTCGGCTCTGGTGTCGGTGTCATGGCAGTGTGTCCAGTTCCCCGCTGGCCTGAGGGGACCTCCGTGGTTGAGACTGAACAAGTGCAAGCTCAGGCCGCGGCCTGTGCTTCTGACCTGCCGGCCACAGGTCAGAGGGTCCCACCCCCTCCTCCTTGGGTTCCATAAATTCGCTCGAGGGGCTCACAGAGCTCCGAAACCTTTTACCTGCGAGACCCCTGGTTGTATAAAAGCACACGACTCAGGAGCAGCCAGACAGAGGAGATGCGCAGGGCGAGGTATGGGGGAGGGGCTGGGGCTTCCATGGTCCGAGCGCTCCGTACCCCAGCACGGCCCTCCATGTCCTAAAAGCCCCCGCGGGCTCCAGCCTACCTTCCCGCTCCTCATCCCCACCCCCCACCCCGCCCTGTGGCTTCACAGTGCCCACCCTCACGTAGCCTGAGCAGCCCTCACCTGCCAGTTTGTCCTTAAGCCCATCCATACTGCGAGGCCCCAGCCATGCAGGTAACAGGACCGCGGGGGCTCACCTGGGCTGCCCCAAACAGGGAGCAGCGGGTCCCAAAGCCCATGCACTTTACTTTGAGGAAGAGGCGCGCTGCTACCTTAGCTCTAAGGAGGTATGCTGCGGTGACTTTTGTGTTTTAAAGGAACAAGCGATTTGCTGGCCTAGGACTCAGCCGGCCACAGTGCTCAGGAACCAGCCTGGCCTCTTTCTCGCCCTTGCTGGGGGCCCTGCTGGGTGGGAGCGTCGGCCTGGGTCCCAGCAGAAGCCAGAAACCACACAGCAATTTAAACAGGATGCCTGGTATATAAAAACCGGCAAACCTGGGTGGAAGGATGACTGCAGACGGATTAAAACCTTATGGCACTCTAGGGAGGAGGGCGAGCCCCCAAGGAAGGGAAGGCCTGGCAGGGGAGTCGGCGGTTGCCCTGGCCATAACCCCGGGCACATGTGGGGTGCAGGCAGGTCAGCGGAGGGTGGGTCCTGCGGACAAGCACGGGAGTCAGGGCGCCCGTGCAGCAGAAGGCCCGAGCTTGAGTGAGTCCAGAGGGTCGCCAGGCCCGGCCAGGGCCACGTGTTCTGCGCCCAGGGCTCTTACCAGATCCGCCACACCCACCCTGTGTCCAACAGAGCAGCTTCAGACCAGTAGGGGGCCCTCCCCCCCACAGGGTCCCTGTAGCGCCCTCTCCGGAGAAGGCTTACCCTCGCTGCACTCGTCGCACCGGCCGTTCAGAGCCATGGGGAGGGCAGGTCCCCAGGAGCTCGGTGGTTCAAGGGCCTGATCCCGTCTTGTCTGCCCGGCTGGGGTGGAATGTTCTCTTTTAGGTTACACTGGGAGAGGAAGCCGGCCAGGCCTGCCCAGGCAGCCGATTTCCTGTAATTTCCTATCACGCCGAAATAGTTATACAACTATTAATAACCGAATAAAAAGAAAACAGTGATCTGATTGACATATTTATTATGTAACAATTAGTTCTGAGACAAATTTCAATTCAAAACGTATTACTGAGGGTCCTATATTAGCTGATTTTAGAAATGGCATAATCCAAATGCATTTTTCCAATAAATTTTCTTACGTAACCGGTAAGGAATTTCTCACTCCCGTCATTTGACTCTGGGAAGGTCTGTCACATTAGAAAACAACGTGAAGTACAGCCATTAGGCACAGGTTCAAAGGGATGATATGCGCACACACACACACACACACACACACTGTAAAAACTACAAATCAATATTTCTTTGGAACACATTTAAAGTTTAAATAATCAGTGTTTTAGATTGATTTAAAACATACATCCAGAATGTTTCTAAACATCTTTCCTTTCTAACGCACTGGGGAAAGTTCCTGTCTCATTGTTTCAGCACTAAGAGGCATGGAAACAGTGTCCCAAATTAGGACACAGCTTGTCTTCCGCAGAAACAAGCTGAAGGGGTTTCTAACCCCATACCGCAGAGAGCAGCGTCTACAGAGCAGCCACACCACGCCCCTTGGGGCTGGGCTGTGTGGGGGTGGCTCGCTGGGTTTAACCAGCACTCCAGACGGTGGCCGGAACGGGAAGACAGGCTGAGAGGGGTGACGGAAAACTCGAGTGTTTGGAACCATGTTGCACTTGACCCCACTTGCTGGAACTCTTTGGGAAACAAGAATTTTCTGGATAGCGTTTTCCACGGCAACAAACGAGTCACCTCATTAAATGATTCCAGAAAATCTGCTGTCCGTTGGTTTCATGCTGCAGTCACACCGTTCCAAGGGGAAGGAAAATGCACGGGCTCAACACTACATTCTGCCACTGGGCATGTTTCAACAAACTGGTATCTGACTGCTGAGTTCATTGTCAGTACCACATATCTGTTCGATTGCTTTTTCCCCTCTATTCTCTGTTCGGCAAAATTCGGTCGTCTAGTTCTTGCTGCCCACCAGTCTTCTGTCTTGGACACCAGCTCTCCATGCCGGCTGCAGAGCGCATGCGTGTGCTCATGCACGAGACGTGACTGTGAGGTTCCGTGTGGAACAGGGCCCCACGCTTACCCACATTTGCTCATATAAAAATATACATCGTTAACTCTGTAATGCCTCACTTACATACCACAAAATACATTCTTTTTTCCCAACAGCGTTTTACCTAGTCTTGCCAATCCGATAAGACTAGGAGTTAAAACCTTTTGAAAACAAGTTTCCCAACAGAAATGAAACTTTTAAAAAAGGTCTACTTTTATAGCAGCAGCAGTCACTTTGTTCTTGGAGCAGGTAAATAATATCAATGTAGTGAATCGTGGGTTTAAATACGTTCAAAGGTTTCTTTCTTATCTCTTTAAAAATAATGCAGGTTTCTTGGTTACTTAGTGGCTCTTCCATTCTTCCAGTTCCAGGGGATGCAGAGGTCGCCATCCTGCATGACAGAGTAGAAGTTCGAGACGCAGAGGTGCATCCCCTGCAGCCAGGGCAGCGACCGGTCCAGCAGTCTCGTACAGCAGTCCACCATCTGGACGCTCGAGACGCTGGGGTCCTTATACAACTTTTCCAGGGAAAATCTTTTTGTTGAAGCCTGTATCAATTCACTTTCAGTAACCTTCAACCTGTTATATTGAAAATAAAAATGATATTGCCGCAAGCACATAAAAGGACATACAATGTAAATGTATTCTCAGATATGGGGGCTACACCTGTCTACTCACAACACCGAAAACGGCGTCCATAAGGGCCGCACTGTATGGTTCTAGAGACACACCTGTGGGCATCACGCACGGCCTGTTATTTTCACCGGACATCTGAAAGTATTTGTTAGATCTTTGTAGTAGTAATGGGGCAAAAGTAATTAATGCATAATTTAAAAAGCTCTTGTCCTGCCTCACCTAGCAGCTGGTAGCAACTGAAGAAAGCAGGAAGCTCAGTGTGTACAAGACCCCGAGCCTGACCCTTGGGCAGTAACGACTCGCAGAGACTCCCCAGTAGGGAGCAGGCTCAGGACTGCTGGGCACCCGAGGCCAGGCCCTCTTCACGCTCCCACTGCTACGCCTACCCTCCCAACCCCCCAACCCCCCTTCAGCCGCTGGAGGCTGGATGTGTCTGTTCCATCGAGGGCTTGACCTCAGGCCAGAAAGTGAACAGCTCAAGGTGGGAGGAGCCCAGGCCGCCCTCACCTGCGGCAGGGGAGTGGAGCCCAGCTGTCAGGGCTCCTGAACCGGTCTAATTTAAGTCCTGTGCTGGTCGAAAAGACCCAAACGTCCACTTTTATCCGATCTTAAACTCTGATAAAAGGGAAGCGTAAGTGCAGTGAAACACCCATAAGCTAGGGAGTGTATGGAAACAGAAATGGTCGCTGTGGTTAGTCTGCAGTTAGTGGTGCTGGTCTGTCGTCACCGAATCCCTTTCTGCAACAATGTCCTGAGCACTTGCTCAAGCACTGTTCCAAGCACTGTTCCTTTTTCCTGTGAGATGACTCCTAGACCAGGCTGCTGGAGGTTCAAGAAGGTGGACAGGGTCAGGGCTGCTGGGGCTTCCAGGGTGTCTGCTCCGGGGCAGAATGAGACAGGAAGAGTCTCAGGCACCATCGGCAGCAGGGGCACCTACGTTTCCTGCCAGGGCCTTTCCCCCAGAGACCCGAACGGTCTGGCTAAGGAACGAAGAGCCTTGCAGCGCAGCCAGGACTGTGAGGCTCAGCAACACTGCCCTCCACACTCTGTGCCGGGGGAGGTGGGCGGGGGGCGTGGGCCCTGTTCCCACTGCTTCCCCGAGAAGCCTCTGGCCTCATCCCAGGGTTTCCCTGAGCCCCGGGCCCCGGCCTCTGTATCCAGGAGGGCCTGTCAGTCCTTCTGGGGTACAGTCTTGGAGGGGTCTCGGGCCCTGAGGGGTCAGCCCTCGCCAAGCTCTCTCTGGGGCTGTGCTTGGTGCCTCTACTGTCTGTAGCAGACTAATTTTAAACATATTTAAACAATTCTTTTGCCTTTCCTTGTAGTTCTCTGCTTTATTATACTCATACCGAAAGGGAAAAAAAAAAAAAGGGAGGCCGTACAACTGGGGGAAGCACCCTGACATGGCGAGTGTGGCTGGTGGGGCGTTCTCTCCCTTCTCTAATGCCAAGAAATGGGCTGCCACTTCCCTCCTTTGACACAAATTATGTCTGTTTTTTTAAATCCTCACCCGAGGATATTTTGTTATGGGTTTTAGAGAGACAGGAAGTGGGGGTGGGCAGAGAGAGAGAGAAACATCAGTGTGTGAGAGAAACATTGACTGGCTGCCTCCCGCATGTGCCCTGACCTGGAACTGAACCCACAACCTTTTTGGTGTACGGGACACACTCCAACCAACCGAGCACCCAGTCAGGGCTCCTGAGGCGACTTTTATTTCTCACAAGCTCTGCTTCTCAAATTGAGGGCCATGATGTAAATGTAATTTGGGTTATTAGGAAACAGCCACAGCTAATGCCTGGCAGAACAAGGTAGGGAATAAGTAACTATGGAACACCCACCCATCAGTCCATTTCCTAAGTTAAGTACAGTTTTACTGTTCCATATTTATGAGTTCTGAATACCTGCAGTTTTTAAAAAAAGATTTTATTTATTTTTAGAGAGGGAGAGAAACGTCAATACGTGGTTGCTTCTTGAGCACCCCTCACTGGGTATCTGGCCTGCAACCCAGGCACGTGCTTTGCCCGGGAATTGAACCTGCAACCCTTTGGTTGGCACTCGGGCACTCAATCCACTGAGCCCTATCAGCCAGGGCTGAATTACCTGCATTTTTAAAAGTTAGACTGAATGACAAGACCTCACAGAGGGCTGACAGCACTCACTCATTTTTCCTCTTCATGTTCTCTCTGGCCTGCTGGGCTTTGGTGAGCAGGAACCACTGCAGGTATACGAGGTCACAGAGCGTCGGGATGTTAAAATGCCCGAGATCATGCAGGCTTGGAGCATTTCGGTCACTGTAATGAGACACATGGGAAGAAAACCATCAGCTCCCTCCACCCCGCACTCCACTCCAAAGAAAACACTGTACGAGGCTGATTAACGGAAGAGGACTTCATCAGGGAAACACACCCGAAAGCTACAGCCAGACTGATGCAGAGCCGTGCTGCATCCAAAGAGGCACACTTTACCAGGACAACCACCCACTCCCCAGCCCTGGGGCCGTCCCCGTCTGGAAAACGGGGCCTGGAGCCCGCTCCACGGCGAAGGCGTGAGCGCGAAGGGGAAGGCACTTCAGCTGCAAGCACAGTGCCTGGGAAACGACGTGTGCGGCACGCGCACAGAAAATGTGGGCTGCCGATTTAACAGCAGTTTGCTCCTGTCGAGTTTCCTCAGGACCGACTTCCCCTGTAAATGGCCACACATTTACGGAACGTTCTAGAGAGTCAATCCTTCGGTTCTCTCTTGTCAGCTTTTCTAATGTGTCAAGAGCGCTGCTGACAGGTGCAGCGACATTCTGTTCTGTAATTCCTAAGAGGCGCACACTGAAATACTAAAGACTGCATCGACTGACTTGCAGACCTCGCCTCGGTGAGTAAGTAAGAGTCAATCTTGTTTCAGGTGTTTACCTGTTGAGGATCATTTGTAAACCACGCAGACTTCGAGGGTGAAAAGGTATTCTACTTTTCAACAGTCGGTTATAGAACACATCGAGAAGAGAGTAGTATTCCTCCAGCGTCAGTACTGGCTGTAATTCTTCAATATAAACAACCTGTATGCCGCCGAGCAGATAGCTTATTTGGTCTTCTAAAAACATCAGCTTCCTCTGGAGGTCAAAGTAACTTGGTAATCTTTCAAAAAGCTACAGGATTTTTTAAAAAAGGGAAGACATATTTAGTTTTGCATTATAATAACTCAATTTTAAGGTTTCCAGAAAAATGGTATTGAGATATTTTAACAAGATAATTATTTTCCTAGAAGGAAAGTTCAAGCAAGCAATAACCAACAGACTTAATATAATGCTGGCAATGTTAATATTCAAAACAAACCACATCAGAATCTTAGGAATTTTTAGATAGGAGAACGTTGTAGAAAAAAGGAAATGCATTCCAAATAAAAATAAATTCTACGTACTAATAGATACTTAGGAAGAATCTCAACTTGGTTTAGAGCTGGGGTGTCAAACTCATTTTCATGGGGGGCCACATCAGCCTTGTGGTTGCCTTCAAATGGCCGAATGTAATGTTAGGACTGTGTAAATGCGACTGCTCCTTAACCAGGGGCAGGGAGCGCGGTGCTGCTGCCGGGTAGAAAGAGGGTGCCGCGGGATAAAACAAGGTGGAGGGCCGGCCCTCGGGCCTTGTGTTTGCCACCTGTGGTTTAGAGTGATTAAATAGTATAATAAAGGCTTTATTTCAACTCCAAGTCTATTTCTTCAGAATTTACTTTAATCCACCTAAATTAAATTAAATGCAATAAACATTACTGAGCAGCTACCATGTACTTAGGCAGTAAATTGGGCCCCCGGAGCATACAGATTGTAAGAGTTTGTCCCTGCTGGCCAGGGCTCACAGTGGGGGGAAGAGGAATAAAAATAAAAATCTGAATTCAGCACACGAGGTGCCTCAGCAGGGTGAATGGACACAGGCGGGTGAAGCCGAGGGTTCTAAGGAAGTCTGATGGGGCCAATCGGCCACGAGCCCCAGGACTGAGGAAAGGTCAGAAGTGAGTGGGGTGTGTTGAGGGAAGTCAGAAGGGCCTGGGCGAACGTGGACGCACGCACAGGGCAGCACGCTCACACGTGAGGAGTCCGGTGTGGCCGGACCACGGCTGCCTGCGAGTGGACAGACAGCCGAAGAGGCAGCTGGCGCGAGGTCAGGGGCACCCTTGGGTGCCACGTTAAGGACTTAGACTTCGGACAGAAAGCTGTGGTCATGAAGCTTTCAGGGTGGTTGAAAGGCAGCGAACACTGCTACAGTAAAAGCAACAGCAGTATAAAATTTCTACAAATGATTTATAATGTACTTCTAACACTTTGCGAAAAATGATTTTACTACTTCTTCAATTTTCTTCTGAAGGAGTTATTTACAGATGGTAACCACACTGTAAAAACTGTTTATTGGGAGCTCACTGTGGAGTCCCAGATCTCTCAGCCCGCTTCCCCGGGGTGGCACCTTGGGGACTGGAGTGTCCTGTCACAACCAGGGAACTGGAGTGACACAAGCCACCACCCTTGTCAGATGCCCTCCGTTTCGCTGGCACTCACTGGGCATTTCACTGTGTGCAGTCTCAGGTGGCAGAGCCCCATGAGGACACCGCGGAGTCCCACCGCAGGGCCCCCCGTGCTGCACTTGTATAGTGGCAGACGCTCCTCGACCCCTGGCAACCACAGACCCGTTCTTCCTCTGATTTTGTTATTTGAAGACTCTTACAGATGTGGAGACACGCAGCGTGCCCCACCCTTCGAGGCTGGCCTTCCCACTCAGCAAGGGGCGCAGGCAGCGCAGGCCCCTCCTCGCTGAGCAGCGCTGTCGTGTGGACGAGCTGCACTTTGTTCAACCCCGCGAACCCCGAGGGGCACTGGGGTTCTCCCCCCGCTGCGGGCTGTCACGAACATTTGCGTACAGGTTTCTGTGTGAACGTAACTGTTCACTTCTCTAGTGTAAGTGTCCAAAGGCACCGTGGCTGGGCCCGGGAGGGGGGGCCCCCATGCTGAAGGTGTAAGTGGCTGCCGTGCTCGTCCCCAGGGGGTGTGCCCGTTTCACACTCCTGCCCACAATGACGGAGGGAGGCCGTTTCCTGCATCCTCCCGAGCACTTGGTGGAGCCGTTATTTTTCACGTTATTAGCCACAATGAGAGGTGCAGTGACTTCTCGCTGTGGTTTTCGTCTGCGTTTCCCCAGGGCTCATCGTCTGTGCCATGTGCTTATGTGGCACCTGCCTGTCTTCCTGTGACACGTCTGTTTGTGTCTTTTGCCCACTTTCTAGTTGGATTCTTTTTTTCTTTTTTCACTGTTGAGTTTTGAGAGTTCTTTATATATTCAGATACAAAGACTTTGTCAGCTCTGCGGCTTGCAGATATTTTCTACCAAATACTTGATCTGAACAGACTCTTCACAAAGAAGATGTGTGGGTGGTGAACAGGCACATGCAAAGACACTCCCCATCGCGCGTCATTAGTGAAGCACCCATTCAACCCACGAGGGGGCAGTCCCGCACACGTCCTAGAATGGCTCAAACGAGGAAGGTGCCGGGGCCAGTGCCAGCTGTTCCCTCCACAGTTAAACGGCCCTAACATATCCAGCTGGTCCACTTTCAGGTATGCATCCAAGAGGGAGGGAGACAGATGTCCAGAGAAACATCTGTAGATAATGCTCATAGAAGCTTTATTTCTAACAGCTAAAACCTGATACAAGCTCATGTCTGTCAACAGGTGAGCGGATACACAAGGAGTGGTACATCCAAGTGATGATTTATTGCCAAGTACTACCTGACAATAAAAAGGAGTAATTTTCTTGATACACGCAACAGCATGGATGAACCTCAACGTGGTTATGTTAAGTGAAAGAAATCAGACCACCCCCAGCCCAAAACCGCATACCCTGTGATTCCAATTATACACAACTCTAGAAATACAAGCTATCTGCAGCGGCAAAAGCAGGCCAGTGCTGGCTGGGGGCGTGCTGGGACGGAGAGGGCTGACAGAGGGACGGGTGCACACTTCTCTGGGTGACGGGCATGTTCACTGTCTTGACTGTGGTAACAGTTTCATGGATAGTCACATATGTCAAATCTCATCAAGTTTACACTATGTATGCATGGCTTGTTGTATGTCAATTATGCCACAAGAAATCTGTTAAAATCAAAACCACAGATGCAGGCCTTTAGGCGATGTTTCGGGAAAGACCATAAAATTTCCAAATAAAAACTGACTTAGAAATCCAGTCTTAAGCATCTGATCTGAAAAGACCTGCAACTATTATTAGAAACTTTTTTATTTCATTGACATCATAGCATAGTTGCAAATGAAAGGAGGTGGACGACAAATGAGGTTTTTCGCATCAAGCCGCTCCTTACCTTGGTCCAGTGGTGGTGCACGTCCATCGTCCCCAGCATCACATGGCCCACTGCGCTCACCCCGGAGCGGTCTGTGAATATCACCGTGCATCCTGACGGGGAAACACAGACCCGGGGTCACCGCCAGAGCTGCCTTCCTCTGCCAGCATCGCGCAAACAGCTACTTAAGTTTAGTGTATAAATTCAGGGGTAAAGGTCAGTAGAAGTCTAAAGGTCAATTTTATGTGGCTGACTTATTCAAAAGAATGGATTTAAAAATTCAGCTGCGATAAAGTCACTTCTGCAAAGACTTTTAACACTTCGTTTTCCTCTGCACTTACAGATGTGGATAGCAGCTAAGTAATATTTTAAAAGAAAAGGGAAATTGTTTACCTTTAGCATTTTTAAGTGTTTCCAGGTTCTGCTGTGCCAAGCGGCCCAAACTCTGCAGCTGGCTGCAGCGGTGGGCGATGCCCCAGCTCCGCTGCCACCTGGTCCGACAGAGAGCACAGCGGCACGTCAACACCGGGCACCCGGGAGGAGGGGCCCGCGCTCACCCCGAATGCTCGAGTATGCACGTGTTTCCAAACTAGCTGAGCATTCAAGAAGCAACCAAATGGAAAACAGACTGTTCACTCGTTAAAAATATTACTACCCGTGTTCAGGTATCTAAAGATTTAAAACAAGCAAGTAGCAAGTAAGTTTCTATTTTAAAATAAGAAGGTGAAATGGGAAAGACTTTGAAAAGATTTTTTCCCCCTCCACATTGTTCACAATGATGATGATTTCGCTCTCAATTTAAGTTCCCATTAGGAATTCCGGTTCGGTTTATCAGATCCTTTTTTCTTATTGTTGAGAAAGTGATTTTTATGACACCACGTAATCTGCTCCTTTTATACGTGAACATCGGATCTTAGTGACAAAGCGGAACCTGACGTTCGCGTGATGTCACAGTGGTGCCGCTCTGTAGAAGTAAAGAGGACCGGTCTCAGGCAGCATGAGAAAACCCACCTTTGAACCCTAATCTGGCATTTACCAGCTCTGTGACCTTGAACGAGTTGCTTCTAGCCTTCCTACGGTTTCTCTTTCATACGTGCAAGTGCGGCCCTGACCTACGGCCTGTGGTCTAAATCAGAGGTGAGTGTGTGAGAAGGGGTAAGGCACTCTGGAACAATGTAGGTGCCTCCTTCAGCTGAATCTGTGAACACACTGAACACACTGAATCTGTGTTCTTACTAATGAGCAGTCTTTCACACAGGCTGTCTGTCCGGCATTAGGAACCGTGTCATTAGTCGCAATGCCTCTGTCTGCCGGGGACTTGGCTGCTCTTCCAGGAGGTGGGGAAGCCGCCCCGTCCGTCCGTGGGCCTCCAACACTGCGGTCTCGGGACCCGGCTGTGCGCTCAGACCCCGGGAACCCCAGCCGGCCTTCGTGTGTGGGGGCGACGCTTGTCGCCATTTACTGCACTGGGAGTTAGAGCCGAGGAATTTCTCCACAGCGTCGTACGATAAAGCTTATTTCTTTTTCTGTTTAAGAAATCCTTTCATTTTTACTAATCCCAGTCTGCCTTGGCAAATCTTTTAAAACTTCTACTAGAAAAACTTATTTTCATGTACACAGAGACAACAATACAACATTCATTTTCTCTCTCCTTTCCTGTTTTAGACTCGAATACCAACCTCACATGCTGGAGGAATAATTATTTTTTTTACATGTTATGAGTATATGAAAAAGGGTATTTTTCTTACGAACCCATTATGTGAAAAAGTTCAACCAGCTACAGCTACATCAGCATCTAACCCTTACTTCACTATTTTAAACAAGAGATTGATAGTAGTTTCCTTACATACATATTTGATTACTTTCATAAAAAGACAAGAGAAGAATATTTAGTTATCTGAATAATTAAAGTAAGAGATGCAAACATTTAACGGCTGGAAAGCGCTGCCACTAGGTGGCGCATGCTCATTCTAACCTGTGAACCAGGTTCTCTGCGGTACCTGATGTCTGAGAGCTGCAGCTGACGAGACAGCTCCTCTTTTAAACGGTCTAGTTCTTTTCTGAGTGGCAAACTGTTCTCCAGCCTTTTAACCGCACGTTTCCCATTGTTATCTAGCCAGGATCTAGAGAGAAGAAAACAGATACATGTATGCTAACAGCAATGTGGACGTGCCTGCTGTTAACAGACATAGACACTCCTTTAAAGTAGCCCCATGTTAAACTCCAGTCAAACCTTTACCAAGTTACAAGTAAAAAATAAAAGTGTAGATGGAAGTGGCTGAGGTGAGGTCTCGGCTGGGCATTCAGTCGAGGGGCAAGGGCTGGAGGTGGAAGGCACACCAAGGCAGCAGACCCAGCAGCCTGCGGGAAGCAGGTGGTTTTGGAGACTCCGTGGCGGAGAGGCCAGATTGCTAAGGTCTGCTGAATGAAGCCACTTGGACAGAGACGGGGGAACACACGTTGAGAGCTCTGGGCACTCCCAAGCCAGACTAAAATGAAGGATGAAGCTGGGGTCCACCCAGCTAGAGCCCACACAGCAGCCACTGCAAGCTCCTGCCTCAGGTACCCGCTGCCCTTTCCGTGTGGCCAGCACCGCCAGACGGGGCTTCTTTGCTGGCGACCCACATGCACACCCACACATGCTTACTTATATACAGAAATATAACGGAAACAAGTGTTCTGAAAACAGTATTTAAACTTCTGACAACATATATTCGAGATATGTTAAAAAGGAACAAAGCAAAATGACTTTGCTGGCCCCATGTCAATAAAGTGTGTTGGGATTTGCAATTTGAAAAACACTGACTTAGCCCGTAATCACGGGGAAATCGTGACTACAAAGTCCCGATCGCAAACGTTCTGCAGAGACAGTTCCAATGGGCAGTTGTCCAGTGCGGCCTTCTGTGGACGCCAGGATGGACTCAGAACTTAAGACACTGAAGGCGAAATATAAGTACTTGAGCAAAATTCAAATAGAAAAAATGGAGGTCTCATACAGAACACATTAAAGACAATTAATCACAGATAAGACAAATGACAGAAAAATGTTTGTACATGGTTTTTATCATTAAAATTTTTATCAATCTGTTCCACATAGTGTTTTTAAACGTTGACACCACATATTTTTATGACACATTGATTATTCCAGCAAAAGACCTTACTATTGAACTCTTCAAAGAAGCTGAAAATGCTTAACACATGAAGAAGCTTCCATTAAAAAGATTTAGATGTGTTTTCTTCATGTGCTAGGGGTAACTTGAGGATAGAATTTTAAAAACTTAAAACGATTTCCTGTTTGTGTTTGGTATGAAAAGATTAAAAAATTTAACATAATTGGAAGTATTCTATCAACTTTAAGAAGCATGAAACATTTTTTTTCACATAATTACTGTGCTAACTGTACTGATAGGATTACTTTTCCTGAAAAAAATCTGACTTTAATTTTAAATACGAACTTCAAACATGTGAAGTATAAACTTGTACGTACGTTAGGGTTGTTTCTGCTCTCGAGACTTGTTCGAGGTCTTCATCCGGGTCCTTGAATCCAGTAAAGGAGTAATAAGACTTGTCCCATTTGATGGGCCTGTCAGGCACCCCTCTGGCCTCTTTGAGAGGCTGGGGGTGCACACTGCTATTCGAACTTTGGACGTGTTCAACTGACAAACTGCAGGAGTTGAGAATATATAACACTGTGCTTAGCAGATCTCTGGTGTGCAAAGTAAATTTGACTGCTCGAAATCCTAGAGAATATAATTCCCCCAGACAATGAAGATGGTTGATTATTTGCTTCATTTAAATTTTTTTCATACAAAATTTATAAAATTAAAACCTTCTAAAACATTCCAGTACCGATTCAAATCCATCCACCTGTCAACGGAACACTACTTCCCTTCTCCAGATCGGCGCCAACACCATCCTTGCCTTCATCAGTCCCTGGGCCAGTGCCCGTCACTGGTCTGGCACCAGCGACTAGACCCGCCCCAGCCCAGGAAGGGGATTCGGAGCAATGCAATGCTGTCCATAAATTTGGTGTCCGTGGTCTAGGAGATGGTAACGCTCTCACATGAGCAGGGGTCCCCTAAAGGTACTTTCTAAGAAGAAGGGGGAGGGAGATGGTGGGGGGGTTTCCCTGTGACCGGCTCGGAAGAGGAGAGGAGTCTGACAGCCTAGTCTCAGTGGTGCCACAAACCCATCTAGAGTCTTCTCTGTGACTGGAAGAGCTTGTCCTCGTACTTGCCCACCCAGCTGGCTCGTAACTCAGTATTTTCGGGGTGATTTAAAATTCCCTCACTGTTTAACTGTGCTTCTCAATCTGATTCTGATACCGGGTAGTCATCAGGCTAGGGTTCGTCATCTAACTTGTTAAGTCATCAACAGGAAATCCACTGTTTGGTATTTTCCCCCTCCTTTATTGGAATGGTGCTTAAATCACGTAACTTTCCAACCATCACTCCCACCAACTGCACCACCGTTCTCTCTCCTTCCAAACAGGAACAAAGACTCGAGGTTGGAAAGGCTGCAGCAAGGGCTTCAAGCTAAGCTGACGCCAACTCAAATATTTTCTCCACTGCGACATATTTTTTCTTTTTTAAAAAGGTATTGTAATTGGTTTTGAAAACTTTATCAGTACTATGTAAGTGCATCCTTTCTGTGAAATCAGGGAGATGCACCAGTGCAGACATGGAGCATTCACGTCACTGCAGGAAGCTCTCTTAGGCAGCTCTGCTCTAGGCACTTTCTCTGCGCTTGTGTGTGCAAATGTGTTGACACAAACACAGCCCCACCATGTGAACGGTCACGCGGCCTTGGTGACCTTTCATATCTATGTGGTTAGAGCGACCTCCTTCTTTGTAGTAGCTACACACTGGTCCATATAATGAAGGCAGCATAAGTTATCGAACACTTCTGAAATTGATGGACAAAAAAATTGTATTTAATTTTTCACATTCTATAAAAAGCTGACATGTATTTTCTTGTCTTTGCCAATGATGACGGATATCACAATTTAACTTATTCTTAGGGAGACGTATTCTCTTGCCTTATACACTTAAGGAATTTAAAACATGCAAACTAAGAAGGAATTTTTTTAGTTTAATCATTCGGTGCTAAAGTGGGGAATACAGGCATGACCCTAATCAGTGGAAGAGGAAAGGAAAATCCAAATTCCTGCATTTGAGGTTAGGAAGAGACAGTTTATCCTTAGAAGAACTAAGTCAAGAAATAAATCTCAGTTTCCATCTTGTCAATTCCATGAGTTATTTCATCCAATGTGAGGGCTGCTCCACAGTGAGGAAGGCCTGCATGAGACGGCACAGGTTCTTCACTGGAAAACAGTACCTAATTAATTTAGTTTGCATTTGATTACTAAAGGAAAATAATTTATGTGTTTATTAGCTATTTATATGCATCATTTCCTGAAGTGTTTAGTCACTGTCTTTGCCCATTTTTGTAACAGAGCTACTCTGTCTTCTCTTTGATTTCTAAGAACTTTTTATATATTAACTTTATCTTTTTGCCACGTATGCTGTATGTTTTCTCCTATTTCCAGTTTACGTTTTTCTAAAATCTATTTTTGTTTAGTAAAGGGTTCAGTTAAACATTAATTGAAAGTAGTTTTCCTGGCTGGCGTAGCTCAGTGGATTGAGCACGGGCTGGGAACTAAAGTGTCCCAGGTTCGATTCCCAGCCAGGGCACATTCCTGGGTTGCAGGCCATAACCCCCAGCAACCACACATTGATGTCTCTCTCTCCCCCCCCCCCATTCCCTTCCCTCCCTAAAAATGGATGAATAAAATCTTTAAAAAAAAAAAAAAAAAAAAAGAAAGTAGTTTTGTTTTTACTCATAGCTGACTACAACAATTTATTTCTGCATTAACTCACAGAGAGCTTAGTAAATCTTTAACTTGTTTTAAAATTTATTACAATAAAGTTTATTTCCTCATAGACCACCAAAAAAATGAGATGAAGAAATGATTCAAGTCTTTAATTTCAGTAATCAATATCACTAGTAAACATTTTACTTTACTACCATCTCAATTATCAATGAAAAGGTAACTGATAATTTCTAATGTTCTAAAAATAAAAATGTAGAAAGAATGTGATCTTAATTTTATAATCAGGTAAAAAGATTAAGGACATAAAAATGTTTTAAATCTTTGTCAAGAGTGCCAATATTTGTCATAAAGGGAAGGCAATGACATAATTATTTTAAAGGAAGAACAGAAAATGTGGTACATAAACCAAAGCCTTAGACTAGGAATTTCTGGTACCAGCTCTTACTTCTGGTACCAGCTCTATGCTTAATTTGCCATGTGAAACTTTCCAAGTTCCCCTGTTGGTTGCTTCCCTCACAAAGAAACTTGGTTTATTCTTGAACTCCACGGTATTCAGTATCTCAGACAAAGCCAGCTGAGATGGTAGGGAAGTAGCAGCTGAAGCTGTAGAAATGAGCTCAAGTCTCCCAAACACGAACATAGAAACAGACTGGTGATATTTTTGCTTTAAAAATTGTGAAGGGTTTACTTTTGCCCTTATAAATCCGTCTGTCATGGAGAAATCATAAAATCCTGCATAAGTAGGATGGTTTTTGTCAATTCCTAGCCTAACCTTGACCCTGAGTGTAACAGAAACATCGGTCTATTTCACGGTACTTACGCGTCTTTGCCCTCACCCCAGCAAATGACAGCACCTCGGCTGCTCACACGACTCTCAGGGCCGAGACTAGCACGGTCACCACGATCACCTACACTCTCACCCCGAATCGTGTCACTTGGTGATAAAGACGGTTACTCATAATGGTTACGACGAGTGAGTATTTACAGCCTTCTCCAGTAGAGCTGTTCCCTTCCTTCACAACAGGGTTGTGAGTTCACGTTTTGTCGCTGAATACTGAAGAACAGGGTCTATTTTAAATAAAACTCCAAATCAGACGGAGATGGAGAAACAGCCAGGGAGGGGACCTTGCGATTCCTGATCTCCCACATTCAGGCACGGGAGGGCGAGAGGTGGGAGAAGATGTGCCACCAGACTCGAGTCCCGGGAGAGACGGGGTGGGCCGCTGTCTTAGACATGAACACCCCGTTCTGGTGCTTTTCAGACCCAGCTCCCGTCACGCCCCCCGCGCATGAGGCACGAGCCTGAGTGTCGGCACTCACACATGGTGCTCCCCCTCTCTCACTTTAACAGCGAAGGGCCGGGAGTGAGGGTCACACGGCTAGTCACCGGAAGAGCTAGAAACAGACTGGAGGTCTTCAAAGGCCTATCAACTTCTGACTTTCATGAACAGTTTGTTTTAAAAAATTAGTGTGTATTTTCTTTTTTTGTCCCTTTTTTATCCTCACCCAAAGCTGTATTGGTTTTTTTTTTAATTGCCTTTTTAGGGAATGAGAGAGAAACATAGATGTAAAAGAGAAGCATCAATTGGTTGCCTCCTGTACCTGCCCAGACCAGGAATCGAACCCACAACCTAGGTATGTGCTCTGACCAGGGATCGAACCTGCAATCCCCCAGCTACGGGATGACGCTCCAACTAACTGAGCCACACAGGCCAGGGCTACTGTGTATTTTCCAATTCTTTTAGTCTTAACTCACCAAAAGCTCTTAGTAAATCTTTAGGTTGTTTTCAAGTTCACTCTAAAAATAAAGCTATTTCCTCAAGGATAACTGAAAAGCTATATATTTGGAGAAATGACAGAACCATATTTGCCCTTAATTTTAAGTAGTGCTGGTTCATGGATGGCTAAAGCAGTGACAAAGGACCAAACAGAGGCTGTATATTTGGAATGACTATGCAGCATAGGGCTGGAGTTAAGGAACCTGGCTGGGTCCCCACCCCAGGCTCTGTCTCCACAGCCCTGGGGACGGCACGGGACGTCGCTAAGTTACAGCCGGGCACACGCTGCCCGCCTTGCAGGGAACATGGAGGAAGGAATAAGAGAATGCACGCTGCACTTTTAAAAAATATCAATTGTTACACAGTTTGACACTTCAAATAGCACTAAAACAGAAGGGGACAAATAGGAACACTTCAATTTTACAGACAAAAAAAGCTTAAACACAAAAAATGGCTTATTGAAACACATGCGGCCAGGAATAGATTCTAATTCTGGGAAAACCAATCAATTAAATGATATCATTTTTCTATGGCCACAGCTTCAACCCGAAGGTATTCGGGCACCATCAGACTGAACGAACCTACTGAACACGAAGCTTGCAAAGGACGAACTAGCAGTAGGAAAACGTACCGAAAGTACTGAAGGTTTCCTGGCTGTCAGGGGAATGTTGGTCTGTTTCTCTTACATAAAATGTGAGCTGCGTTGGTTTCAAAGACCTGAAGCCTGGTTTCTGGAGATTTTCTAAGTAGACACTTAATTTCTGAAGAGAGTTCTCATTAACTTCCTGGAAAAAAAATTATCAAGGGGTATTTACACAGAAAATAGAACGAGGGAACAACAGAAGTCATGTCCTGACCTTTTTAACACACATTGTGGATACTAAATGAGTCGGTAATAAAAGATGCTGGGATTTCACAGCACTGGTGGAGGGAGAAAAACAGTCACCTACCACTAGGCTTCATTTTTCCACACATGTTGGATTTAAGAACTTTAGCTAATATCTGCCAGATATCACAATTGGAATATTTTCCAAAAGCAAAGAAGCAAAACTGATCTGTTTTGGACTGCAGCTGGAAAAACGTAATATAATGATGTTCTAATTTTCAAGAGTTTTAAATTCCTTTTCACGTTAAAGCAGGTGGCATTGTTAATGAAAAGGAAAGGAACCAATGAAACAATTCCAAGGCAGTTAGCTCGGTAACACATCATCTGACGTGAGAAGCTACGGGCCTTCGGGACCGCGCTGGTCCCGAGAGGTTTTCGCTGCCTTCCCTGAGCGCGCACCGAGCTGAGCGGTGCCGCGGGGATGCGGGGATGCGCACTGGCCGGAGGCACCGGAGGGGACCACAGAGGCCTTCCGCATTCTTTCACACCTTCAGCTTGACTCGAACTAGAAAAACCGGTATAGGAAACACAATGAAAAATACTCTAAATGGAGTTCATAGCTTTATTGCCTACATAAAGAATGTCAGATTTCATAAAAAAAAACATGTTTTCAGTTGGTAGTATCTATATTTCAAATTGGGTCAGAGCAACGATTATGCATCAACACAACGGAACTGCAAATTTACAGAACCCTCCGTATTTCACCGTGACCGTGATGGTGACCTAGGTAAACAACCTAAACAGAAGCGTCGGCTAAAGGCTGAGCAAACAGGAAATGCTTACCCGTTCCCGGGGGTGCTGGCCGAAGAAATCGGGATGCACCACGAAGTAGAACGGCCTCAGAGCATTGACCGCTTCGGCTCCTGAGAACGCTCTCGAGCAGGAAAACCAGTGTGGGAATGCCTTCTCCAGACACAAGCTTTCAGGGAGACGTGGACTGATTAATTGTGAGGGCCCCGAGGTACAAGCAGACCCCCAGTGTACAAAGTGAGGGCAACATTAAACTGACTCTGCACGGAAAACACCACAGAAACAGGATAGCAAACAAAGCCCAAAACTTTGTGGTTTTCTGAAATCTACCAAGTTTTAACAAGCAGTGAGTGCCTTGCAGTTTCTAAAAACAGTGACTATAAATTCCTCTGATGCAATAGGAGAATATTAATTAAGAATATAATTTCCCCTCGGAAAACCCACTTGGAAATGTTAATTGGTTTTGCTGCAAATGAGGATGATTTTCGGCATCATCTTTTTTCTCCAGATGGGTTAAAAGAACCACCAATATCCAAGTGTCATCTTTTTATAGTGAAAAATACTTTGAGAATTGTTATGTTTAGAAAGAAGATACAGATCTCTTTTCATTTATTTTCTCATTACTGGCATGATAATATTATTCTAATTGTATAACTTGATATTTCATTCTTAAAATTTGGCATAACTTATCTGAGAGTGTTTTTTTAGTATAGTTTTAAATTTAAATAAGATCATTTGTAATTAAAAAATATTTTATTTATTTTTAGAGCAATGAGAAGGGAAGGAAAAAGAGAAGGAGAGAAGCATCAATTGTGTGGCCCCAATTGGGAACCTGGCTCGCAACCCAGGCATGTGCCCTGACTGGGAACCGAACAGGCGACCCTTTGGTTCACAGGGCTGTGCTTAATCCACTGAGCTACACAAGCCAGGGCTCATTTGTAATTTTAAGCAAGCACTTCCCTGATTTCTATTTTTGCATGTTATAATTTACCTTTTCCATTCTATAACATAAACTACATAAAGAAGTCTCTAAATATTGGGCACATTTTTATCTCATATGCTATGTATACTGAGTCTTCTGAAAAGCTTTCTGTTTTTAAAATGGTAGGACTGGAAAATAATTTCTGCAGATTTTTTTCCAACAGTCTAGAGACCACCAATATATTTTCAGATTACCTTTGGTTTGGTTTGGTTTTGCATATCTTTGATAATGTCAACACACAGGTTGAGCATTAAAGATTATAGTAGGAATTTGGACAGTAAAGGAAACAATAAGCCTGGTATGAAAGTCCTCTGTAGGAGGCAGTATAAGAAAATGTGAGTGACAGCTCCATTTATTCCCCATCAGAGCTTCAACAGACACTTAGCTATCCGGCCAGCCACTCAAATTTTACAAGTCCTTTAAAAATAGGAGTAGCAGTCATTATTTCCCTTCTAGACTCGGCCTGGATACAGAAGGCGAGGGAGCAGTCAGACAGTTCACCCCAGGATTATTTCCCTTACTGGGGTCCCCTTTCCCCGAGCTGCCAGAGCACAAAGCCTCAGACCTACTTCTGCCCGAGCCAGCTCGCCCTCCCCAGCCCGTTTTCAGTTAGTTTTGTTCCTTCTTGCCTACGGCATCCCCTGAAATCATTCTCCTGCTTCCTGCTACCAAATATCCCCATGTAAGTGGACTGCACAGCCTCACAATCAGTCTACTTTTCCCTAATGCTGAATATAGGTTAATTTTCCTAAAGTCCCACTATCACCGTATTCCCTACTAAAACACCACTATGGTCTTGCAATTCCTGCAGAATAAAATCCACCCCCCAGTCTAGTGCAGTAAGTCCTCTCTAATCGTTTCCAATCTGTCTTTCAAAGTTGATCTCCAGCCAGTCCTTACAGAAACCCTCAGGCCAGCGCCCGATGATCATCCTCACCTTTCCCTTTCTTCAACTTGATGTCTGAGCTCTCACACACCCTCCCTACCCCTCACTTCCATCTGTCCAAACTGCATACCCACTATGTGCCAGGAAGCAGGGTCCCCCAGAACCTTCCCTTTTAAATCCTCATTATAAATAGTCTTTCCCTCTTGAGAACTCAAACAAACAAGCAAACAAAAACCAAAAAAACTGTTTGGAACATAATACTGTTATGTGTAAATGATATATTTTCATTTGTTCTTCTTTCCTTCCACCTACCCACCCTCAACTATTCCTGTATTCTTAAAGGCAGTAAATACGTTTTAGGTATGTCGTTTGCTGTGTTAGTTTGCATCTGCTGAAAGCAGAGGCCAAGACAGGATTAGACATGCAAGACAATTATTGGGAGAGGAAGGCAAAGGTCAGAGAGCTGTTTTAACCCTGATTCAGGGTGGGCAGGGCCCCTGCAGGAGGAGAGCGGGAAGGAGGGGGTGTGGAGCATGGGGTCTGGGGCTGCGGTGCAGTGCCAGGAAGGGCTCAGCCATGCCCGGGGGGGGTCCTTGAGCCAAAGTCACCCACTGGAAGAGTCCTGTGTCTTGCTGGAATGATTCTGACTTAGGATTTATATTACACACATATGAATAGCAAATACAGCAGCCAAATGACCTTAGTATACGATTTAATTGCAGAGTGGTTTTCCAAATGTTAACAGGAGGCTGTTCATATGAATTTTCTTTTTTTGTTCTTGCCCTCCACCACAATATAACTTTAGAATTTGAAAAATAACAATAAATTAAAATTAGCCAAATGCATAACAGGTTCTCTTCCCCCACCCAATACTAACTACAGATTGGACCATGAAGCTTACCTCCTTACAGGTCTCAGGTGGCAAAACATTTCTGAATATGTATGTACGTCAACTTCCAGGCATCATTAATTGCTAAAACATTAAGCAGATATCAGTAATGAACAAGTTAAAAACATTACCATTTACATTCGCCCTTGCCCGAATGAAATACTTAGCTATAAATCTTAACAAAATATGTACAAGATCTATATGAGAAAAACCACAAAACTGTGATAGAAGGAGTCAAAAAGGAACTAAATGGAGAGAAAGTCCATGTTCATGGGTAGAAGAATCAACATTGTTACGAGGTCTGCTCTTTCCAACCTGCTCTGTGGATTCAATGAAATTCCAATCCAAATCCCAGCAACTCACATTCCGGGTACCGACAAACTCCTAAAGTTTGCGTGGAAAGCAAATGACCCGGACTGGCCAGCTCCGTGCTGGAGAAAAAGAGCTGTGGGGCCGACGCTGCCCAGCGTCAGGGTCACTGTTTAAAGCTACGGGGGTCCAGCCAGCACAGGACTGGTGAAAGAATGGATAAACTGAACTTCATTAAAATTAAAAACTTGTGCTCTCTGGGAGACAATGTAGAGAGAACGAGGAGGAAAGGCACAGACTAGGAGAGAAATATTTGCAGAAGACATGCATATCTCAAGGATTTTCAAAAATCAAAACCAGACTTAGTTAAGAGAGCACAGGTACAGGGCTCCGAGCTTGCAGAGAAGAGACTAGAAGGACACACATACTCGATCTCTAACTAGCTGTCTCTGGTTAGCTGGTGGGAGGATGTCAAGTACTTGAATGTTTTCTTATTTCCTAGTTTATTAACAATGACCACGTGACATATGTTCTTAAAAATTAAAAACATACATGCTTTTAGCATACAAATTAAATGAAGCAAACGATCCTGACAAAAATGAGCATTGTTCATTCAGTATGTGAGACGGGTCCCTGGACCGGGGAAACCTGTCGGCCCAAAGACAGTCCTGGACTGCGGTCGCGATCTAGCCCAAGAACAGCTCTCCACACTCACACAGAATGACAAGGACACCGGCAAAGAGACCAGTAAGTGAGCTAAAACTGTGGGTAAGAAATGGGGAAGAACACTTGGGACGCACGTGATCATCCAAGACTATGAACGGGATGTAGATTAAACTCTATGCAGCAAAGCTCTGACCACCATCTGTTATTCAGCATAAAAGGGTCCTAGAAGCAGCCTTGCAAAGCCAGAATTACTAAACAATGCAATGCACCTAGGCCTTGCAACAACACAACCTGTTTTAACTGTTTTTTTTTTACAGCAGTATCTTAAAAGTGCATACAATCAGAATGTCTGCGACTGATGAACAATGTAGGTGATCCAAAAGACACGCGTTGCTCGTCATTTGCAAAAGCAAGACATCAAAACAAACGAACCACTGCAAATAAAGTGTTTTGAAACTTGAAAGTTAAAGCAAAATAAAAAGACAGCAAGAATTTTGACGTCAATTTAGGAAAGACTAGCTGCTTCAAATTTGATTCATCAAGGGTTTCAGAGGCAGGCAGCCAAGTCTCTGTTCAGGAGTTTACACATTTACACATTTATGAGTGAGAATTGGTAGAAGCAGCGGCTGATTTAGCCACGAAAACAGCTTGAAGGATTGGTTTAAAGAGTTTGGAATTAAGTCTCCGAAGAATTACTTGCAGCAAAATTGCAAAAACTGGAGAATGTATCCTTAGTGGCTTTCAAACATGGAATGGGGCACAGAGAGCTATTTAGTATGTTTTAGAAGTTTCCATAAAAAAAAAATCAAAGCAGAGCCCTGGCCAGGTGGCTCAGTTGGTTGGAGCCTGTACACCAAAAAGTTGCGGGTTCAATTCCTGGTCAGGGCACATCCTTAGGTTGTGGGTTAGGTCCCCAGTCGGGGACTATACAGGAGGCAATTGACGTTTCTCTCACATCAATGTTTTTCTCTCTAAAATATCCTCAGATGAGAATTAAAAAAAATAATAATCAAAGCAGAAAAAAATGTTCCTGTACTTAAAGTACTGGTCTTCAGTTGTCCCAAAAATTATTCATTCACTGTTCACTTTGTAATCGTAGGGTATAACTAAACTACTAATGGGCAATGATTAATAAAGGAACTTAAAACTTGGAAATGTTCTTGGCAGGTTCTCACAATGAAAAGAAAATGTTTTCAAATACAAGTATGAACATTAAATCACGGTTTCTAGACTTAGAAACAATTTTTTAAAAAAGCTATCACAGGTTAAGAGTTAGGTGTGTCATGCCTGCTTTTTCTGTGAGTAGGCTGTTTCTTAAGAAAGGTTCCCACTGCAGTAGGTTAGGAGAATTCTGACCTTGGCCTGTGCTGCATAATAAGGTAGCTGCTAGCCACATGTGGCTATTACGCACCTGAAATGAGGTGTCTTAAGTGCCAATTAGATTTTAAAGATTTAGTATAAAAAATGCAAAGTACTTCATCAATACTTGTTTATGTTGAGATAACATAGTAAAATTAATTTCACTTGTTTTTGCTTTTTAAAAAGCAAAACACAACCTGGTTTGAATTATTTCTTGCAATTTGCTAACAGGACATGTAAAACGACACCTGCGGCTCCTGTTAACTTTCTCTTGGGCTGCGCTGATCTAAGCAAAAGCAGGGCAGAACGCGTGAAGTTAACACTCGCTGTCAGAGAAGGCAGTCTGCTGGAGGGCTGGGGAGGGAGGTCGGGGACAGGTGGGGGAGGGGGCGGACCTGAGATCTGTATTTAAATCCGGACTCCAGCACCGAGTGAGCAAGGAAGGGCACGTTATTTCACCCTCCCGAGTCAACTAGTAAATAATACAGATGGTCCAAGATCAGCCTGTTCAGCTACAAAGAAGTTTCTTCGATGTGAATTGGATTATTTGAAGTTTCTTCGATTGAATTGGTAAATTGGGAAAGATGTATCATATGCAGCTTTTTCCCAGCATGTTAATGATTTGGAGTAATCAGAGGTGGGCTTTCTACAATCATACATGCTTTAGCTACATAGAGAGACTTAAGGAAAAACCTGAAAATCCCTCAGTAGTTCCTTTCTTTGGTTCAAGAAACAGATGGTTAGTGGCTTCAGGTATCTCTACATTTCTGACGACATCAGGCAGTCTGGGAAGCTGCTGGTACAGGTGAAAAAGCCAGAGATTCCCACAGGTCTTGTTTTGAGTGGTATTTTCCCCCACAGACCCTGTGATTTCAGTGCATTGTCTTGCAGCATGTCCAGATTTCCAGGAATCATAGCGCATGTCCTCACAGTGGAAACACCTGTGTGACATGTAGGTACTGTCACCCCAAACTGGCCTTCAATTTGAAATTTAAAGGTTTTCATTACATGAGAGAATACATTCAGCTAACACAATAGGACAGTCTGCTGGGCAGGAATTTAGCCAGAAACTATCTTTGCTGTAGAAAATGTTTATACAGTTAGTGAGTATTTTACAGAATTTTGTCTTAATTTAGTAGAAAAAGAAAAATTACAATTCTAATGCTAGCAATAAGGGCTAACAAGTTTAGCATAAATGAAACAACAGGAAATATACGTATCATTGGTCCCTAGCTGGTATTTCCTAGACTGAAGTTATCTTCACTGTGTGTTTAGGGAAAAATTATAAAATGTTGGAAATATCCATTACAGATTTTCTAAAAGGTGAAATGTAATCCAGAACACTATAATTATGTTTTAGCTCTCTGGATGTGGAATTCCACATCACATAATTGTACACGTTTTCAGGAGTACATTATGTGTGAAAGTAGGGGACAGATAGAGGATTTTTGTGAAGCTTAAGTAAAATAATTATGTATAACATCTGGCAAATAAAAATTCATAAAAGTGGCAAGGGTTATTATATAATTCCCTCCTAATAGAGGTTTACATGTTGCTAGAACATGCACTAAAATACATTTTGATTGGAAAATTAAGAATGGTCAAAATAAGGGATCAATGTCCAAACGTCTTCAATACTGTGGGAGGCTATGAAAAGTTCTGCTTGAATTAGTTCTTTGTTTCCTGTGTGGTTTGCCCTCTTCTTGAGATTAAAAAAAAATCTAAGTGGAAGCAAGGACAGAGCCCAGCTGGCTGGTGGGCTGGGCTGCTTGCCCTTTCCCCCGGCCCAGATCTTGGGTCAGTCCTCCTCTTTGCAAGGCCAAGGTCCAATTTTGTCACTTCTGCCGAAAACAAACAGGTCTCGGGAAAAGAAAACGTTAAGGGATCTGACTGCTAACTACAATGTTAGTTTACTATGTTAACTCAAGTTAAAGTTAACTTTTTCATTTACTATGAGAAGTTAATTGCTGAGAAGACGAGAAGATTCGTACCTGCGGTTCTTTCCCTTACAGGACTAGCCACACAGGAAATCAGAATGACTGTCAGCACACTGAGTGCATACTGCTTCAGAGCAGAGCTGGGTGCTCTGTCTGCTGCTGAGAAACAGTCGGAAAGCCTAGGGCACCCAGGTCAACTGCAGGCTTCTTGTCTTCAGACAAATTCTTACATGGGTGGTTCTTGTATGTACCCCATAGAGCCCACTGTCCTTCCGTTGGGAAAAACCTCAAGCATGCTGCAAAATAACTAAAAAGTTTACACTGTCTTATCTGACTTGGGAGGCACTCTGAGTCCCTAATTCACCCAATTCATCAACAGGCATTTACCAAGCACTTATGGGCCAGGTTCTGCGCAAAGTCTTGGGAATAAAAAAGCATTAAGACAATGCCACCTCTCCAAAAACTGTGTCATAGTCCTAGGAGAGAGGCAGTGGAAAAACAGACACAAGCAGATAATTACAAACAATGCCGTAAATGAAATAGTAGCCATCTGCAGGGTATTATGGGAAACTCGCAAGTGCTACACCTGGAATTGGGGACTGTGGAAGGTCTTTTCCAGGGAGATGGCATCGTCCTGTGTAGACGGAGGGTGGGAGATGGGGAAGGGCACAAGTCGTTCAGAAAGCAATGTAAGCGTCTGCTATAATTCACTTAATAGCGATATTAGTTTCTATTTCATAAAATGAAAAATTCTGACTTTAAACTAAATTCTGAGCTGTGAAGTGAGGCATTAAATATTCTGTTCAGGTTCAAGTCAAATTTTGTAGAAAGAGATACCTAAGTTGGTGGGAAAGTCAAATTTGGGTAGTTTTAGGAAAACTTTCAGTTTGCTTAAACCACTTTAGATACAGGAACACTAATGTATTCGTCAAACAGAGGTCCTACCATTGATCTTTGGCCATGTGGCACAACTTTTGACAGTAACTTATTTTGACAAAGTTAATATCCTCACGCTACTCTCATTTCAGCTGTGACTACCTTACTCGGTTTTTAAAAGCAGCTTTTTCCATCAAGGAGGGATGTCAAAGAAAAAACAAAAGTCCTATTACATAAATCAATAAACTGTCGTAAGAGCAAAGTGTCTAGACTCTTTAGCTTCCTTTTCTAATCTATTGCTATGAGATTAGAATCATCACAGGTTCCTAAAATAAGGCCAAGACTTCGGGTAAACACCGCAGTCGGAAACAATGAAGCCTAAATAAATCGTCTTCGGTTCCTCATTTCAAAACACGTTAAAACAGATGAGGTGCAGACACTCCGGCCCCTGGCAATGTCTCAGTTCGCGTTAGCACGTCGAGCTAGTCAATGCTCTGCCCACAGCGACCCCCGTTATCTGCCCTGAGTAGCCAGAAGCAACTGGAGCCCCTCCCCTCCTGCGCCTTACAGTTCCGTCAAGGATCCGCTGGGAGGGCTTTCTCAGAATTGTATCACCTCCGAATTGTATCACCTCCGACCCGTTTCACCTCCCACCGGGTACTAGTGGGCCGTGCGGAGGCGGGCGCGGACGAGCCCGGGCGCATGCGCACCAGGGCACCAGCGCCGGTCCACTAGCGCGCGCCGGAGGGTCTGGCACTCCCACCCGCCCTCGCCCACTAGACCACAGCTCTGATAGGATCCTACCCTCCGAGCTTCCAGAGCCCCCACCCTTAATATCTCAGCTGGGCGCGCCCTGCCCCACCCGGCCAGAGTCGCCAGCCGCGGCTTGTCCCCGGAGGTGAGAAGCGGCGAGGGACAGGGCCGCAGAACACGCCCTCATTGGCTGAAGCATGCCAGGCCTTCCAGCCTGGAGCGCCTGCGCGCAGCCGGAGACGTGGGTAGTGAGCCTGGCGTTACCCAGTCCCGTGCTGACGTCAGCGCCCAGGTGACGTCCCCCGCCTTCCCCCCTCTTTCAGCACCTCGCGCGTCCTCCTTCTTACCGGCCGGAGGGAGCTCCGCGCGCCCGCAGAGAGCTCAAGGACGCGCGAGGGAGCACTCCGAATGTGAAGGACCGGGCCGGAGGGAGTCGGATGTGATTGGGTGGCAGGTGGCGGGGCCTGGCCCCAGGGTCGGTGGAGCAACTGAGCACGCGCTGGAGGGGTGGGACGGGGGAGGGCAGGGCGCGCTGGAGGACGCGCGCATGCGTCCCCTCCCCCAGAGTCCCCACCTTCCCAACCGCCACCCCCAGGCGCCCTAAGAGGGGGCCAGGCTGCCTCCGCAGAACCGCCCGCGGAGCTTTGAGGAGCTGACGGCTTGGGACGACTGTCAGTCCCAAATATAGCTAATTTTTAAAAAATTTCTCTCCTCCGGTTTGCCTTTCCTTTTTATTTGGGCTCTTTCAGTATCTGGCTATTTTCAAACTTTAAGCACCCTCCACTGTCAGCTTGGCTTTTTACTGTTAACTGTATTTCGCTTCTATGACTTTGATTTCCCCTTGAAACGGCCACGGATGAAATTCGGCAATTAACAATAACCTGTCTTTCCTCTTTTCTACCTTTTGGCATTGTTGACTGTGGGAAAGAAATAATCTGGTCACTTGTGATTTTTTTCCACCCAATCTCATTTTTCTAAAAGCTTCAGTTATCAACTCTTGACTCTTCATCCTTTCAAATGCTTCTTTGCTGTCAGCGTCTAAACAGGCTCATATTTAATTCCTTTCTTTGGGTTTCAGTGACCTCTTGTAGAAGAGACTAATTTATAATTGCCCGTTTACCAGTCTTCATTTGCCCTCAGAGACACTTCAAACTGATGGTAGTAATATCCAAACCTATTTTATTTCCTAGGTGTCGCATTTAAACAGTGGCAGTTATAGTCGCCCAGTTTGTTCTCGCTAGAGAACTTGTTATCTTCGTTGACGTCTCCCATCTCGCTTCCCATACCTCATTCATGATACTATTGATTCATGCTGCGTTTTCTCATGGCAAGCCATTATTTCTAAGTGCTAGGGTTTAACTTTTTTACTCGTGTGAGGTTACAGACTTATTCCAAGGATGCTGCCATTACCCTATTTTGGGAACTCCTTTAAGAAGTATTTTTCAGCTGTAGTCATGACTTACTCTTTTATTACTCACCTTTTCAGACTTTTCCCCCAAAAGACTTTAAATTATGGTTTAAAGTGTCAAGTCTAAAGTATCAAATTAAGGATTGAGGGTGACCATTTTAGAGAGTGATTGTGGTACAGATTCTGAAGGTGACTTCCGAAAAGGCGTTTTAACTTTCTAAGGTGCTTTGGAAGATACAATCCTTGTTTAGAAATTTAAGTTCTGGTCTATTTGTTTAAAATACTGTTTTCTTTAGTCATACCTAATGTATTTTCAAAATACATACAGTATTCTAAGATACACTAAAGGAAAACTATTCACAGGGTAACAAAATTTTTTGGTATGGGCTCTGGTCCGGTAGCTGAGTTGCTAGAGCATTGCCTAGATAACGCCAAGGTTGTGGGTGTGGGTTCCATCCCTGGTCAGGGAACATACAAGAATCAGCCAACAGCCGTGGCTGGTGTGGCTCAGTGGACTGAGTGCCAGCCTGTGAACCAAAGGGTTGTTGGCTGGATTCCCAGTCTAGGGCACATGACTGGTTGCAGGCCAGGTCCCTAGGGGTCACATGAGAGGCAACCACACATTGATGTTCCTCTCCCTCTCTTTCTCCCTTCCCCTCTCTAAAAATAAATAAAATCTTTAAAAAAAAGAATCAACCAATGGATGTATCAATAAGTGGAACAAGTCGAAGTTTCTCCCTCCCCCATCCCAACCCCTTTCCCTTCCTCTCTTTAAAATCAATCAATAAAAAAAATTTGATATAACTTGTGAAGTACTCTGGTATTTTAGTGTTTGAGTCATTTTTCAGTATTACTTGATTATTGTATATTACAGATTTACAATTAGCTTTAGAAACTGGACTGAAGAAAAAGAAACTGGATTGAGTATGAACTCAACCTAACTTCATACCCCTCAAGGTTTTCCTGAATATTCTTCCGGTTACCTGCCTGCATATTTCCTCTTTTATGGCTCCCTCTTATTAAATGCTGCACAACATTCAGTTTGTGATTTTTTTCAGTGTTTGAATTTCAGAATAAACAGGGATTTACCATATTTAGATTTACTTAAAAAGACGTCAAAGAGTGATTTGAAAAATCACTTCAGTGGGGGTAAAACCATTATATATTGCATCCATCAATCAAATTTTTTAGTGTTTGAAAATTAGTAATTTACTGTAAATAAAGGGCAAAGCTAACTATACTCAAAACCATCTTTATTTTTATTGCCTTTTATTTTCAACAATGATTACCTGAACTTAAAGTCCATTAACTAATGGTTCTTGAAAAGCCAAACCTTTCCAGCCCACTTCATGTTCTCTTTCAGCCATTTCAGGGCAGAGCAATATTCCAAACTGTACACCTGCTCCCTGTTAACATTGACGGTCATGTGCTTAATGAAAAGCTTTGGATCTGACAGACGAGCAGCCGTCATTAATCTTTCCACTGCAGCTTGATAATCGTCCTTGGTCCGAGATTTGTTTTCTTCGCATCTACAAAGTAAAGACCTCACAAAGTCAGACACTCTAAAAAGGGATGTAATTTCTTCAAGAGATACTTACATTTGTTAGTACTAGTTACGACAGACTTTTTACTATATTCTTCTATCAGTGGTTTTCAAACTTTTTTGACCATGGCACAGTAAACTATTTGGTACTGGGACCCAGTATATACCCTCATACATAAAAACTGAAAGTTTCAGAAAACAAGACGTACCCTATGACAATATACTTTATTTTCCATTGTCTCATTTTTAAAAATGTGGCTGCAAGTCCCCTAAGTTAATTTCACCACACAAATGGGCTATAACCCGCAGTTTGAAAAACAGTGACCTAGAACACTGATAATAGCCTCAATCTTTGTATTTTCAAAGTTAATGATCACATCATTTTATGATATGCGTAAAAGGATACTAAATTCAATCAAGTTTGGAGTTACATGTTTTACCTTGATATTGGCTATTCTGAATTGTAAATATATACTTACTGTGTAGGTAACATTTGGTAACAGAAATTGTAGCTATAGTCCTTTACTACGTTTTTTATTATTTTTCTTCAGTCCGGACTTAAGGTACTTCACAAAGTGCTAGACTTTATTGTCTAATGACTTTGAACAGTCTCTACATTTTATAAAATTCACACCTAATGGCTGTTTTTCCTATGGGACAGGGAGTGGGAGGCTTTGAAGTAGAGGGGGGCTGTTATATTAAGCATCACTCCTTTCGTGTTCAGTGCATTCTGCTCTTGGCATGCACAGGGTCCAGCAGCAAGGCCCAAGCGTGGGCCCACCTGCATTAACAACACAGTGTGGTCCACCGGTTGGTGGGGGTGAGGACTTCCACTTAGAACAGGAACTGGTGGTCACAGCGAGGAGAGACTGGTCAGGTGCCTTCTAGTAGCTTCTGGCTTAGAAATTGATGCCTAGAACCTGGTAGACTGGGCATGTGCCAACTACGTGCAGTTTTTAAAACTGTTAGGATGAATACAATTCTCTCTTACAGAGGTTATTGTAACAAGAAATTAAAAATTTTATTGAATGCTAGTAATTTGGTTTTCAGTCTCAGGTCACATTAGTTCTCAATTTAACTGTTAACAAAAGTTTGCAAATGCACACTACAGTATTATGTAAATATAAGCATATGTAAGTACATATATACATATATAAACATACATAAATACTATATAAAACATTTACATCCTAGGGCAGGTGTAGGGAAGCATGGCCTGCTTTCAGGATACAATTAGACGCCGTCAACCAACCTTTTCAGAACTATCTGCAGCACCTGTGTGGGAGTGCCAGGACTCTGAATACTGCTAGCGTTAGACACCAGGAAGATTTCCACAGTTAAAAGCATTTCAATCTCAGATAAATAAGAAGGGATCCGTAGAAGTTTTCGATATAAATTTCCTTCTAATGGTGGATAGCAACCCAATGAAAGAGCACCTGAAAATCAAAGAATAGATCAAACTTTACTAAAACCCTAACAGGTGAAAGCCTAGACTTCCAAATTATGCGTAGGTGATAATTACTTAGAGTGCAGAATAATTCTTCACATCAGAAGCAGATTTATTAAATTATACAGTAGCTTATCCTGGTACATTTAAAATTACTCTTTGTAAAATGTTTATGGAACATTAAATATGAATTGAGAAATAGATTTAAACAACTATGAAAAATGACTCTTGAGTCTCATCATGGCAACCACTTATTTGAAGCTATAGTCAATAGAACATAATTTCAGAGTTACTGAAAAACCAGAATAGCTACTTGGGTTTTGTTTTAATGGGACATAGCCTAATAGAAACTACATATATTTATAATTATTGCCTAT